ACCGTCAAGGGCATGGGTGGCACCACCAACTACGTGCAGACATTCCCCGATGCTTTTGTCAACTTCGTCGACTACGTCACCCCGGTAATGAACCTGCTTGGACTGAACAAGAAGGGCGTCGAGGCCACCTTGTTGGACAACTTCAAGGGTGTCTGTAAGCCCGGCGAGATGGTTCTGGTCCTGGGCAAACCTGGCTCTGGCTGCAGTACTTTTCTCAAGACCATCGCCAACTGGCGCGCTGGCTACACCGCCGTGGAAGGTGAGGTGCTCTACGGCCCCTTTACTGCCGACGAGTTCAAGCAGTACCGCGGCGAGGCCGTCTACAACCAGGAAGACGACATCCACCACGCCACCCTCACGGTCGAGCAGACACTGGGTTTTGCTCTCGACACCAAGCTCCCTGCGAAGCGCCCTGCCGGCCTGTCCAAGAAGGATTTCAAGGAGCAAGTCATCTCCACCCTCTTGAAGATGTTCAACATCGAGCACACCCGCCACACCATCGTCGGCGACGCCTTGGTGCGCGGTGTTTCTGGTGGCGAGCGCAAGCGCGTTTCCATCGCAGAGATGATGATCAGCAACGCCTGCGTTCTCTCCTGGGACAACAGCACGCGCGGCCTGGATGCCAGTACCGCCCTCGACTTCGTCAAGTCTCTGCGCGTCCAGACGAACCTGTATCGGACCACCACCTTCGTCTCTCTCTACCAGGCCTCCGAGAACATCTACAACCTCTTCGACAAGGTCATGGTCATCGACGCCGGAAAGCAGGTCTACTTCGGCCCCGCCAACGAGGCCCGCGCCTACTTTGAGGGTCTCGGCTTCGCGCCCCGCCCCAGACAGACCACGCCCGACTACGTGACCGGATGCACCGACGAGTTCGAGCGAGAGTACGCCCCCGGCTGCTCGCCCGAGAACGCGCCCCACAGCCCCGAGACCCTCGCCGAGGCCTTCCAGGCGTCCAAGTTCAAGAAGCTGCTCGACAGCGAGATGGAAGAGTACAAGGCCCACCTCGCGCAGGAGAAGGAGAGGCATGAGGACTTCCAGGTCGCTGTCAAAGAGGCCAAGCGCGGCGCCTCCAAAAAGTCCGTCTACGCCGTCGGCTTCCACCTGCAGGTGTGGGCGCTGATGAAGCGCCAATTCGTCCTCAAGCTACAAGACCGCCTCGCTCTCGCCATCTCCTGGATCCGATCCATCATCATCGCCCTCGTCCTCGGTTCCCTCTTCTTCCGTCTCGATTCGACTTCCGCCAGCGCCTTCAGCAAGGGTGGTGTCATGTTCATCTCGCTCTTGTTCAACGCCTTCCAGGCCTTCTCGGAACTCGGAAGCACCATGACTGGTCGTGCCATCGTCAACAAGCACAAAGCCTACGCCTTCCACCGACCTTCTGCCCTCTGGATTGCCCAGATCATCGTCGACCAGGCCTTCGCAGCCTCACAGATTCTCGTCTTTTCGATCATTGTATATTTTATGAGCGTGAGCTATTCTTATCCTCATACCGACAATGTTTGGTAAAAGCTAATTTACATCAAAGGGTCTTGTCCGCAGCGCTGGGGCTTTCTTCACGTTTTACCTCATGATTCTGTCAGGAAACATCGCCATGACCCTCTTCTTCAGGATTCTTGGTTGTATAAGCTTCGGTAAATATTTGATTTCTCGGGTGGGCAATCGTAGTAAGGAACATGGCTAACACTGATCTAGGTTTCGACCAAGCCATCAAGTTCGCCGTTGTGCTGATCACCTTCTTCGTCGTGACATCCGGCTACCTCATCCAGTACCAGTCTGAGCACGTGTGGATTCGATGGATCTACTGGGTCAACGCGCTCGGTCTCGCCTTCAGCGCCATGATGCAGAACGAGTTCAGCCGGCAGAAGCTCACCTGCTCTGGCACGTCGCTCATTCCGTCAGGCCCTGGCTACGGCGACATCAACCACCAAGTCTGCACCCTTCCTGGCTCCGAGCCCGGCACCACTGTCGTCGACGGTTCGGCGTACATTGCAGCTGCATTCAGCTACTTCAAGGGCGATCTGTGGCGCAACTGGGGCATCATCTTTGCCCTCATCGTCTTCTTCCTCATCATGAACGTCACTCTCGGTGAACTCATCAGCTTTAGCAACAACGGCAACTCAGCCAAGGTCTACCAGAAGCCCAACGAGGAGCGCAAGAAGCTCAACGAGGCCCTCGTCGAGAAACGAGCCGCCAAGCGCCGCGGCGACAAGCAGGAGGGCTCGGAGCTGAACATCAAGTCGGAGGCCGTCCTGACCTGGGAGAACCTTAACTACGACGTCCCCGTTCCCGGAGGAACCCGTCGCCTGCTCAACAACATCTACGGCTACGTCAAGCCCGGCCAGCTCACTGCTCTGATGGGTGCTTCCGGGGCGGGCAAGACCACCCTCCTTGACGTTCTTGCGTCCCGCAAGAACATTGGTGTTATCCACGGTGACGTTCTCGTCGACGGCAGGAAGCCCGGAAAGCAGTTCCAGCGAAGCACATCGTATGCCGAGCAGCAAGATCTCCACGATCCCACCCAGACCGTCCGCGAGGCCCTCCGCTTCTCCGCCCTCCTGCGTCAGCCCTACGAGACCCCTATCCCGGAGCGGTTCTCGTACGTCGAGGAGATCATCGCCCTGCTCGAGATGGAGCACATCGCCGACTGTATCATTGGATCCCCCGAGTTCGGCCTGACGGTCGAGCAGCGGAAGCGTGTCACGATCGGTGTCGAGCTGGCCGCCAAGCCCGAGCTCCTCCTCTTCCTCGACGAACCCACCTCCGGTCTTGACAGCCAGAGCGCCTTCAACATCGTGCGTTTCCTTAAGAAGCTTGCCGCCGCCGGACAGGCCATCCTCTGCACCATCCACCAGCCCAACGCCGCCCTGTTCGAGAACTTTGACCGTCTCCTGCTCCTCCAGAAGGGTGGACGCACCGTCTACTTTGGCGACATTGGCCAGGACGCCGTCGTCCTGCGTGACTACCTGAAGCGCCACGGCGCCGTCGCCAAGCCCACCGACAACGTCGCCGAGTACATGCTCGAGGCCATCGGTGCCGGCTCGACGCCCCGCGTCGGAAACAAGGACTGGGCCGACATCTGGGAAGACAGCGCCGAGTTTGCTAACGTCAAGGACACCATCAGCCAGTTGAAGGACCAGCGCTTGGCCGCGGGCCGGACCACGAACCACGACCTCGAGAAGGAGTACGCCAGCCCGCAGTGGCACCAGCTCAAGGTGGTCGTGAAGCGCATGAACCTCAGCTTCTGGCGCAGCCCCGACTACCTCTTCACCCGTCTCTTCAACCATGTCATCGTCGCCCTCATCACCGGTCTCACCTACCTCAACCTCGACCAGAGCCGCAGCTCGCTGCAGTACAAGGTCTTTGTCATGTTCCAGGTCACCGTTCTGCCGGCTCTCATCATCAGCCAGGTCGAGATCATGTTCCACATCAAGCGCTCCCTCTTCTTCCGCGAGTCGTCGTCCAAGATGTACAACCCGCTGACCTTCGCCGCCGCCATGACCGTCGCCGAGTTGCCGTACTCCATCCTGTGCGCCGTCAGCTTCTTCCTGCCGCTGTACTACATGCCAGGCTTCCAGTCCGAGTCGTCCCGCGCGGGCTACCAGTTCTTGATGATCCTCGTCACCGAGTTCTTCTCCGTCACCCTGGGTCACGCCGTCGCCTCTCTGACGCCCAGCCCCTTCATCTCGTCGCAGTTCGACCCCTTCCTCATGATCACCTTTGCCCTCTTCTGCGGTGTCACCATCCCCGCCCCGCAGATGCCCGCCTTCTGGCGCTCCTGGCTCTACCAACTCGACCCCTTCACACGTCTCATCGGCGGTATGGTCGTCACGGCGCTGCACGACCTCAAGGTCATCTGCTCCAAGGCCGAGTTCAACCCCTTCACGGCGCCGCCGGGCCAGACGTGCGGCGAGTACATGCAGCCCTTCTTCGACAACGGCGGGCCCGGGTACCTTGCCAACAACGACACGTCGAACTGCGAGTACTGCGCCTTCAAGGTCGGCGACGAGTTCTACCAGCCCCTGGGTTTGGATTTCAACCACCGTTGGAGGGACATTGGTATCTTTGCGGCGTTTGTCGGTAGCAACCTCATTATCATTTTCATGGCCGTAAGCTCCCCTTCCCCCCTTTTGGGTTTCTCTAGCAGATACTGACAACACCTTACAGGGCAAGTTCTTGAACTTCAACCGCAGATAATCGCATTCATACCCAGTCCGACATGGACACGTTTTCTCTTACTGTTTATTGATATTGAAGCATTGGCATGAGTCTCTCCCCTCATCCACCAAACCGTCCGATGGCTTGTTCGACTATCGGAGTCCGGGTGGGAGAAAGGGGAGGGATCGGAGGGATCGGAAAAAAGTAAGAGGATTTTGGTGTTTGTTTTTCGGCATTTTACAAAAAAGAGTCGAGTGAGATTAGAGACGGCATTCATTGCGCGCATACGGCGGCATGGTATGACAATCGTGGATTGTCCCAAAGTAGTACACTCTTCACATAGATCTTTTTTGGTTTACGTAATTTAATGGCCGCGGACGCAAATGCCGTGTCTGTACAAGACGAGAATTTCTCAACCTTTCTCACTTTCGATTTCGTGACAGGTACATACCACACTATACCGCGAGCGCGAGCTGAAATCCGAGGTGAACTATTGACGATGCCGTCCTCGCCCGCTTGACAATGCCCTGCTGTGCATCTGTTTAAACTGGACGTCCCCCCGCACAAGCACGACCCTCGTCGGTCCGAACTGTCCCCCCGCGCCGTCCGATACTGAGACATGCATTTCACACTCCCCCGCCTCCCCTCCTCTCCCCACGCGTCGTGACGTACAAGGAAGGTCATCCACCCCCGCACTCGGAACCCCGCCGCCGCCGACGGCGGCCAGCACAGACCCTGACCCGCATCGGGCGATAGTCCTCCGTCGAGCGCGGCTTCCTGTCACCCCGCGCTGCCGACGACATGTCGATAACCCGGATGGACCCCCCCCCCCCCCCCCCCCCGGCGGCGATACTAGCGTGTTCGACATTGCGGCGGGTTAAATGGAACAAGGTTAAACGTTCGAAATAAGGAAAAAGAAAAACAAAGTGATTTCCTTGCAGCGTTCCATTGACCTCGTCGACTCAATTGAGCACCTCATATCCCCGGATCAAGTCCCGCCTCAAAAAACACCCGAATCTCCCAAGATCCCACAAATCACCACCACCAAAAATATGGCCGACCCCGCCGCCGCCGCCCGCGCCGACCTCACGAAGCGCCAGCTCCCCTCCATGACCCTGGCCACGGGTCTCGCTGACCTCCCCGGCGCGGCCCTCCGCACCGCCTCCGCCCAAGACACCGCCACCGACCGCTTCGCCGTGCCCGGCACCGCCGTCATCACCGGGGGCACCGGGGCCATCGCGCGCGCCGTCTCCCGCGCGCTCCTCCAGCACGGCCTCACGGGCCTCCTCCTCCTCGACCTCGACGTCGCCTCCCCCGCCGCCCGGGCCCAGGTCGCCTCCCTCCGCGACGAGTTCCCCGCCGCCGCCGTCGAGGCCCGTGCCGTCGACGTCACGGACGAGGCCGCCGTCGCCTCGGCCGTCGACCACGCCGTCGGCGCCCTCGGCGGCGTCGACTACCTCGTCTGCCTCGCCGGCGTCGTCAGCTGCTCGCACGCCCTCGACACCCCCGCCGCCGAGTTCCGCCGCGTGCTCGACGTCAACACGACGTCCGCCTTCGTCTGCGCCCAGGCCGCCGCCCGCGCCATGGTCCGCGGCGGCCGCGGCGGCCGCGTCGTCTTCACCGCCTCCATCTCGGCCCACCGCGTCAACTACCCGCAGCCCCAGGCCGCGTACAACGCGAGCAAGGGCGCCCTGCTGCAGCTCAAGAGCAGCCTCGCCGCCGAGTGGGCCCGCCACGGCATCACCGTCAACAGCGTCAGCCCGGGCTACGTCGACACCGTCCTCAACGAGGGCGAGGGCCTGGCCGAGGCCCGCGCCGTCTGGGCGAGCCGGAACCCCTCGGGGAGGATGGCCATGCCCGAGGAGATCGCCGGCGTCGTCGTCATGCTCTGCTCGCGCGCGGGGAGCTACTTCAACGGGAGCGACCTGGTCGTCGACGGGGGCGGTATTGTTTTCTAAGACAGAAGGGTTCGTCGTCAGGGGGGGGGGTGGTGTGGATGGGTGGGTCTATTAGAGGGTGTGCGGTGCTTTCTTTTGCTCGCCGTCTTGAATGGTGATGAAAGAGATGGGGCGAAATGACTATGTGCTGGCTAGGCTGCAAACGTAGCGGTTTTTATACCTTGTTCCAACGGCGCCCTCGAAGCGATGTGGTCCCTGTGAATGATTCTGTGTGGACCCGTTGTACCGACAGCGGTTGTCGTCTTCCCTTACTCTTATTCGCATTTTCCTATACCAATGCGCCGATATGGCGGTAAACCTCTAGGCATAGGAATGATGGGCCTGCCACAGAGATTCATTGGAAGAATGACGTTTCACTTTCGGAGGCGCGTCAAAGATGATGCCAACAGCTCCGACTCGCGAAAGTCGCCAAGAATTGGTCTATCATCCAGCCGCGGAACGAGCTTTGTTACTTTTTGTAGTGACCCGAACAGTTCAATGTTGGACACGAATACCGGTGGCAAGGACCAAACTCCTGATTTCAGATTGGATCGGCAAAGCCCTTTTAATTACAAACTACGACAACACGCGCTGTGACATTGACTTCGCGTAGACCTCTGAGCTGCGACTGAAGCCCCGGCAAATCTTGTGATTGAAAATGGCCCATCTCGGCTTTCCAAAGTGAGTGACACTCAAAATAGACGCCCTCGATAATGTCAACAGTTGCTGGTGGTATCTTGCGCATTGCCTCACTCGCTCGTCCACACTTTTCTTTCATTGTTTCGTATCGTCCAATACGAAGGGTTCCCCTTGTATATCGGATGCTGGTATCACGATTCGTGCTGATACCTAGAATTATATAAAAATCGTAAAAGACCAGACTCAAATGCTCGGCTTCTCAGCCTCTGTAGCGCCATTTTTGGTCCCGGTGGCGTCGACGGATCCTTCTACCTTGAGGTTTCCGGCAGCAATTTCGTTCTCGAGGTCATCGAGGCGCGACTTGGCCTTGTGGCTCTTCCAAGCCGGGAGGCCGGAGTTGAAGACATCATCCATCTCCTCAAGGGTAAAGCCCTGTAGAAATAATTCATTAGCACAAGAAGGAAAGCAGGGCATGCTGGAACTTACCTTGGTTTCGGGAGCGAAGAATGCGGTATGGAGGAAGGCAAGGGCGTTGAAGGCGGCGAAGATGTAGTACATCCGGTAGTTAATGTTCCACACTACATGCTGCTAGTTAGCATTGGAACTAGATCATAGCAAAGGTAGAATCACTTACGCAAGGGCGGAACGGCGAAGGCCAGAACCATGTTCCAAAACCAGTTGGTCCTCGCGGCCAAGGAAACGGCCTTGGCGCGAATTTTGATGGGGAATATTTCGGCAGGATATGTCCAGCTGACCGGGCCCCATGTTGTCGCAAACGTGGCCACGAAAATATAGGAACAAGAGACGATAGCGGCGGAGACGGAGTACTGCTCTTTGATGATCCAGGAAGCGGACTCGTTGAGAGATTCTCGCGTTTCGTCAGTGTTGGCCTCGCCGTAGTACTGCTGTAGCGCGCCAGAGATAAACAGCAGAGCCATCATCATGAAAGACCCACCAATAAGCAGAGGACGCCGGCCAAGCTTGTCAATGAAGAGAATGGCAGGCAAAGTCATGACAACGTTGATGATGTACTGGATGGAGGCACTCAAGAGCGGGTTCCCGATGCCAGCGCTTTGCATAATGTAAACAATGTAATCTGAGAGCATATCAGAGGCGGCCCATTAAAACAGGGAGTTCGATGTCAAGTCAGTCACTTACACATCATAACATTCATGCCGCTCAGCTGGGACCACATTTGAATGCTCATTCCGAGAAGCACACGCTTGTACATGCGGGGTGCAACGAGACCCTTGAAGGAGCCGATGTTCTCCTCCCGCTCGAAGCGGGAGGCCTCCTCAATCTCCCGATACTGAGAAAGGACCTTGGGGTGGTTGACGTCGCCGTTCCCGTGAAGGTGGGCGAGAACCTGCATGGCCTCATCCCAGCGGTCCTTGCTAGCAAGCCAATGCGGGCTGTATGGAAAGAAGAAGAGACCGACAAACAGGACGACGGCGGGGACCATCCGCACACCCCATGGGATACGGAAGGCAGCTGTCGGTTGGTTGGGGTAGGTAGAGCCGCCTCCGACACCCTCGGCGGCGCCATATTGAATCAAATACTGGATCAGGATACCTCAGCCTTCAGGTAATGGCCCATTGCTGGAGCGAGACTACACGACCACGGATCTCCTTGGGGGCGATTTCTGATTGGTAAACAGAAACGATGGAGGAAGCGATACCAATACACATGCCGGCGATAACACGACCGGCGCAAAGCATGCCGACGTTGACCGCAGCACATTGCAGAATGGCGCCAACGACACAGAGTATGCAGGAAAACTGGAGGGCGACCTTGCGGGAGTACTTATCGGCGATGAAAGAGGAAAAGAGGGATCCGACGAGGGAGCCGGCAGGCATAGAGGCGGTGATACCGCCTTGGGAGTACGATACGGGGTTGCCAAAGTAGCGTTTGTAGGCTTCGGTTCCGAGGACACCACTTATAGAGCTGATGTCAAAGCCAAATAGACCACCACCTGGGTACGGTAAGAAGTCATGATTTGGATGACGTGGGTCATGCGGAGAGGAAAGAGTAGTCACTTACCAATGGCGGCGAATCCGCAGATAAAGTAAGCGTTTTTGGCCTGATACATGGTGGCGGCTGTTAAATGATGGCGGGTATTGCTGTCTCGGTAGGATGAGATGAGGCGGCCAGGTTGGATTCGTAGACGAAGGTGCTCTTGGTAAGTTTCCAGTGGGCGCAACCCTAACTTTATGTAGAGGGTGAATTACACCAATGTTCGATACGAAAGCAATCACTTGGACGCGTTCAAGAGGCTGCTGCGGTTGTCTCGTACACCGGGCTCACATCCGGATAGTGCCAACGACACAACGTTTCGTCGTACTGGGATGCAGTATGGATTGGTATCGATCGAGGTTACAGCATGGGGGGCCCTGGCAGAGGAATTTGACGGACCGAATGTAAAGGCTTGACGCATATGGAGCAGACAAGGTTGATGCGGAGGGCTGCCCGCCCGTGGTGTACACCGAGTTGGGTCACTGGCAGAAGCGGATGGAGGCATAGAATAAAAGATGTGGATGCTCAATCCCCTGGTGTCTTGAGTGGTGTACCAGAAGAGGCCACAGAGAAGCCAACGCGACACCGGGGCCATTGGTCCGTTGGTTGAGACGTCGATGATGGCGAGCAGAGGGGGCCAGCGAGGTAGGAAGATCAAGCTAGGAAACAGAGGCTGATGACGTCAGACAAGCTTCGCGAGATATGATGAATAGATATAGATAGTACTTGGATGCGATGGAGACCTCAGTCATATCCCAGATGTCGTACGGGCGTCAAGACGGCTTGGCCTGCCTTAGCTTGGAGCGGGGGGTGGGTTATGTCGTCGTACCTATGATAGGTCGAGATCTGGTCGTTCTGGGTACAAATTCAGGTTCTAGGTACGGAGACAGAGCCGACTAGATTGGACCTGATCTTTGCAACTTGCTTGTTTGTCGTTTGTGTCACTCTGTCCACCCGGAAACGTGGACCTTGCCGATGCAATGCGATGCGATGCGATTCGCCGACGGAGGACATGGATGCGAACTTCTATACACACACCCGGTCAAAGAGTTGAAGAGGAAAATGTAAGGTACCTAAGTACCTGGGTAAAATACGTACCTACATAGGTAGCAACAAGCACGAAGGACCGGCAAGAACAGCAACAGGCCAACAGCTAAGAAAAGGTACCTTCCCCGGATTCTGTGGTGGTTCTTTTCGGAGTTTATTCCTGCTCGTGCCTGTCTGCCTTCTGCTATGATCGACCGGGTTCTGCCAAATTTAGGGCCGGCAGGGGTCAGTACCGGCTCCTTCCCTTCCATCGAGTTCCGGGGGTCTGGCCCACACGGAGAATTTGCCCCGCACACGGCGACCCAACGGCGTAGGAAAGAATGACAGGGCACTGCGTTCTTGCTGCTTCCGCTAGAAGTTTCTCCGCCAGTAACGGGTACAATGTATGCCGAGGGATGGGTCAAAGGGTAAGTAAGGAAGGGAACGAGCACATTGATAGAAGAATGGCTACAATCCTATGGCTCGTCTGATACTCTTACTTCACTTTGTCAACCCTGGCTCACTCCCAACCGTGCTCCTAGGCTCCTTCTTTACTGGCCTCCGTCACATATCTTGAGGGCTTTGCCCAGAGGGGCTGTTTATGTAGCAACCTGGATCCCCCTGTAGGTTACCCTAGGCGTAATGTCTGTTAATGAAGGTCAGGTGACAGAGAAAAGGGATAACCTCGTCCGTTTTGTTAAGCCCTGCCATATTTCCTGGCGTCATATAAGGCCAGCAACTTATGGATGGTGCAGCACATCTTCTCCAGGATACATCTTGGTAAGGAATCTATAATAATCACCAATTGTCGCGATACACTCCTCGCGGGAATAGCTTATCTCGTCTAGTTCGGGCATTGTTTCCGGCGCACTGATGAAATCTTGAGAAACGACAAAGGGTAGGAGATTGCTTTATTAAGAAAACAACGCAAAATTTCGAAGGGCAGGGTGTCTCTTATTGACAGGGCCAATCAACCAAGCCTGGATAGCCAATGGCAGGAGCAACATGAAGGATATACAGTCGCGTGACAATGGGGGGGGGGGGGCTGCATGGGCGAAGCAGAGACATTGGCCACCAAGTAGTAGCAGGTAAAAGCAAAAAAGGGCAGGCTTTAGCATCACCATCTAGGGGCTATTACCACATCAGGATACTAGCTTCTCTCAGTAGTATCCACAATCTCAATTAGCCAGCCATTCAGTCACCCAGAGATCAGGAAAGCTCAAGATCTACATCGTGACGCAACACCCTGCTAATACGTTAAGATCCTGTGCTCAGATGCCTGTGAGCACTTTGTCCCAATATAGAGTTGTATTTATCAGTATCGATCCCCAGAGACACTCAGTACAGCTCGCCAGTTACCACAGAGTTGCAATATATATCAGAAGCGTACAGGGTGTAGTTTGGGGATCTTGGTTGAGGCAGAGCTAGGAATAGAACACAGCAAGAAGTAACCCAGTTTCCAAGCGTAACCGTAGTAGGATATCTCCCTGACCAGTCATTCCAAAGTCTAATCAAAAAGCCCAAGCTTAGCTGGGCAAGGTAAAAGACTCCTAATCACCTAATTTATTGGTTGTAAGGCTCTAATTCACGTTTTAGAATACTAAAAAGTGTATGTTGGTACGTCGTTTATATCATTATTGTTTGTTCTTGATGTAACTCCTTATAATGTGGATTAGAGGCTTATATGAATAGCATGATCTGTGGGAGCCTGAAATTTTAAAGAACTTCCAAATAGACTGTCTGTACAAGGGAGGCAATATTCCCCATCCCTGCTTCAGTATAACACGCATAAACCGCGACATTTCAATACAGTGAGAAGAGCCCAGCAGTTTGGAGAAATACCTTCCCCATACCTCATCGATTACAGTTATAATCGTGCCAAAGATACCGTCTAGATGGATGGAGGTAGCAGCAAGGGCCTCAACCATTGCCTTTGGAGAATTCCATGTCCACGAGCCATACCTTGACGTGATAACGGTTGGTTCAGCCACCAAGTTTGTTAAACCTTTACAACTCTTACATAGTGAGGCACTCAAGTAGCGGAATGAGAGACTAGCTGTAAATCAGTTACGTCGCCCAAGTTTCTACCGTATTTGCATGGTTTTGACAAAACCAAGGTTGAGGGAATCTTATGATCTGAGCCGCAAGCCTGATTCCTCTCTTAGCTTTGTTCGCAGGACAGAAAGCGTTTGCTGGGCCCCCATGTTTCGTAGAAGCCTCAAGGGCAAGATTTCCACGTACCATGCCTCTCTAGAGCATTTCCGAGCCATAGTAAGGAAGAAACAAAAGTTTTTCTGGTTCAGAGAACAGAAGCTTCAGTCGAACCATGTTTCGGAAAACCGTCTATGCATCAAGCAGGACACAAAACTTTGTCATTGAATATGCCCTAGAAAAACATTACTAAACCCTTGGAGACCTCTGGTCGATCTTCGGCTTTGCCAGATTCATCTACATCATTGAATAGAGCTCAAATTTCTGACAAACGAATACCTTCCTTCCACTCAGAATCTGCCTATACACATCTGTTGGCATCACTCTTACATCCCCACCCCCCCCCCCCCCTCATCCCACCCTTTTTGGCCCTATTCAGCACATTCATCGACAATGAAGTCCGCCGTTATCCTCCTGGCGTTTTGGGTGGGTTACTCCAGCTGCAGCAAGCACGTCGTCAACACCACTCTTCTTCGCCCTGCGGCTGGAAACGGCACAGCAACCACGGAGAACAACGGCGTCGCCCCAAAAGGCAGACTCGATGAAACAGTACCCCCCTCCGACCCTTCAACATCTGCTTTTGACACCGTCTCCGAATTCAGGGATTGGCGTCCGACGGAAGGATGCACAGGTGTGTGGTGCGAGCGAAGGCAAAAGACGAAAAAGGTGAGCAAAGCGGATATTTGCATTTCAGGACGGGACCGCACCACAAAGTCGGGCAATCTCTGCGAGTTCTCGTGCAGATACGGCTTCTGTTTAGAGTCTCTGTGTGAGTGCACCGCCAAGGGCTCGCCAAACGCCGTCCCAGGCGAGAGGGAGGTCCACGTCGTCGCCAAGGACGACGCAGACAGAGACTTGAATCACCTCTGCCAGTTCAGCTGCAAGTATGGCAATTGCCCGACGGGCGTATGCACCGTTCGCGCCCTACCCCAGCCTGACTACCCTGTCGACTATGGGGAACGGATCCGCAAGAAGTCTGCACGGAAGTGCTTCATCTACAAGGAGTCCAAGCACTGGGAGGCCCAAAAACAGAGATGCGAAATGGTCTGCAGCAAAGAGCTTGAACAGGCCGAGAAAGAGGGCAGAACATCCAGCGCAATATGTGTGGGCTTCTGGCCAGTTGACAAACCAATTCCTTGGCAAGAATTGAGAGAAGAACAGACGGTTGCCCCGGGGACTTGCTATTGCGACAACAAACTGGTCAATAAAATATCAGACAGTGTCTTTGATGCTGGAGCGGCAATTGTTCGTGTGGGTAAAGGATTCTCTACAGGCCCTACGGCACTGAGTGGTAGGAGTAAAGCTTAGATAGTTAGTAATCAATCGAAGCTCTTCTCGCAGCCTGCCAGCCGTCCGTCAAGTCTCTACCCAGGAGAGCCCTCTCGTCTTCGTATTGTGTTTGTAAGCAACGAAGAGATACTTCGCGTGATCGTACTATGCCATATCTGTATCTCTGGCAATCAGGTTTATACAACCCATGACGCGCTGCTCTTGGCGACTTTGCCGCCGCCCATGGCCTGGGAACTGGGCTAGCTACAGAAGAGATCATATCTCGGTGCCACGTACAACGGCGTATCGGCACCATTGTGAACCAACGGATCCTTCCCTTGCTTGTTGCTCTCTCTACCATTTTATGATCACACATTATGTCAATCCAGACAGTCGTCGAGCTCTGCAATAGTAGCCGCATACCAGATCAAATCTTTGGCACCGCAATCGATACTGTCGAAAACCTTGGATTGTTTCAAAGAATAGCTCTGGGTTGGAGCCGAGGCGACTGTGTTGTGAGTAGTCTTTCTACCCACACTAACGGCAATCTTTAATAAAACTGGCGTGCAACCGCCATCGCTTTTGCAACACAACCGCTGCTGCCGCGAATCATCCCTATTTATCGGCCTGCTCATCTTGCTTGCCCTCTCCATATGCTTCAGTTCCTCTCCACACCCGTGCCCGAGGCATAGTATGCAGTGAGAAAAGCCACCAGCACTCCGAAGAGCGCTGGCTTCAAGGTTGTGCGAGTCCTCGTACCAGATCCAAGCATCCCGTATCTCAGAGATGCAAGGCTCTCCCTCGTCGCGCGCAGGCTCCATGCGAAGCTGCGTTATTGTCTGTGAATGATCAGCGTGAAAGTGAGGCAAGCCTTGAACTGCCATGGCCAAGACAGGGCACAGCTTCATGCTCAAGCAGCATCCCGCCCCCGATAGAAATGGTAGCACTGCGTCAGATTAGCTCGTAGGGTGCGTGCTGAGTAGTATAGAATAAGTTCATGTTCATTGAGATACGCCCACTAGGGCTTTGTTCGATGCTGTGGTAGTTGGCGCAGAGTGAGTAAAGGGCGGCCATGTAGCGACACAAGCGGAAAAGACCGAGCCTGTAAAAGTCAATACTCGTAGCCGCCCAAAACCTCCGCTTTTCCTATATCATACAACTCGTTCCGAAAAAGTAGGAAAGGTAAAACAAAAAGAGAACAAAAGAAGAACCTAGAAATATGCGCAAGTTTAACTCGACGGCGCAATCCCGAGTCCGACGGCCAGGGGTGGGTATCGTATGAAAGAAATAACCGCCTCTCCTTGACTCCGTTTCCAGGCTGGAGTTGTGCTGTCCCCTTCTAAGCAATGAAAGCAATGATTCCTATACCCTGAGATATTTCGCTTCTTCTGATGTATCGTGTCAAGTCCATCCTTCCTGCATCAATGCTGCGAACGGTAGTCTCGGGCCATCTTGCCCAAGGCTGGCCCTACCCACTGGCGCTACCCCATTACCTGGAGTCATACAACTTGCGAAGATGCGCGCGCTGGAGGCGGAACGAAGAGTAATTACCGGCAAAGATAGTCTCGAGGATGCTAGCAGGTCTATCGGTACGGGAGCCCTGCTGAGCAAGCTCGTTCATTCTCTTCTTCAGCATCTTGTGAGCGACGCTGAACTCTTCTAGGATCCGACCGGCATTACTTGAGCCGCCGGAGATGTCATTGGCAGGGTTGTTGGGGTCAATGACTGAAATACGGTCCATGTTCTTGTAGACAACTTCACGAACTCGGGCCTGCATTCAGGACTGGTTAGTTGGAGCTAACAACCGGTTGATTGGTTTGGACGTACCTTGTGCACGTAGCCTGGTGGATTCATGCGAATCGCCGTGTTGACGTAATCGAACCTGTTTCCGTAGAGGTCGAGGAACTCCATCATCATCTCGCCCAGATGGTGCTCAGGGATAAGGTTGCGGCTCTGGACCTGGGGCATTAGCTGCAGCATGCTCACTACCATGCAAGTAACGGTGAAGCTGCCAATGCCTCCGTTGACGGGCTCGTTCAGGCCACGCATCGCTAGGAAGTGCTTGATCATGGTAACAAGGATAGGCATGGCCGGATATTGTTCCCTCCATTCCGCGAACGTCTTGACAGCTTGGGGCCCGTCGAGGCGGTCGAAAGAGATGTCGACTCTGAGACCAGTGATGTTGTCAATGTACTTGACAAGGGGCACCTTGGCGCTAGCAATGAACTCCATAGTGTTGTAGTGGGTGACCTTGTTTTGCGCGAGGAACTTGCCAAAGTTTCGCAACGCTTTGATACCGAAGAAGTTGGAGTGCGCGCCGTCGAGCCAACTTCGCGCGCAGACAACCAAGTCCATGTCAGCTGTGGGGAGGTATAAACCGGACATGTACGATCCAAAGGGGCGAACGTCGCAATCTTTGTAGAAGTGGCTAGTTCTAAGAGATCTGCGCAGTCGCTCCACCAGCTGGGTGCGCATCTCATGCTCAAAGTCGCGAGGTCGAACAACTTCGTAAAAGTCAATGATTTCCTTGTGAAGCCTGCAGGAGATTAGGCGCTGTATTCCAAAAAGAACTCAAGTCGCACTCACCAGACGCTCATGTCGGACGTTTTGGAATGGTCGGTCTGGACCCAGGGTGTGGGGTCCTCGCCCTTGGTGATTTGCCATTCCGGCAAAATGGAGCCGCCGACTGGCATCTTGTTGACCTTCTTCAGGGGACCATAAGTAGGAGGCTTGATGCGATCGTCGGCAGTGCGCTTCCGCGAGCCCAGAGCGTCGTCGGCGACGAGAGGCTTGGGAGGTAGGCTAGCAGGCTTGTTAGTAGCGGGCATGGATAGAGCTATTGAGGCAGCCGATGCGTTGGCGATAGGTCTTTTGTCACGGTCTGCTCGAGGTCCAGAGGGAGGCTCTCGAGCAAAATTGGGAGAGGACTGCACAGGGGGGGCAGGACCATGGGGCGGGGGAGGGGGAGGGGATGGTGGCTCGGAAGGAGGAAGAATGATTTCTTCTTCTTCGGCCTTGTCGTTATCACCAGGCTCATCGAAGTCGAAAGAAATGAACTCCTCTGCCTCGGTGCTGGCGGCAAGCTTGTCGACCGCAGTGTCGTCCACTCGCGCCTTCCGAATCATCTTGACCATGTCCCTCTTCTTGCGCTCGGCAGCATCAGGTGGGGGTAAGGCCGTATACGGGTCTGGGTTGGACCACTTGGGGACACTGTTGCCTGAATCGTCGTTGCCAGAACGGCGAGCGCGCTTGTTAGAAGGCTCACCCAACTCATCGTCCGAATTGTCCGAGATTTCCATATCGGCCTCTTCGTCGTCTGATAGCTCGTCGATGTCTCTATACACAATGCCGGCGTCGCCCTCAGCGACCAGCTTCTCATCAACTCCGTCGCGACGCTCGCGCAAAAGCTCGCGCTCAGCTGGGATGATCTTCTGGTATGCGCCTCGGCCGCGGCCACGGTAGGGCCCTCCACGAGGACGTCCAGCCCTGCGTCGGTCATTGCCTTGATAAGGGCGGTAGGAATCTCCTGTCGCAGCCTCGCCTACACCCGAGGGCTTATCCATCCGAAAGGTGAAGTCGCCCTGGGGTGGTCGGGTATCGGGTCTGTAGCCATCGTTGGCTCCGGATCTGCGGCCTGAATTGGCTCCTCTGTAAGAATCATAATGGTCGAGATGACGCGGAGGGGACCGCGATCTGCTAGGGTGGCGTCGATACTCACGGTCCTCGGGCCATGGATTGCGCCAGGTGTCTCCAGCTCCTGGTGGCGGTGGGTGATGGGATGAGCGCGAGTCGTAACGACCATAGTTGCGATTCTCGCGCGCGTTGTTGTGGCCGCCATTGCTTCTGCGAGGCGGATATGAGGGTCTATATGAGCTCATCGTGGGCGCGTTAGGTTGTGGATCCTGGTGTTGACGCGTTAACAAGCTCAAGCGACTGAAATAAAATTCAGGCGGTCGACGTCAAGGACAAAGCCAAAGCCAAGAATTCCCGTGCACCCTGCGGCTATCGATAAGGTAAGGTTCACGTGATGAGCTTATCAAAGGTGGGGTGGTGACGTCCTGTCTTCAGCCTTGTCCCACTTTTCTGTTACCAATTCTGCATGCATCTTAACCTCGACTGTGTGCACAGCTTAGTTGGCTCGTAGCAGGATCATTGTGAAAGTAAGTGTATTATGTAACCATCACTTCTAGCTGCACTCATATGGACTTCAAAAAGATATCATGTGGACTAAAGAAGCATATCTTTAATGAAAGCAATATCGGCACAGGCAGACATGGCGTATTAAGATGACCAAAACCTTGCCAAACTGGGCTTTCATAAGCGTGCTTTCATGTCTTCCGTTTGTGTCTTGGCTTTGATGGGACAACACAGTAAGTCAATGAGGATCCACGCACGCATCGTTTCCATGGAGATCCCATGCCACATTCATTTCTACCTACACTCGACTTCCAAGAACTTGACCATAACGCTCCGGTGGCAGGTAAGGAAACCTTACCATGAGAACACCAATCAATATTGAATGTACTTGGGCTTCAGCTGCCAGAGGAGGCCGGCCGCAAACAATGAGGCACTTTCAACATGTTTGTTTCAGGGGGGTGGGCAAAATGTATGCATCTTCGCGATCAGGATGAGCATCCTGTGTCTGCCTGTCACTGGGAGTTCCTCGCTGAGGCCCGAGTCGGCTACGACTCATGCCAATACTCTTGAGACTCAACGTTGAAACCTGACAACCGGCAAATTCGCCCCCATTTTGCAAGTAATTCAAACCAACGACTTCTCTATTACATTCTAAAATACCTACCCTTTTGGGATTGCAGTCCGACTTTGGTTTATTACGAGACTTTCATGCAAGCCCGCTTGCTCCACCGCGGCTTCTGCCCTCGCCCACAAGGCGACATAGACCCGTTCTCCTGCAGGTTCCCTCAACAGCTCCTCTCTCCCCACTCGGGAAAAGCAGCAGCAATCCGCCCAGATCGTCTAGTTGGTTAGGATGATACGTTGTGGTTCTTCTATACAGCGATCCGTGTTGACGGCGGTTCGAATCCGCCTCTGGGCAAGTACGGAATTGACCATCGTGATCGGTTCCCTTTTTGCATTCCGGTGATGAGTTGGTCGGTTCACTGTAGCAGGCCGGGATTGTTTGCTAGGTGCAACTTAGGTGCAACTTGGTAAGGTGGAGTGAGAGTTTGTCAAATTCGCCGAGGATCGGAGTAGTAGAGGCATGCATATATATGCTCACATCAGATCTACAGCACGTGGGCAGGATCAACAGCCAACATACTGCGCGGCCGGTCATCTGGCCGGTAAGTTCATCACCCCGAGTCCATCCACCGGCAGTTTGATAGCTTCATTGTTGAGTATACAGTACACAAGGTCCGCGTTCTCTAAGCCGACCTCTCTTTCTCTACTCATCGGCCCAACTCCTCATCGTTGCGCTCCCGGTGTCTTATGGTACAGTATTAACACATTCCCGCGCAGGCACCGCCCTCTTTTTATATCGTCTAACCATGCCAATGCTGGCGGTGCCGCGCCGTGAAAATAAAAAGAGATCCCTCCCCAGAAACGCCTTGCCATGCGGAGTCGAGTGAAGTTTGTTCCAATACAGTTGTTTTACCCAAGGCCATCCCCTTTCTCGAGCGAGGTCCGCGTTGGCAGATCACCCACTCTATGGCCTTCCGTCCTTCGGATTCGCTTCCGCCTGTACGTCGGTCGATCAGTCGGTTACGGTTCCGCCCGCCGCCCCGGGCACCGTGCATGCAACCCGCTCACCGGTCCTTGTAAATCTTGGGCTTGAACCCCTCCTTCACCTCGGACTCGACCTCCTCCTTCTCGACCAGCGGCCCAATCTCCTTCTCCAACCTCTCTCGCGCACGCAGGACCTTGCTCTGAAGGTAGAAGCTGCCGCCCTTCTTGGGGTCGTTGGCGTCGAACAGCTTCTTGAAGCGCTCCATGACGTTGCCCGCGCTCTGGGTTCCGTCCTTGGGCGCCTCGACGTCGAGGATCTTGCAAGCCTCGTCGAGAGTCATGCCGGACGACAGATTGCCCTTGGCTCCGGCGGCCGCGTTGCCGTTCTTGGCCTGCGCGCGCTGGTACTCGGACGAGGCCTGGGCCTGCCTATAAGCGGCGGCGAAAGAGCGGCCGACGATGCGGGTACCGACGAAGAGGACCTGAGTGATGAGGCGGTAGGCCTTTGGTGGATGTTCGTCAGCCGAAAGCTTCAAAGATGGCGACATGTCGCGAAGAGCTTCGGGAGGCGCATCGCATCGCATCGCATCTGAAGTGGGACGAGGCTAAGGGACTCACCATGTTTGCGGGTAGTGGAACGTAGTCCACGTAATAAGGGATACGAAAGGGGACTGTGGAATCGAAGTTTGGCTAGTCGCGCGGTCTTGGGGGGAACCGGGATGCGATGTCGCGCGTTGAGGGCTGGCTTGTTGCGGAGGACCGGATGGGCACTGCGTTGGCTCGCAATCCAGAAAATTCCAGTTCACGATCGGGAGATTTTGCCGACAAGAAATTCCGGGCTTGCCCAGCGCCATCGGAGGGGCGAGTTTGCCCGTGCGCCGAGAACTTGTTCTCGGACGCCACTTCACTTAGTACACCTTGGCATGCTCACAGCTGGTGGCAGCTGTCTGACTGCCTGGGGAGATGCCATCCTCAACACATTTCCTGTCACAATATATAAGCTACTATTACTGCCCACGTAACTAACGGTATCGTTTTGTTACGTGACAGTTATAAGCCCAGATCCTACCTGCTAGTATGCCACAATGGTATATGTGTCAATTTTAAGTGCAGTAACTAGCTATATAGATCTTAAGCACCATGGGTTTAATTCCCATTAGGGTCAGTCCCATGGTCAAAAATCCTACCAAAGTCTATATGGATCTTCACCACCTATAATTAGCGAGATGTACCTAACTAGATTTTCATCAAAAGTGTGTTCAGATCTGACTTTCTAGGTCAAATCTACGGGGTGTGTCACAATATATAAGCTACTATTACTGCCTACGTAACTAACGGTATCGTTTTGTTACGTGACATTTCCCATCATCGGTATAGATTTCTCTCGTTGACAAGTAGCAAACGGGCCATGGTAAGATCAAGTTTACGGAAACTTTATACTCTCAGCAACAAGCCTATTATTTTGGTAACCCTGAGTTGGCCTCTGGTTGAACTATACCCTTAACGTTGTGCATATACATAGCGCAGAGGCAAAGGGAAACCGCAACATCTACTTAGATATTGTCAAAAGTGCTGCATTAGTTAGTCGGCAGTAGACCTACACACACAACCTAGATAGCTAGGTGTCGTATGATTAACATTTGTGTAGGTGTAAAGCATCCTCGTCATCCATTTGTACGATCCTCAGCACTAACCAAATACCATGCACAAAGACCGGCATGCCCATTTGCAGGCCTCCTCCTTGTTCTTTTCCAAGATCTAACCATGCACAAAGACCCACCATATCTCTAGCGCGTCTACGCTTCGTAGCACCTATATAAAAGTATACACTTAGTTCAGGATCCCAAGGATAGCTAAGCTTGTTGTTTGTATACCTCTCCTATGTAGATGCTAGCTTCTAAATAGCCTAGCTCTATTATAGCAGTAAACGGCTCTGCTATACAGACCTTTATGGACGCAATTACGTAGGTCGAGCTGCTAGTGATTGCAAACGAGAGGGAAAGGCTAGCAGGTCAGTGATATTCTCATTACTCCTACTGTTATTGCTACCTTTGCCCTGGAAAGGGACGGAAGAGGCCTGGGAATGGGCACGCCGTTCGGCCGAGATGGGTGTGGACGAATGAAGTATATTGACGCTCGCCATACGCAAGGAAAAGGGCTGCCGTTCTGATTGATGGGTCCTCGATGGACACACTGCCGCCACTAGCGTGCATTTTAGATGTAAACTGGCTAGTTCAACCTACCTTGTTCTTCGGCACTCCCATTAAACATTTACACGAGAGCTATTTACGCTTGTACGCAACACGTATCAACGAAGGCTAGATCAAAAGATCTCTTAAGACCAAGCGGTGGTTGCGCCAACGGCCTCGCCAGAGGTGGGAAGTAAGAAGCTGCTCGCGGCGATCTTGCCGTTGGCCTGGCGCGCGCCCTTGACGAGTCTGACCTCGACGCTCTTGAAGCTCGTGTTAGTCCAGGTCTCGCTCCCGTCCCACGAGTTACCGATACTGGTAGTGCCGCTGGCGAGGGATGTCTGGCCCGACTTGGCTGTCGTCCCGGAGTTGGCGGCTGCGACGTTGCCTGCGAGCGTCGACTTGCTCGTGATGGTTTGGAAGCCAACGGCGCCGTTGTTCCACGCCGTGTTGCGCGTGAACCGAAAGCTGCCCGGCTGCTTGTTGTCCGTGAATCCCTTGGCGACATTGTCGAAGGCGATACAGTTGGTGATGACATGGCTGGCCGCGCCAATGTCGGCGGCATCGCCGCCGCCCAGCTTGAATCCGTTACCATCCCCCTGGAAGTCACTGAAGCCCCATAAGTTCACGCCGTTTCCCCAAGATATAGTATCCATGATAGTAACGGGAGACTTGAACTCCCTATTGGGCTGTTAGTCGAGACCGATATGTAGGTGTCGATAACACCACGCCCGGCTACAGAGGCCGCCTTGATCCACAATTATATAAGAAGACATGAATTCAGGATGAAGTAGTAGGAGGTACAAGCACCTACCAAAGGTCAAGACCATCGTCGACGTTCTCCCAGAGACGGGCGCCCTTGAGGATGTTGCCTGTCCCGGATCCCTCCTTGCAAGCAAAGCCGTCGGCGCTCTCGCCATTCTTGCGGGGGTCGCGGTTGCGGTACGAATCGAGGTAGACGACCTGGTTGTTGCTCAGGGCGCCCTGCATCTGGAAGCCCGTCTCGTAGTTGTCGTGGGCAACGATGTTCTCAAAGTAGTTATTGGAGCCGTCGCGGAGGTAGACGCCGTAAGGGCCGTTAATGATGGTGAGCTTGTAGAACTTCCAGTAGCTGGCCTATTGTGTTGCAGCGTCAGTGGAAGCCTTCCATCATGATTAGGACCCCATGGCTCGGCCAACCTTCTCAACGTGGAGGACACCACGGTCGGCGTTGGGAAGAGATGCACCAAGAGCAGCCGGGGTTCCGGGCAAAGCCTCGCCGTCAATGACGACCGCCTCATTGTTGTAAGCTGTCAGAGTGTAAGGTTTGGCGGCGGTACCGCTCTTGGTGATCTGGATGTTGGTCGTGGGCGAGTAAGTGCCAGTACGCAGGTAGATGGTGTCACCGGCAGCGGCCTTGTCAACAGCAGTTTGGATCGACTTGAGGGGGGCAGCAAGGGTGCCGGCCGCACTGTCGGAGCCCGTGGGTGCGACGTAGAGGTCGGCTGCCGGAACGACTGGAAGGATGGCGAAGAGAAACATGTAGAGTCTCATGATTGCTATTGTTGGAAAGAAAAACGAGCAATAAGATGAACAAGGAAAAGATTGAATGCGAGACTATAGCTATCCAAGTACCAGGTTGAGAACAGCCGGTGGTCTACAGTCGAATTAGCGGCCATCAAGCTTAAACACAATGCCTCGCATCATCAACAGGGAGTCCCTACTTTGACAGCGTCTTCCTCGGCCTGGGCCCATGTTGATGATGTGCCTCACCCAATCATTTCGAGTTGCACACCGTCAGAGTCTGATAGGCAAACATCCTATCCCACCCAAGACCATCGCGTTCCATCTGACGCCATCTGTGAGCTCCCCTGTCATATTGGGGTCGAAGACGAACCGTCCTCCCGTTGGTGGAAAATCGTCTCCACAGCCGTAAAGGCAGCCCATTGATGGATGCTGGGCACGAGATGGGATCCATCGACCGTCTCCGTTGCAATTGAAATCCCAGCAATACAGAGATTCAAAGGACCGGTTGCCAGGAGGTCCCCTGGGATACGATGGTGATCTCGTCGAGCCGCTGAAAAACTGAATGGCTCCGGCTGCTCGGTCTAGTCACAATGAGGTACATTGAACCCCACAGAGTAGTCGGCAACCTCTTCCTCTCATTTTGCCTGGGCTTGTCCTCGGGAATAGTAATCCCTGGAGCCAGCACTTGCCTATTGGCAAGGCAGTGGGCAGAGGTTGCGCTTCGTTTAACGTCACACTGAGGGGCATATAATGGATTTCTGTCATTCATATGAGTTTCTATCTAAGACCTGCTGTATTATTGAGCAGTTCATCTCAAGTTTACATGGAGAAACGAGAGATATCATCCGAAGCTCTGGTCGTTGGAATAAGTACCTGGTTAGCTTTCTGAAGAGTGATCAGACAAGCTGATAGTGTCCCCCCCATGTCCACCCGAGAGTACCGTGCACAATAACTGTGATAAACCTCAGCAGACAGTGGATTTAGTGATAACACAACTATCTTAGAGGCAAAAGGGATGGTCTTGGCCTATCCTGACCTAGCAGGGTGGGTTAGTACTATTCCAACCCTCCCCGGCAGAGCCGTTTTGTAACTAAAAAATCTAAGAAAACTGGATTTGAACCGGATTTGAACCTGCAGCCTTTAGGATATGAGGTTTATCGCTGTTATCGTGCACGGTACTCTCGGGCTGACAGGGGGGGGACACTATCAGCTTGTCTGTAGACTCACGGTTTATCATTGATTTTTATCGATAAGGCATATCGATAAGACCTTATTGAAGCTCTGATCTGACACCTCGCATTCCAGGCACCAACATATCCCCAGGTCCCACTCCACAGCTCCTGCCCTGGCTGACGTGGTGAACCTCGAAAGAAGCTACATCTCCAATATCGCAAGCTCGGGTACAACCTGTCCTTTCCCACGCCAAACCACGCGTCGCTCGCAAGCTCCCCTCTGGCGCAAAACGGCTCTTGAGCCCACTATCCGCGACCATCTCCCGTTCTCTCCAGAAACTCCATCGCAATCCGTACACAGCGACAGCGACCAACTCTCGATCCTCTCAAAGGTTGCCCTCTCCCCTTCGAAACGGCGACGGTCCAAGACAGGGGTTGAACAACCTCGAGCCATAACCAATAACCGCACCCGGAACGTCCCTTTTTAAAAACCCCGAAGCCACCCGACGCGCTCCCGCAACGCTCATACCCGCGGCGATGTCCAACTACTACCCGCAACAGTCCTACGGCCCCGGCCCCGGAACGGGCGCCCAGAACCTCCAATTCTACCCCTCCTCCTACTCCCCCGCCGAAGCCGTCTCGGGCCACGCGACCCCACAACAGGCCTCTTACGGCTACGGGGGCCAGCCCTCCGCGGGCCAGTTCGGCGGCGGCAGCGCCGCGGCGGCTTTTGGCGCCCCCCCCGGCGTCTCAGGCCGCATGGGTGAGCAGGGCGGCCTGCGCACCGGCTGGCTGGCTGCCTTCTCGACTGAGGGCTATGAGGGCGAGCCGCCCTTGCTCGAGGAGCTGGGCGTTAACTTCGGACACATCCAAGCAAAAGTGCGATAGCTTCCCGTCTCTTCCCATGCCCATGTGACAGCTGGCCAACGGCATCCCCCAAATCGTTCGGATGTTTAGAGTAAAACTAACCAATAATCCCCCCACCTCTCTAGACCCTCGCAGTCCTCAACCCCTTCCGCCGCATCGACCAACATCTAATGGACGACAGCGACCTCGCCGGCCCCCTCCTCTCCTTCCTCCTCTACGGCACTTTCCTCCTCTTCGCCGGCAAGGTCCACTTCGGCTACATCTATGGCCTCGCCCTCCTCGGCAGCACCTCGCTGCACATCATCCTCTCCCTCATGACCCCGACCGACGCCCACCCCTCGGCCTCGTCGCACCAGGCCGCGCCCCAGTACGGCGGCCCTGTCGGCGTCGGCGGCGGCTACCCAGGCGCCCCCGTTGACCACGGCCACCCCTCCCGGGGTCACTTCTCCACCACCCTCACCTTTGCGCGCTCCAGCTCCGTGCTGGGCTATTGCCTCCTTCCCCTCGTCGCCACCAGCCTCTTCGGTATCGTCATGCCCATGGACACCCCCCTCGGCATCGTCCTGACCACCATGGCCATCCTGTGGTGCACCTACTCAGCCTCGGCCATGTTCTGCGCCGTCGGCCGCATGCGGGGCATGCGCGGCCTTGTGGCCTATCCCCTGGCGCTGTTCTACGTCGGCTTCGGCATCATGGGTATCTTCAGTTCTAGGGGAAGCGGCGGATCGCTGGCCAAGGCCGCGGCCGGCTTGAAGGGATGAACGAAGATGGAAAAGGAAAGACGCAAGGGGGAAGAACACATCAGCTCAGATATTGATAACCTTTCATCCAGTCCTTGGATAGCAGACGACTTAGAGCAGCAAGCCGGGACCGAGAGAGTCTCCAAATACCAAAGCGCAGAGGCCACATGGCTGGGGCTAGAAATGGAGGGATAAGACATCACAATTGGAGTCCAAAAAAGGGAGGAGTCATGATAGACGGGCAGGGAGGCAACCAATGACATGACTTGCCAGCGGCGAAGAGGGGGCCGGGGGCCGAGACGATGCTCCAAGTCACTGTACAATATCTAATCAATGTTCAGACGAAGCCAGAATAAAAATGTTGATATTTCAACGCCTTCTCCCCCTTTTTTCCATGCCTTTCCGAATGAGCGAAAAAAAATTAAAAAATTGCGAGATACCAAGTTGGGACGACACCCCACCCTCCTCTCCTCCATGTCATCTCCACGAGCGCAAGAGAAAGATGATGTATCAGAACCACCAAAAGGCCAAACGTAGTATTACAAGAGACCGCAATCGTCTCGATAACCAAGAGCCTTGCAGTGACGGCAAGCCATATATACACACACGGCCAAGTGGAAGCTCGATGAGCCGGGGTATCCCGGTACTATCATAAAAGAGCCTGACTTCCCTTGAGACCATCGTTCTCCCATATTCGCCCATCCCGTCCATGCCAGGCCGGTGCCACACTCTTGCTGCTGTCTCTCGGTTGAGGATCACACGTCTATAGGTCCGCCTTTTCGGACCGCCGAGGAAAAAAAAAACCGGAACCCTAAACCAAAATATCATATGAATATGCCGCATCATAGAAATACGCTCATGCCAGAAAATGAGCCGGGGGAAAATATCGCAACTCTGAAAATGGTGGCGATGGCTTAAGCTCCTATGCCAAGCTCCACAGTGACCAGGTTTACCTGGTAGTCTTGGTTCCAGCTCGTTCATCATACGTGTAATTTTAGAAACCATCTTCCATATGTTTGCGTCTCTTCTGAAACCCTTTGGCGCATTCTCGAGGACCAAGTGTTCGTCCCTGACTGGACGTCTTAGAACACGGGCCTGAAGCCACCGGTTGCCGGCTGGCTGGCTGCTAGTGCTGCGAAACCATTGACTTTGGGGACGTCGGCAACACCACCCAGGATGGAGTACTGGCCGCCGGCGCCAGCGAAGACGAGCTTCTTGCCGCGAACAGCAGTGTTGTCAATGGTGGTTGGGGTCTCGATGTCTTCGGTCGTGCCCTGGCCAGTCTGGTAGTTGGCGGAGAAGCCCCAGGAGTGAGCCTCGCCCTTGTCATCGATGGCAAAGTTGTTGTCAACACCAGCGGCGACATACACGCACTTGGCAATGTCTGGAATGGCTATCAGTCTTAATCTTGGTCAAAAAAGGGGGCAATGACTTACCCTCAACAACAGTGGGCTTCGAGAGGATACGAGGGTTGTTGCTTTCATCCTTAATGACCCTGTCCTCAGGGAGCTCCTCGACGGGAATACCGACCTGGTGGCCGTCCAGACGACCCCATGTCAAGAGCTTACCATCCTCAGTGCAGGCAAGAGAGTGGTGCTCTCCACCAGCAATCTGCTTAACCTTGTAGTCCTTAAGAGACTCGACGACGGTGGGTCTCAGGACAACGGCGTCGTCCTCGCCAGCACCCATCTCGATGCCAGTTTCGGCAAAGTTGTTAAGGCCCCAGGCCCAAACACTGCCGTCCTTGGCCAAGGCGAAGCTGTGATAGGATCCGCAGGCAATACGGTCAATCTTGCCCTTGGGAATACCCATGCTCTGGGGCACGAGAGAGGCAAGCTTGTTGCGCTCGATGATACGACGTCCGAGCTGGTTCTGCTGACCGCAACCCCATGCAACGACAACGCCCTTGTCATCAAGAGCCAAAATGTGGTTGGAACCGGCAGCAAGTGCGGTGATGTTCTTCAGAGTGGGGAGGTACTCGGGAGTCTTTTGGATCTGGATCTTTTCGGTGAAACCGAGGATACCGTCGCTCGACTACACGTATGTTAGTGAAGGAATTCTCGGATCCCGGCTACAAGCCAACTTACTCTGAACGTGCCCCATCCATACACTCTGCCATCCTCTGTCAGGGCGAAGGTGGCGCTGTCGCTGGCCACAACCTGGGTGAACTTGGCGTCCGGGGCGAAGTACTCAGCGCCGACAGCGGTGGGAGTGCTCTCGCGAGGGTTGATGCCAGAATCATCGTCATCCTCCTCTTCCTCCTCGGCATCAGCATCACGCAGTCCGCCCTCCCAGGTGGTGTCGCGGCCAAGCGCGCCCTGGTCGTTGACTCCCCAGGTTAGGATCTTGTTGTCCTTGGTCAGCGCAGCGACGTGCATGCCACCGCAGGCGATCTGAACAACGCCGACGTCCTTTGCGGAGAGGTGAGGGTTGAGTCTGGGACGCTTAACATCGACAATCTTCTTGCCGTCGAGCTTCTTGCTGCCGAGGCCGAGCTCGCCAGACGAGCCCTCGCCAAAGACGTAGATGTCGAGGATCTGTGTAGGGGCAGAGTTGATCTTCTTGCCAACCTTGTGAGGGTGGGCAGGAGGGGGCTTGGCAACAGCCGTGGCAGTCTTCTTGGTTGACTTGGCAGGCTTTTCAGCCTCGGGCTCCTCATCGGCGGATTCTGTCGCCTTGACGGACTCAGTGGCCTGGCTGTCGACCTCAGCATGGTCGGTCTTGGACTTCTTGGCCTTGGGCTTCTCGTTCTCGGCCTCTTCGCTGGACTTGCGCTTTTTGCTTGCGGCAGAGGCCTTGGTCTCGGCCTTGTTGGCGGCAGCCGTCTTCTTGGGCTCGGCCTTCTTTGGGGCGCTCTTCTTTACTGGCTTCTTGGCCTTGGACTCATCCTCGGTCTCTTCAGCAACAGCGGCCTTCTTCTTTGCGGCAGCTGTGGTAGCCTTTGTCTTCCTCGCTGCCGGCTCGGCATCCTTCTTGGCGTTCTTCTTGGTCGCGGGCTTCTCAGGCTCCTCCTCGGCGGACTCTTCGGCAGACTCGTCTACTTGCTCTTGTTCCGCGAGCTTGCGCTTCTTGGAGGCGGCAGTCGCGCCGTTGGTGGCTGTGTTCTTCTTCGCGACGGGCTTCGCAGCGGTCTTCTTGGGGGCCTCAGCAGCCTTCTTGGGCGCGCTGGCCTTAGGCGCAGCTGGCTTCTTGGTCGTGCCCTTGGGAGGCATGATCTTCAGGTGATTGTGATGATAGGATGGTGTGTAGGTAGGGTCTTGGCGAGAACGACGCGCGTGTAAGAAAGGCGACGGGGGATGGGTAGGGTAAAGGGGGATATTTCAGTGATGGCAATTGCAAAAGAAAACAATGGCGACGCGAATTGGGGTGATTGAGGTGATGGATTTGGAAACAAGAGACTCCGAAAGAGTTGTGTGCTCTTGTTTTTGGAGAGAAAGAAAATGTTTCGAGGACGGGGACGTGGGCGAAAAGTGACGCGACCGGTCAGGCGCAGCTTTATTTTCTTGGCCCTGTGGAATTCTGACCAAGCAGGGGTGGCGCTTTGTGGCTTCCGGGCGCGACGCTGGGCCGCGCTGCAGCAGAGTGCGCCGTGTCCCCAATTGGCTTTTTGGTGGCCGACCTCGCCTCTTGGGCCTCTTTCGGTGCGATCGGGTGGGAACATACGTGGATTCCCACTTCTGGGCCCTTTTTGGGGGGGCCCTCACGACAAGGGGTGGCCTGAGCTCCGGTCTCTGGGAACCAATTGCGTCAAATCGAGAAGCTAGCCCCCTGTTGTCGGAGCTCCTGACCGCCCGCCCTGTCGCACTTGCCCTTTCTTCATGGCAGAATCTACGACTAGTTGATGACAAGGGGTGGAAAGAGAGAGAGCGAGAGAGAGAAGAAAAGAAAAACAGAAGGGAAAAAAAAAAAAAAAACCATCACAGAGGTCGATGTGGGTCCACGACCTTCCGGTGAGTCGCGGAACCCTCGCATTCACTGTCTGCCGAGATGCCCTCCCAGAATCCCCATAGCCACGAACAAGTCAGCTCTCATTTCTTTCGTCAAATTGCTCGAAATTGTGCCGAATGCCGTCTGGCAGGTCCTTGTCTGTCTGTCTCCCTGTCTGTGTACACCAGTCTTTTATGAATTGGTGTTGTTCAACCGTGGCCCAATGCCGAGTTCTTTTATGTGTCGAGGCGTCATTGCTGTGAAAGTCACATTTGTTTTGTGCCTAAGGGCTCGACGCAGAGAGGCGTATGACACAATGCTAAAGAAATGCCATGCCTCTCTGTAGACTGCCTCGCGAGTCTCGAAGGGCTTGTTAGAATGGGGCACGTGGAGCGGCAGCGTTGACCGCCCCTTTACTGCACGTAGGCACTTTGTGCCCGTCTTCTCATCATATCCCCTCAGATCCACCGATGTGCGGTCAAGCAGCATCAGCCAAGCGCCTGAAGAAAATAAAATTGATTGCCAATGCTGTCCAACATATCGTCATCGCTAGCCCACATAAAGAGCGCTTGTTGCTAATCCTATCTGGCATCCAAGCACCGCTGCTGGAACTGCTCCTGCTTCAAGCTTGACTGCATCACTGCCCCAGCCCCGTATCACTTTTTTCGGTCCTTGGGCTTCCGCGTCTTGACGTTGTGAGACGCCTTCGCCTGTTGTCCGTTGTTTTTCCCTGGGCCCTTATTCTTGCCTTTGTTTTTTTCATCATGACTACGACTTGTCTCGTTTGAACCGTCCGCTGCGGCTTCGGTAGCATTCTCGACTATTTGCTGGTGTGTTTCGGGCTGCGGCTCGCAGACGACGACGTTGATGTCTGCCACAGGGGGGCTCTCCTGGTACTGCTTCAGAATTCGTGCCATGATCCACTCATCCCGCAATCTGCCCAAGGCCGCCAGCAGAAACAAGCAAAAGTATATCAATGACCGGCAGCTGTATTTGGCCGTCCGCCATATGGTGCCAGATATCATCCAGACAACGCCCCATCTCGGCCTAGGCCACGGGAAACGAAGAAACGATGGAGGACAACCCGAATAATAATCGAGGGCAAGAACAATCGCGGTATGGACGATGGACGCAATGGTCGCGTACCAACCGATGCTGAGGGTAAAATGCCACAGTGAAACGATGGCACTCCAGTAGAAGCCACAGATATCGAAGAAGCCCGTAGTATTTGTGTCGGGGTCCTGCCATTCCTACTGGTCGGAATCCCCTGCCTCAGAAGAGGCTTTGCCATAATGATCCGTCAACGCCGGGACACCCTCCACCACATCCTTGAAATAACCCCCAGTGTTAAACGCCATTTCCTTTTAAAGCTTGAATGAAGACCGATGAGCTGAAACTGTAATCACCGACGGGTTGTGAAGTCGGTCTCGTGCTCGCTCGGGTTGAAGGATCCGTCGGCGGCCTTGTCGCAGGTACAGGCGTCTAACGAGTGTCAGTGCAATGCCCCCAAGAGCATATTGGAGGGAGGGGAAACGTACCGGCTGGGCGGACTCCGCAGGCGCAGGTCTCGCCGGCGGGCTTCGCGTTCTCGGTAGAAGCGCGTTCACAGGTGCACTCGCCAGCCGGACGAGCACGGCACGAGCAGCGCGGGCCAGTAACGGAGTTCTCTGTGGAAGCCTTGCTGCAGGTGCAGTGGAGGGCGGCCTTTTCGCCGCAGGAGCACTTGGCTTGCTGGGCTGAACAAGAGAAGGGATAAGTCAGCTTGTAATTCTGTGTGGAAATAATTTTGTTGCGAGCGAATGTGTGAATATTTTCCAAGAGAAGAAGAATGTGTTGTCGTGTTGTTGTATTGAGCAAGTTTACGTGGGATGGCTAAGTAGACGAGTGGATGACATACCGCAGACGCACTCGGCGCTCTTGCCGCAGCAGGTGGAAGCCTTGTCGGCAGTCATTGTGGTGGCTTATTTGGGAAAATGAGGTTGTTCGGCTAGAGAAGAGAAGGAGGGTTCGAGTGTTCAGGTGTTTGGGAGGTTGGATGAGATGTTGTTGGTCTTTGGGTTGGTTCGATTTGTTCTACCTATCTTGGAGGGGAACATCAGCCAAAGGGAGGGTCGCAAAAGGGGTCCTTTTAAGCAACTGCGATGCAGGGACAGAGGGGCCAAGTACCGACGTCACGGTTCCTACCCCCACTCCGGGTGGTCACTGCACTAGGTCATCGTCTAGCTTTCCATTGGCTGGAGATCTTTCCAACCAATCATAACAATGTCATTTCAAAGATACAAGGTGGGCTCTGGGTTGTGCCATTCCATGACCGTCCAGACCCTGATGTGTCAGCCCATCTTCATCATGACAACTGGAGTGTCAAGCGGGTTGCCTCCACAATTGTTTCTGGTCAGCAACGTTCATGCAAGTCCATTCGAATGTGACGCGATGGCTGAGGTGGCGTATTAAGTGTCATATCATACCGTATCCACTCGTTAGATTCGTACACTGCACTGACCATGGGCTGCTGGATAGGGCCTAGCGGGCTGGCAGAAACAGGGATCTAGAAGTGGCAAATGTAGGGGTTAGTCAACGTCAGCAGCAAGTTTGGTGGCAAGGGTTAGGGTTAGATGGGTGGGTGTGTGGCTAGGCTGGCTGACCGCCTTTTGAATTAGGCCTAGTGGGTGGTCAGTGCAGTGTACGAATCTAACGAGTGGATACGGTATTGAAAGCTCCACACTCTTACACGTCCCAGCATAATCATCTCAAGTTGTAGTGCGTATGCTCTCTCTGACTGAAAAGCATCCTCTTGCAACTTCTTACTTATCGTCTTCTGCAATTGGACTGGGCGTACACGCAAGCAATGGTCGGGCAATTGCTACGAGCCACTTGATAGCCTCAGATCGCCCCATCTCGCATCCTTTCATCGCGCCTCGACTCACCTCATTGTAATACAATTATCAATCACATGATTACAACGGCAATGTTCAAGCAAATTCCTTTTTCTTTTATTATTCATTTTTATACGATCATGGCCGGCTTCTCGAGAAACTGAGCCTTGCTTCAGTCCCTGGTTACGTTCGGGGCGGCATGCCACCCCCCTCCTAGTGCCGCTCTTTCATCTGCGCTGCTCCTTCCAGGGCCGGGAGCTCCGGTATGTCGCCATCTTGCGAGGCCGCGCGCCTGACCGTGCTGCCATACTCGCTCCGGTTGCTCCAGCCGGTAGCGTCGCGAAGAGTCGAATCGCTTCCTGCCGCGACTGAGACACTGTAGCCGCCCTGGCTCATGTAGCCCGACGCGCGCTGCCACTCTGCCCGCCGAGCTTCGACTTCGTCGCTGTCCTCAGTGTGCTTGCCGCCCTCGCTTTGCCGTTTCGCGACCGGCCGGATGACGATCCTGATCTGCTTGGCCTCGTCTGCGCTCTTGCTGCCAGCTTGACCGGGCGTGGCCCCGTCTTGACCATCGTGGTTCGGGGAGGCGACTGCGGGCCGGCCCATCGTCATAACGGTGGCTGTCGTTGGCGGTGTCATCTTGTAGTCTTTCTCTGACGGTTGGTGGTGCTCGCGGTTCTTGGCGTACTTGCGGTAGGTTCGATAGAGGTAGCCAAGGAACAACAAGAAGAGCACACCGGTGACAGCGCCCAATGAGATGCTGGCGATCGTGCCCGGGGACAGAGCCGGTTCTGAAGTGGGTTCTGGGGTTGTTACCGCAGTTGGCCCGGAAGGCGCAGCGGTGACGGCGGAGTCCGGTCGCGGCTCTGCAGAGCTTGCTGCTGTGCTTTCCGTAGGGCGTTGAGCTCCGGGATCAGATGGCGTCGAGAACCAAGTGGTAACGCCAGCGTCGGCAGATGTCTCTGACGGAGCGAAAAATATAGTGGTGCCAGCCGATTCCAAGCCACTTGTGAACGTGGACGACAACGTGGTCGTGTCGGTCGACCCCGTCCTTTCGGGAGACAATGGAATTGGATTGGCCGACGGAAGGGACGCCGTTTTCCCAGCAGAAAGCGTCGTTGCGAATCTGGTGGAGGTCACGGTCTGGTTCACGGTCACGGATACGAAGACTTGGTTGAACGCAGTAATAGTGCGAACGAAAGCAAACTTCGTTAAAGTCGTAGTGATCTCAACGGTGATCATAGGAGCCATAGGGACTGGCACCGGAGCCTGTCGTTGAACGCGCGCTGGCCTCGAAAAGAGGGTAGCTCCTTTGGATCGGGGCGAATATGCCGGTAGCGCCACAGGATGCGACTCTTGATCGAATGCAGCCGTATCTGTCTTGCCTCTCGCAGCTATCGTCTCGAATGGCTGCGGAGCAGCAACCGCGCGGGTTTCGAAGACCACGACAGGATTGATGAATGTCAGGGTTTGCTCGAAGGGCTGGAAGACGATCCTGGTCTGGGAGGCAACCTCGACGGTCACAGTCCTGACGACGGTGATGGTGGCGACGGGCAACGGCATCCCAATGGGGGGCCTGGTTGAACTGGTCAGCACTCGCCGCGAAGGCATCATGGGCAGTTATGACGTACGGCAGCTGTTGGCGCGCCCGCATCTGATTCCGAGTCGGGCCGTCCTGCTGTCCGCCAACAAATGCTTCGAGGCGAGTTTCGTCTTCTGCTGAGCTGCTCTGATATTTGCGAACCCTCGTACGCTGCTTCAGAGGCGTAATAGGTGTTTGCGATCTCTCAGTCGAGGAGGGTGGTGCCAATGAAGTCGTCGAGGTAAGAGCAAGGCTGCCGCTCGGTATGACAGCCGCGCTGGTGGTGACCAGGAGCAAGAGAAGACATGCCCAGGCCCAGGCCCAGGCTTTCGTCATGATAGCTATTCTGGATGTCTGTCTTTCGCTCTAGCCTCTATTTCCCAAGAGGTTGCTGATGAAAGAGACAGTTGGCGAATAGTGGAAAAAAGAGCGTAATGGAGTTGGCCTCGTAGAGATGAACGGAAGAAGAAGAAAGGAAACAAACAACAGAACCTTCAAGGCAAGTCTAAGAGAAAGGAAGGAAGCAAGGGAAAAGTGGCGGGCAGAGGGCACGTCTGAGCTAAGGACTAGAGCATGACGATGCCAAACGGAACGCTTCGGCGTTATGTCCTCTGGGAACCAGGTATATCCAGTCACGAAAAGGAAACATTAGATACCTTGGTCAGTGAGCTCAGTCAAGATGGCATCGTCCATTCACTACGAAGATGCGATTGGTCTCCTGAACTGCCCTTGGCTGCATGTCGAGACAGTCTACCACACCAGACTGCGTTGCGAGAGGTGCGCGTGGGGGATTTATGTCTCATTTTGAAGAGTTCGAAGAAGAGGCTCATATCGATCTGTGAGGCATCCCCATACGCCAAGTGGTCACTAAGTCAAGATGCCAGCTGTTAGTCCTACCTTATGTGATTGACAAATCCAGCGACAGGAAAGTATGAAGACCTGTTACAGCTCGATACGATACTCATATTACTGAGGTTAATGTCCAGGAACACCCCAGATACCGCAAACCCGCTCGTCTGATCGGAGACTAATCAGCAGACAGGATCTACGATGAAGACGGAAGATCAAAATGTGACTAGTCAGCATTGCCAAGGATGGAACACGAGCTGACGGCAATCGCCTAGCCTCAGTCCGCGAAACTAAGAAAAGCAAAGTAGAGTGAAGCAAACCAAGACAATGAATGATATGGTCAATCACGCCTACAATTTCCCCAACGAGGGTTGAAATTCTTATTGAAAACATGGGCAAAAGGAAGCGTGTAGTTTGGGAAAGGGTCTTGGTTTATGCGATGTGAGCGGGAAGCGGGAGCCCGAGCGGTGGGGGGGTGGGACGAATGGGCACGGACCATGTCTTGATTGCTAGATTACATAAACAGTCTCAGCTGCTCAATTACGTAAACGGGGCTCATCATTGCAGCGTGAGGCCTCGTGCCCAGCTAGGTAGTGTAGACTAGCTTGCCAAGGACACCGTCCGTTTCCATATCCCTGAATTGTGATTCATAAGACAACCCAAGAAGATATACGCCCAAGCTGCCACGCGACTACGCAGCAAGCAAGTCGACGAGGCGCAGCGCACTCGGGTCACACACCGATTGGGTTGGATCGTTTCGGGAACCTGGTGAGTGTGGTATGATCAGACGCCCGCCATCTCGGTACACGGCTACCTTTTGGGAAACCAAGGGACGCACGCATTCGCAATGTCGTAGGTACATCACACGCACCCTTAGCCCTGTCGCCCTCCCGTCATCCCGGCGCTTGGCGTGTTCTAGAAGGCGACGGGACAGCGAATGTATGTAAAGGCAAGCCCCGGGGGTCGGCACTGGCGCAGGAGGTCAAGTAAACAGACTATGCGAGATGCCACGGGGCCTGACGGAGGCCAAGGAGTGAGGCCAAAAGGCCGTTGCCATGTCTCTCGTATGCGCGTATCGGACTCGCGCCTGCAGTGTCTCTACGCCACGGTAGCGATGGCAGTCGCAGCCATTCCGTCGGTTAGGAAGGTATGATTGGAACGGAAATCTGGGCTCAATTGCGTACCTCCAAGCCCTTTCATACTCTCTGCCACGGGCCATGTCAACAGCAATAGAGGGACATACCACTTGAAGGGAGTTTTCGGGAAGGAGCACAGCTAAGAATTGATGAGGAAACTGTATATTATTTGATTAATGCTCATCTCCGGTTATCTCTCAATGGGCTCCGCATGGGCACTTTGGGCTTGTCGCCTGCCTCCACCTCCTTTTCACTGGGTATCTCGATCATCACTTTTCCATTAATGCTCTCGGCTTTCGTGCCTGAGCTGCTCCTATCTCCGGTCCAGGTCTTTCCGCTGAGCCCGGACATCGGGCTCATGCGGTTGACGTCCAGCTGTTCCGTCATGCCGAGCTCCACGTTGCCGCCGTCCGTCGCGTGATCGGAGCGGAGGCATAGACTCATCGTCTTGGGGATGAGGCCCTTCTCCTCATAATCGTGCTCGGCGAGCTCGTCCCACACCGGGTCCTGCGAGTAGATTGACGAGCTGCGCTTCGCGTCCCACGTCTCGTACATCATGCGCTTGCTGCAGTCGTCCGCCGCTAGGGGCAGGGCCCTGGTCCGCTGCGCGACCCGCGGCGCCGTTCCGATAATCATGTTGCCCAGACCCAGCGTCGTCGGCGAGCGCTGCGTCATCGATAGGACCCTGCCGGGCGGCGCCGGCATCCGTGGCTTGCCCAGGTGGCTTCCCACGCTGCCGTTCCTGCTCCTCCCGGCGGCGGCGGACGAGCGCGAGCCCGGCGCCGCCCACGGATACCCGTTGTACGTCAGGCTCGTCAGGTCGAAGCTCTGCCCCGTCGAGGGCTCGAGCGACCGCCTCCGCTGCGCGCTGTTCATCCACCGGGGGAACAGCTTGGCCAGCAACGGCCGCAGCGTCGGCGCGCTGGCGCAGATGAGGGCGACGTTGCACTCGAGGACGGTCATGACGAAGAAACCCAGGGTGTTGCGGACGGCGGCGCTGTCGGGCCGGTACTGCAGGTGTAGGCTGAGCTGCAGGCGGACCATGCTGGCGACGATGACAAAGATGCCGAGGCTCATGACGGCTCCGAGGGCGACCTTTTGCCGGTGGGGGATGTCGAGGCGCCTGACGGTGGGGATGACCATGACGATGAGCCCGGCGTCGGTGGCGGAGTGCAGGCTGGCGCTGGAGATGAGCAGGTCGGGGAAGTTGAAGCACATCATGGGCTGGCCGAAGAACAGGCCGGGGCCGGGGTGGCACTGCAGAAAGCTCATGAGCAGCATCGGGACGCTGTAGAGGAAGACGAAGACGACGCCGGCCCGTGCCAGAAAGCGCTCCCGCGGGCGGCAGGCGAAGACGCGCATGTAGAAGGCGAGGATGGAGAGCTTGGTGAGGCACAAGGACAGCTGGTAGTAGATAAGGCCGAGGTAGGTGCGCATGATGTAGGGGTTGGCGTCCAGGATGGAGGAGGCGCCATCCACGGGGGCGCCAAGGAGCCAGGGCGTCAGGGCGGTGATGGCGTAGACGACGCATAGGGCGGTGGAGAAGAGCCAGGAGAGGAACATGAGGGTGTCATCGAGGAACCACTTGCGGGTGACCCAGGTGCGGCAGACGACGCGGGAGAAGATGAAGAGCGTGCAGACGGCGTGGGGGAGGAAGATGCCCACCATGTAAAAGGGGATGCCGGCATCGTGCTTGTATCACGGGTCAGCGGGTGGATTTTGAGAGCACCTTACTTGAGAGGGACTTACAATCTCCTTGAGTACAGCCGCCGTTAATGTCGGAGACAGCGACGACGGGTGGTTGCGGGTGACGAGCTCGGTGATCCTGCCGCCAGCCATGGCTGCAAAACTGGCTCCGTGAGGCGCGCAGAGGTGCTCAAAGTGTCTGGTTCTTGCTGCGATCTGCCACGGCAGGGTGATACGGTCGATGACTTACATCACTCGAAAGGCCCTTCGTCTAGGCGACGTTCAACGCAAACCCTACGTGAGGGGCAGCCCGGGCCTCTTGTAGATTCTGCTGATGTAGTCGTGGCCACGTCTGAGAGTCAGAGAGGTCGACTCTATTTCGTCATGCGGGTCGTCCAACATGTTTAGTCCATCGCACCCCGGTCATGACACAGCGGGCTTCCCGGCAGAGGCCCTGGAGAAGCATGTCCCGAGTCCCGACAGATAGGCGACGAGCCCCCGCGTTTGAGACCCGGCTCGATTAGTCGGCGCGGGTGCATTGCCTCCTGGTGTGTGTGTGTGTGTGTGTATGTGTGTATACGTGTGTGCGTGCGTGCGTGCGGGTGTACGGTGTGGTGTGGTGGCATAATGGTGGTGGTGGTGATGGTGGTGGTGTAGAAAAGCGGGTGGTAAGACGTGCTTCCTCTGCAACACCCAGCAGACTGTTAACATTCAAGACTAGACCAACGCATTGAGCAAGGCGAAGATAAGAAAATATATTTGTGCCAGATGTGAGCACCAGGATAATCGGGCGGCATATCGCAATTGGGTGGACTGGGGTATGGATTTGGTCTTGGCAGAGAGGCGGGCTATTTATTGATGCTGACCACAGCTCGACGTTCCGCTTTGCCGTTCTTCTTCGTTTTCATGTTTCCTTGACGCCGATCATACCGGCAGAGAAGAAGCGGGTTGATAGGATATCGTTGGTCATACATCGCCACACACGCCCCCCTTCTTATCTTTGCAAAGATGGAATGGAAAACGGCATCCCGTCCGACCAACATGGCTACCAAGAACAGGATATGGACGAGAAGGACAAAGTCAAGCCAGACCCCAACCCGAGCGAATGTCTTCCCCGAACCCGCGTGCTACTAGGTAGTGGCCGCTGTAGGGATCTCCCGACTTGCGTGCTACGAACTCTCTCTCTCTCTCTCTCTCTCTCTCTCTCTCTCTCTCTCTCTCTCTCTCTCTCTCTCTCTCTCTCTCTCTCTCTCTCTCTCTCTTCATGGCACTCGGACACAGCTCTCTGCCCGTCGGTCTGCAGATTTTCTGCAGTCGTCTGCAGCCAATGCCGAGGAATTCTTAGAACTTGCCGCACCCTGGCCTTCCTAAGGTCCACTCTTCTCTTGGCTCATCGGGGATGGCGGAACCCTGCAATCCCCCCCATTCCGATCCCTTCCTCTCCACACACACGCATACACACACGGCGCAGATCCCGCACCAAACCAACCACATGCTCACCTGCAGACGGAGCGTTGTCCAGGGCTTTCCCAACGTGGAAGCACAAGTTCGCGCAGCAGCCCCGATTGGTGGGCCATTTCACTCTGGACTGTTTCTTTTGCTCGCTTTCAATCGACGCGCATACACACACACACAATGCACGAGAGGGCGATGGGGATTAAGGGCCAGGGAAGGACGGTATGGGCGAGAAAAATCGACGGGCATGGTGATTGCGTTTAACACGCAGAGCTAGATCATGCATACTTCGTCCTATCTCTCCCTTTCTCACTTTCTTCTTCTCCCCCCTCTGCGGATGGTACACGTGTATACTCACCCGCTCAACCCGCTCACCCACCCACCTACTCACTCATTCACTCACTCACTCATTCGCTCACTCACTCACTCACTCATGCGCCCAATCACCCACCCGCAAGCTGCTCCCGTCTTCCCGAAGTCTGTTTTTGACCGATCCAACCAAGCTCCTCCGGAAGAATTCGCGATGCTCACAGGTCCAGCTTCTCAGAGCAGAGTCGAGTCGGAGAAAACCTGCTGGACTCCAGCTTACTCAGTAGTAGGTGTGGTTGCCAAAGAGAGTGAATCACTGAATGACCGCTTGGTGCCCCGTAGTCTTTCTGCGGGCCGCCCTTCCCTCCTTCCCTCCTCGCCGGCGCAGGGACTCCGCCCGCGAAGATGCCCCATGTCGTGCGCCGATTGCCCTTTCGCGTGTGTGCCTTGGAACGGGGCCGAGGGCATATCGAGAGTGCTGGGAGTATATGGGAGGGAGAGAGGTACAAGAAGTCTCCTTTTCTTGCCGTCGCTTTGGCGGGCTGAACCCGGGTGAAGGCGAAGCCGTGAGAGTCTACCTGGACTCAGGATCGCGGAGAGAACCAAGCGGTGCGGTCGCAACGGCGAGCCTGGCGGTTAGGGCTCAACTCTTTGAGAGGGATGCATGCCCGCGATAGCATCGTCTGTGCGACAGCGCCTCCCACGGCCCTCACCTATGCCCGAGGGAGGTGAGATCTCGAGCAAGTCTTATTGCTGATGCTTGTTCTGTTCTGACATGACAAGGCCCCCCTCCCCCCCCCCCTTCAGATCCATCGAATTCACTAAACTCAATCAATCAAACTCCGCCAAAAGGAGAAAGCCTTGTGTGTCTCTGAAGCCCTGCGGACTCCTCCGGGGCGGCGCGTGGATGAAAGCTTGATTACATACATACGAATCTCTGGACGGAGAGCCGCGCCGAGCAAGGAACTTTCCTGAGCAAACGCAAGCCCCGTCTTGGCACGCTGCCTTTCTTTGCAAAAGACTTACGTATCGAAATGAGAAAGCACCCTCCTTTTCCAAGCGTCGCACGTCGCACCGAAGCCGTCGAAGGCGTGATGCCGCGTGTGGTCCGCGTCGCGAACGAGGGCTTGCGCAACACTGACATGACGAGTTGGAAGCGGTTATGAAGCAGAATCGCGGAAAGATAGTCGAGCGTAGACCTGAGGATAGTTCGACAAATCATAGGTAGCATGTCATGTCTGTCTCGTGAACGTACACACCCCCTGGGGCCGAGGCTCGTTGCACGCGTTGCCGCAGCCAATAGAGGAGCTGACGCCGCTTGCGCAACGATTAGACTTCTACGCCATCCTAACCTCCTTCGCCAGTATCGGGATCACAGCCACTTCCAAGGAAATAGAGACCAAAAAAAAAAAGGGAAAAAGTAAACCATAAAAAGAAAAAGAAGGAAGCTCTGAACGCCATTCGAAATGCCACCCCCCTCGTGCACGTCATTCCGTCCCCTCAATCTCTTTGACCTTGTCCACTACCTTCAGGTAGCCAGGCTCCCTTTGCAGCCGGTCGACATAGTCGAACAGGACCGGGTGCGCCGCCCGCGCCGAGCCGCCCGGCCAGCGTCCCATGGCGTCCCAGGCGCCCTCGGCCTCGGCCGTGATGAGGGCGAAGCTGATGAGGATATCGGCGGCCGTGAGGGAAGGGCCACACAAGAACGGCGCCGCGTTGCCGGGCGCCACGCTGGGCGCGGTCTTGAGGAAGTGCTCCAGCATGGCGAGGTGCTTCTTGGCGTTGGGTAGGATGACGATGGAGAATATTTGGTTGGCGACGGAGGAAGTCAGGGGGCGGATGAGGAAGGGGACGTTGCTCGATTTGAGGACTGGAAGGTTTACGATATGTTAGAAGCCGCGATTCTGGGGTTGGGGTTATGGGGGCGTCCTGACCGTTAAAGAGGAGGAACTGCACAATCACGGGGAAGAAGCTGCCCTCGATGTAGTGCAAGAGGTACTGGAACCTCGAAAAGGCCACGGTCTCGCCGCCGACGCGTCCCTCCTGGCCCGGCCTCCATCGCGGCGGCACGAGGCCCGGACTGCGGTGGCCAAAGTGGTCGACGAGGTACTGGGTAATGTACCCGCTCTCTGCGAGCCGGATGGGCTCCGGCGCAGATGTCGTCCCCGCGAGATCGGCCGTGGAAGATGCGAGGGGCGTGATCTCGAGAACCGGGGCCTTGCCCAGGGGGTGCACCTCTGCCAGCTCCGGTGGCGCAAGGCGGTTGGAGGCGCGGCGGAAGGTCTGGACGGTGTAGGGGATGCGGAGCTCCTCGAGGAGCCAGAGGGTGTTTTGGGCGCGGGAATCGTTCAGCCTGGGGAGGTTCGGTGAGCGAGAGTTCATGGTATGGGGTGGTAGGAAGCCGGGAAAGGTACCAGTAGAGCTTCACTTTCGGCAACTCTTCTTCCGTCGCCATTGCGGGTGGTGATCTGGTCGATGCCAAGGTTCGTGAGGTTATGAACGCGGAGTGCAGCGGATGGGCGAATTGGCTTCGCGTTTGAAAGGAGGCCTTGAGCTGTGATGAGAGTATGCCGTGGGCTAATGAGCTCGAAAGGCAGCAACGTCTTGCAAACATCTGGATTGGACTCATTGTAGCGATAGTTCGGTCGCGCGATAACGTGTCGTATTTAACCTACTTCTCGTTCCACTGCCAGGCCTATTGACGTGAGTCCTGTCATCGTAAGCAACCTATCTCGAAAATGACGCGGTCGCTGCAGGACCAAGGAGGGGTGCGCAACGTTTCCGCTTTGTCTCCGAAAGGGGACGGAGAGAGACTTGGCCGTAAGACGGCGTAAAGATGTGCCAGGGGGGCCAACAGATCATCGGCAAGAACGAATTCGTGAGTCTTGTCAGGCGTCTCGCTATAGCTAAGCCCAATAGGGCTTAAAAGGGACTGGGATCAACGCTGAGCATTGCGGCTTACGAGACTAATCCCAGACGTTCTTGGGTGAAGAGCGTCAGCTGGAATATATTCTGTGGTAGGTTCCCGGATACGACATGCGGTAATGACTAGTCATATTTGAAGGCTCTCTTGATTTTTCGATTAGGGAGTGCGACAGTCGTGTCGCCAGAGTTCCACTAAGAAGGGAAACGTGAAAAACGGACCGAATGCTTCAAGCAATCCATTTGCGATTCGTCTGCCGCAAGAGAACTGGTATTTTCATCTCGGCTGGCTTGCTCGTCACCCCTACAGCTTCCTCTTGATGAGGCCCCTCCAGAAGTCGAAGCTGTTCTCATCGCTCTGTAGCGCCCACATCCTGCCCGTCTCCCTCCCCGCCGAGTCGACCTCGACGGCCTTCAGCATGCCCCAGTCCCTCGTGATGCCCACTACTTTGGCCCGCGCGCCCGCCTCCGCCTCGAGCGTGACGTGCTGCCCGCCGTGCAGCCAGTGCGCGTAGTACCGCTCCTCGAGGTCGCGCGAGAAGCCTTCGCGGCGGAACTGCTTGTACAGCGCCTCGAGTCGCGTGAGGATCCGCGCAAGGAGCGCTTCGAGGTGGAACCCGTCCGCGAGCGACGCCGGCGCGATGGCGTTGAGCGACGTCGTCGGGCGGGTGTTTGTCGTGTTGATGCCGATGCCGAGGACGATCTGGTAGGCGCCCTGGGAGTAGGCGCAGTTGGAGAGGATGCCGCCGATCTTGACGTACGAGGGCGGTTCTGTCGCGGGCGTGTTCGGGTCGCGGCAGTCTGTGCATGTCATTAGCCATGGTACCATCATCCATTCCACAGGCCGAAGCGGGGGAGTTGGAGGGACCTACAGATGTCGTTGGGCCACTTGAGCTTCACGGGAACGTCCGCGCAGCCGTCGTCGTAGGACTTGACGGCTTCGACGATGGCGATGGCGGCGAGGTACTGGATGAAGACGACGGGGTGCGAGGCAGCCAGGTGTGCCGGGTGGTTGATGACCGTAGAAAATATGAGGCAGCCCGCGGGCGAGACCCAGACGTTGGTACCGCGGCCGCGGCCAGCGACCTGGGTCGTGGCCGTGAGCGTGAAGCCAGTCGGGAGATGGGCGAGAAGCTTGGGGTTTCTGCGGATACCATCGTCAGTAGGCGTCTCTCGAAAAGTGAGTGTGAATAGAGTGAGAGAAAGCGGAGAGCAGCATACTTATCCAGGAGGGTATTGGTGCTGGTGACGACCTCACCGTACATGAGGGTGTCACCCCAGTCTTCTGCTGCAGGCTCCTTTGCACGGTACGTCTTGAGCGAGTTGTAGAACAGCCTGTGGTTGAAGCTCGGCGTCTCTTTAGCGTCAGGCCACGCCTCCTCGTGCGGGACGATGACCTTGACGACCCCGTCGTAATCAACCATGGCCGCCGACCTGCCGTCCGGCAGCGCGCCCCTCAGCTCGTCGACGTCCCACCGCGAAGAGTGCTTCTCGATGCGGAACACGTCGTGCTCGCCGCGGATGTACTCCTCGACGTCCGCGCCCTCGCCCTCGCGCGAGATGGCCTCCTCCCACGAGGCCAGGGTCTCGGCGACCTCGGCGTGATTCGCTGAGGTCAGATGCATGCGCGAGAGGGACGGCGGCGCGGACGGGCCGGCGCTGACGTCGAGGCCGAGCTTGGAGAGGCAGGCGCGGAGGAAGGCGACACGTGCAGCGTCGGCGGCGGCGAGGGAAGAGGTGAGGGATGCGTAGGAGGGAATCTGCGGTTGCGGGTGGAGGTTTGCAGCAGCGAACCTGTAGAGCGGTTAGTGTTTGATACTACGGCGAAAAGGGGGGCGGGGCTGAAGTGCTCAGGGTGAGGGCCGGTCAAGATGACATTGCCAGAACCGATCTTGCAGAAAATCACGGCGGCCCGGCCGCTTCCGCCGTCGACGGCGATGTCGTCGGCATACGACGCCAGCACCTCGACGTCGTCAAACTTGTCGGCATCGACAAAGACGCCGCCGCCGTTGTAGTAGCTCAACACCTCGCCGTCCCCGAAACCCTCCTTCACGCGCAACCGCACTGCCCGTGCGCCCCTCTCGCTGTGGTACTCGAACCCCTTGAACGCGCCGCCGCGACAAGGGCCCGGGAAGAAGGCGAGCTCGCGGGGCCCGACGACCTCGAGCGTGCGGTTGCCGACCTCGAACTCGCACTGACGGCTGCCGTAGTAGGCCCCGGCACAGAAACCGAGGTAGGCGCCGCCGCGGCGGACGAAATCGGCGATGCGGCGGTTGCCAGGGCCGTTGAGGACGCGACAGTAGCCGAGGTCGCCGCCGCCGGGGATGACGAGGAGCGCGCAGGTGGGCTGCCAGGGCTCCTTGAGCAGGGCGGACTCGGCGACGGGGATGACTGCGTAGGTGGGAGATAGGAGGCGGCGGAGGGTGTAGATGCAGTGGCGGACCGACTCTACGGTCGTGCCGGTGCCTGGGGGTCGTTTAGAGATGAGACCGTCGTCAATTGGGGAGGGTGATCTTACCGGTATAGACTAGCACGTTGAGCTTCCGTGAGGCCATCGTGCGTACAGGTGAGCGGGCTATGATGGGTAGTATGAGATGAGTTGGTGCGCGAAGAGTGAGTTTCAGTGGTGGGAGTCGCCAGTGTTTTAGGGACACTGTGTTAGAGAACGCCCCCCCCAACAGAATCTCAAACGCCAACCCAAGTCTTCCATTCACACGATCAGAAGGCTAACGAAGAAGGACAAATTGAAGGCATGCACTGGAGCAGCACTCACCAGCGTTGATACTCCAAGCGAGAAGGCGCAATGTCGAAACAAGAGAGCAACGCGGCGCAAAAGGCCGCAGCGGATGACGAGCCCGACGACTGGTACGTTGGTCAACACAAACTTCCTTCTTGCCTTGAGGAACTTGTAGCTCGCGATGCGGTCCGTAAGAGACATCAAGGACCCTCCCGGGTAACAATTGAAAGGCAAAAAAGCGAACAACTCACGAACTAAACATCATCCGTGTGCAGGGACAAGCGCATCTTCAGCACGGGCTGTGCAGGTACGGCGTTCCCCCCGATCTGGTCCGCCTCCCATGTGGTTAGCGGAACGCGCTAACTCTACGCTCTTTTTCTGGCAGACGAGAACGCCAGGTTGACCGATTGCTACTTTGAAAAGAAGGACTGGAGGCAGTGTACGGCCGAGGTTTGTCCCGCTATCAAGTCATGTCGAGTCCCGTGGAGCTTGCATCGACGGTAGAGTGAAGCTGATGATGCTTTTACCTGGCGTAGATGGAGCGGTTCAAGAGCTGCTGGAAGCAGCAGGGCAACGACCAGCGGACCGATATGAAGGATGCATGAGATCCAGAAGAGCACCGATGACTTTGTAAGAAAACATTGTACCAGGAACTATAGACCTTTTTCTTACTTCTACTACCTCCACAAAAGAAAGGCTGATGATGCCGGCAAACGGTAATCATAACCATCACAAAACCTGTCGCGCGCACAGTGTTCATTCACCTCCAAAGTGGCCCAAGCTCCTGCCACCACTACCACCCCGGCCTCGCGTTCACCCGGGGCCGACTAAATTTCAATTTGGCAGTCCATCCCGAAAAGGAACAATTTTTGTCACCTTTTCCAAACCAGAACCGCCCTTTCTTCACCTCGTCCTCTCGACCCTCCCACTCTTTCGATCTTCCTTCTACGGACGAGAGAGCCTGCACGCTGCACAACCACAATGGCGTACCAACGCGCCCTCCTCCGCCCGCTGCTCCGCGCGACGTCACGCCAGTCCCTCATACAGACCGCAAGCGTCACCACGACATCCCGCCAAAACGCCGCTGCGGCCGCCACCTCGACGCAGCGCGCGACGCCGGCCAAGTCCAGCACGAGCTCCAGCTACGTCAGGCGGTCCCCGGCCTCGAGCACCTCCCGCCCCGCCGCCCCGAAAGCTGCACCCTCGAAACCGGCCCCGGCGCCGACGCCAGTGGCCCCTGCCTCCTCCTCTGCCGACGCGGACCCCCTCCCCGACGCGCCGGCGGCTTCCTACCCCGCGGGCTCTACGACCCCTTTTGCCTCTTCTGGCGGGCCTCCCTATCAACCGCATCAGCAGCAGCAGCAGCCGCAGCCGGGGCAGATAATCGACTGGTCGACATCATACTACGGCCTGGGCACCCAGAGCTTCTCCAAGGAGGTCGTCGACATCCTCCTGCAGCCTGTGAACCCTGCCGACGTCGAGGTCAAAGCCGATGGCATCATCTACCTGCCCGAGATCAAGTACAGGCGCATCCTCAATGCTGCCTTCGGTCCCGGTGGCTGGGGCCTGGTGCCCAAGGGCGAGGTGATCGTAGGTGACAAGGTCGTGACGAGGGAGTACGCCCTCGTCGCGGAAGGAAGGTACGTTTGAACTCCTCCTCCTCCGTGACTCAGAAAGGAAGCAGCCAAGAGACTAACACGCAAAACCCCTCCCCGACGCAGATTCATCTCCCAAGCGCAGGGCGAGAACAGCTACTTCGCGCTCGACAGCCTCCCCTCGGCCGTCGAGGGTTGCAAGTCCAACGCGCTGATGCGGTGCTGCAAGGACCTCGGCATCGCCTCGGACCTATGGGACCCCGTCTTCATCCGCCAGTTCAAGAAGGACTACGCCGAAGAGGTGTGGGCCGAGCACGTCGTGAGCAAGAAGAAGAAGCTCATCTGGACGCGCAAGGACGTGCCAGTGACGTACCCCTACAGGCGGACAAACTGAGCCTGGCCGAGGCGATGGGGCGGCGCGGCATGTAGATCTGGGGCCCTCAGCATGACGAACGAGGGTTGTATAAAAATTTGGGGGGGACGACCATGTAGAATTTGGAGAGTGGGCATCTCAACTGTAAAAATAGACACGTATAAACACCACCATGGCCATTTGCCAGTAGAGGCAAGGGCCGTGGACGAAGAGTTTCTCTTATAGACGCATGGGAGACACACATTTCTATAGCGACTAATCGCCACCCTATGCGCAATCACGTTGAGTCGGCCTCATTGGCGGACGTTGAAACGGGACATCGGCTATTGAAAGCGACTATCCCAAGTCTATTCAGCCCCTGAACATGGGAATCTAACCGGGGGGGGGGGGGGGGGGGGGAGGGAGCGCAGAGCTTTGCTGGTCCCAATGATAGCCACCCTCGAGTGTATCCTATCAACCCAAAGACTCCCTCGCAAAGCCGAACCAAAATCATGTAAAAAAGGCCAACACCACCCCTAACGAAACTCCGTTCCCTAGGTACCAAAACACCAATCAGACGAGTGAGACGGGTGCAATCACTTCTGCACACCCGAGCTGGACCCACTCTCGGGGTTCTCGGCCGTCGGCGTCGCTCCCCAGCCCCACGGCATCCACGACGTTCCACCACCCGTCTGCCTCCGCCGGACGATGCCGTCCTCGTCGTTGCCGTCGAGGTCCTCGGCCCCGCTCTCGGCGTCGATCTTTTCAAAGTCCGTCTCGCTGCGCGACTTGCTCAGTCCGCTGTGCGCGCTCATTGGCCTCTGCGTCACCTCCTCCTCGCTGCCACCGTCAAGTTGCATGCTCCCCGGGCGACCGGGCCCCTCGACAGTCTCCGAAGCGGCAGCCTCTCTTTCGAGGGCCTTGAGAAGGAAAGAGAGGCGCTCGCGCTGCGCCGCGATGAAGCTCATCCTCTCGCCGCCCTTAAGCTCTGGTGGGATGATGGAGCCCGACTTGGAAAGGTCCTGGTGCTGACCGGGCGCACCGCCGCCCGCGGCGGCGTTTGTGGCGGCAGTCACGGCGCCAGCGAGGAGGTTATAGAAGTCGGAGCCAGCATGGCCGGCAGGGGCCCAGCGCGCGGTGGGGACGCTGAAGCGGGCGAGGAGCGATTGGGTGTAAGTCTGGGCCGGGGCATTAGAGGCGGGGGCGGGGGCGGACTGAGCGGCGGGTTCGGGGTCGCCCGGGGGCATGCCGAGGATGTTGGTCTTGATGAGCTCGATGGCACGCTTGAGGTAGGCGATGCCGGCAGCCTTGAGGCGATCGTGGGCGTCGGAGATGAACTCCTCGATCTGCGCCTCGTTGTCTTGAAGGAAGGGGTGGACGTGGGTCTGGTAAATAATGCGGGCGCCTTGGGTCTGGGGGAGGACGAGGTAGAGAAGGAAGAGGAATCGGATGTAGGCGTAGAAGGGGATCCTACGGCGGTTTCAGTGGGAGTTCAGTCCGAGGGAGTGTGGCGAGTCGGAACTTACCAGACGAGAACCCATTCAGTCCAGGACTCGACGAGGAGAGCGCAGGCGAGGACGACCCAGTACATGAGCCATGGTGTCAACTGAGCGGGGTCGGATGTCTTGAGGGCCTTGTAAGAGGCGAAGAGGGGAAAAAGGAAGGAGGCGATGGAGCTAGAATGCGGAATGGGATATCAGCCAAAGGGAGCAGAGTGGCGGCCTCCAAGTCGACTTTGAAGCCAGGAGCGCGGGCGAGCTTCATGCCGACGGGCGAAAGAGAGAGGGGAGGGGCAAATAGCTGCCAGTTTGGCGCCTGCTGAGGGGAACTCACGATAAGAGGTGGGCGAAGATGTCGAACATGATGGCGATACCGGTGCTTGAATAAGGTCGTTACGGTCGAGTGAGGTGGGTTTAAGAGTGTAAAAAGGTTGTCGTCCCGAAGCAGGAGGAGGGAAACAGATGGAAGGGGTCCGTAGCCTTGCACGGCTCAGTCAGCGCAAAAGAGGAGTGGCGGATACGAGTCGTGGGGTAGAGGGGCGGTCAGGCCGGTAGTTGATTTGAGGTGCCAGGTGAGAACAAGAGGCCGGGCGTTTGAAGGGTCTCGAGGGTCCCAGAACGTTCCCGTTAAGGGCTGCGGGTCTGGCGTACACGTATAAGCTTTGGCTGAGGTATGTAGATAGGTTAAGAAGAGAAGATGCGGATGGGGCGCACGAAGGACGATGGTTGGAGATGCAGGCCACGCGCGGGGTGCTGCAGGTGCAGGTGTGTATGTGTAGGTGCAGCTGCCGCAGTACCAGTGCCAGCACCCGGCGCACGGTGGGGTTCCGAGCACGAGGACAAAGCTACCTATTCCAGGTCAAGTGAGTCTCGCAGCTCGGCGGATGGCACCCTAGCTAGACCTGGGGAAGGCAGGGTGAGGGGCCGCTGGAAGCCGGGCACTACCTACACGGTACGAAGTAGGTACGTACCGATTGAGTACCGGCAGTGGTTTGGGGGGAGATCGTAGGAGGGGCCCGGATGAGATCTTAGCTTTGGCGCTTTTAGTGAATGCTCAACGTCATTGAGGGGCATTACATGTACTATGCAGTACAGTGCTACTGTACGGCATGTGGAAGTACCTGCGTACTTGCTTGCATTTACCTATCTACCTACCGTACATGGGTATCTTACCGAGGTGTAGGTATGGTGCGGGAGATAAGCTGATAAGGAGCTTGGTCAACCACGCTGACATAAGCAGGGCGGGCTGAAACCGGAACTGAGAGGGAGCGAACCTGATGAACCCGTCCAATGTCTGGTGTTGTCTTCCTATGACCGCCTCTAAATACCACGAGACCCTTCCTTCGTTCATGCACATATCGCTGTCTGCCCTTTCGCGGGCCGAGGTGCCTGTCCTAATGGATTATTTTGACGTATAGGTGTTCCCAGCAACGAGTGGATCAGAACAGCCATCCATCTGTCCGTCATTCGTGGCCCAGTTTCCCCAATTGCCTAACACCATGTTTTGTTTCCAGGCATCCCCCGTATCCGAGTGCCATGTGATGCTCTCTAAAGTTTTTCGGTCCCGGATGACCGGGATGCCGACTCATCACGTTCCATCCCCGGACTGTTCTTCTGAGACACTCCCACCTCACCGAGACTCCATCATTCCATTAGACATTATACTGAACCGGAAGGAGTTGCCAAAGCCAACCACAATGACAACCATTCTTCCAACACGCGAACCCAAAAGATGACTGTTGAGCATGCTCCACGTTAGCTGCCACGTTGCCCAATTACGCGTCATGAATTGGCTGCCTAGAGGAAGCGCGCATGTTGATTGCCACGCACAGGCCCGACGACGGGTTAACCTATCCGCGCGCGGTTGTAGATATGTCCGACTTGGAAGAAAGAAGGCCGACCTCCTGTAAATGGTCTAATAACTATCAACGACATAGGGTATCAGCATGTAATGACTATCCAAAGTACGCATTGATCGTCAACCCCCTCCTCGCACGCCATCATCAGATCAGTTATATGTCTCGACGTTTGCGATGGCCGTCTTGTTCAATCCCGGCCAGTGCTTCTGGCCCCTGGCAAACCAGAGCGTCAGCGCGCCAACCACGGCAACGACATAGATTGGGCCGGCGTAGTTCATCTCCGTCCCGGTAACGGGAACAGTCTGGGGGAAAGGCAGCCAGATGGTCAGGTACATCGACCACAGCAGCGCGTAGATGTTGATCGGAACCCCCCATCCCTTGGGCAGCGACCAGCTGCCGTACTGCACCTGGTACTCCAGGCCGTGCCCGATGCGTCCGGTCACGCGGGCGTGGAGCATGCAGGATATGGCGATGATGTACGAGCTGTACAGGCCCAGGGACGAGAGCGCGGTGAAGGCCGAGAACACCGTCGCCGTGGCGTTGTTCCCGACAGTGAACAGCGACAGGCAGGCGACTATGATGCACGGCAGCCACACGGACCGGATCGGGACCCGGTGCTTGGGGTGCACTTTGGCAAAGTACCGCGGCAACCCGCCGTCCCGGGCCCACGCCCAGGTGATCCTCGACACCGACGCCAGCGAGGCGGTCACGACGCAGAACGAGATGATGAGCAGGCCGCACACCATGGCCGTCCCCGCCTTGGGCCCCGCCGCGTTGAACAGCAGCGGGATGATGGGATAGTCAGAAGCCAGGATGTCTTCTGTCGCGCCGCCCATGCCGAATAAGATGGCCATGATGATGCCGTACGACAGGACACCGTTGATCACGATCGTCCACAGCATGGCCCGCGGCACTGCCTGCTTCGCTCGGCGCACCTCCTCGGCCATGTGTACCACGCCGTCGAACCCGACGAAGCCCCACGCCGGGACCAGCATGCCAATGTTCCAGCTCACGAAGCCGTTGGTCCAGCCCGAGCTGACGGTGCGCTCGAAGAAGACGAACTCAGTGCTGGCACGCGGCGCGAGGGTGAGGAGCACGACAATGAAGATGAGCCAGAGGGCAACGTGCAGCACCCCGGCGAGGAGCTCCATCCACGGGATCGTGCGGAAGGCATACATGTTGATGAGCCCGCAGGCGACGAGCTGCGCGATTATGACCATAGTGATGTGCCACGGTTGGAACTGGTACGACGGGTAGTTGGTGCTGACGAGGCCGATGATGATGTTGGCTTCAGAGGCGGCGGAGCCGGCCAGCGCTGACACCCAGGCGAACCATGTCACCCAGCCCTGCATCCACTGCGAAGATGTTTAGTTTTTTTTCTTTCTTTCTCTTTCTTTCCGTTCCGTGGTACAGGCCACCCAGCGTGTCGAGGCATTGGGGCCACGGTGAAGGAAACCGGGGACCGTAATGAACCGTCGGTGCTTCTCCGGCGCTAGGAAGTGAGTCCAGTGATATTGTGCTCCGGCGATGGGCTGAATCGCCGCGAGCTCAGCCATGGACAGCGCCTGCGCCATGGCACCGACGACCACGAGGACAATGCCCCAGGCTAGCGTCTGCGGGCCGCCATTGTAAAAGGTTGCGCCCATGTCCATGGCCATGACCTCCCACGACGACATGAAGATCAGGGCGAAGGCCAGCAACTGCCAAAACGAGAACAAACGCTGCGTGTTCCGCAGTCAGCACATGTGCCAGTTGGGACCATTTGGTGCAGGACGGAACGTCACATTACCCTCAGTGAGAAGCTGCCGGTGCCGCCGTCCGAGTGCTCATGACGGTCCTCATGGTGGTCCCCGGCGCTGTCGTCCGTTTTGCCGGACGAGCTCGTCATGGTGTTGACGGCGGCGTAGGCATTTTCGGGCCGTTGCATCTCGATAACGTCCGCTTGTCCCATCTTTGTCTCTCTCTTAGGTTGATTTCTCTCTTGAATTTGGGCCGGCGGAAGGGGGAAACTTGCCCTGCAGAAATCCCAAAAGCATCATCACGAAAGGAGGAGAAATAACCACGCGCAGAAAATCTGGGAGAGGACGGAAGAACTTTTTTCTCTGTCTTTTTCTCTGCAGCAAAACGATGCCAAGAGGACCGGGAAGACGATCCTGCTCGTGGGTTAAACATGCAGTCCCCCCTTCGCTTCAGTCCGACTTCAGATGCGATATGATACTGAGACAACGGATCTCGGTACACCTCATTGGTGCCGAGGGCATGCAATACCCCCTTTGAGTCGATATCGGTGTGGATAGTGGCAAACAACCGTACGGGGTGGTTGTACCTGTATGAGACCCCTCCCAGCCTTTGGCCCAGATGCAAGTGCCGCTAGCAAGGGGGGTTCGGGTAGCACACGTCTAGGATTCCTGTCGCTACGGCCCGCCGGATTTCGATTACGTAGCAGGGGGAGTCAATAAAAACTGCAAGTGTTTCAGGCGAGTGTGGCGGAAAAAGAAAGAGGGAAGAATGGCATACAGACTAGAGATGCGGTGTGTGATCGTGCAACTTCAACTTCCTAGTTTGGGGGCTTACACCGTTTCTAGGTGTACCTTTGGCTTCTCCCCGAGTATGGCCACCGCCATGACTCACTTACACTGCTTGAAGTAGTCGCAGCTGATGACCCGCAGCGTGTTGACGAGTCGTCTACGTTCATCGAACACTTGGAGCAATGCTCCCATTTGCTGTTTCCTACGTGCGTGGCCGTCGAGCTGCGGTCCAATGCCGGCCGCCCACCGTCCGCCTCGTGCATAGCCGCTGCGATGCAACTCCACCGAAACCTCTTCCTCTTCTCGTACATCTCCAGCAAGGAACGAGGCATTTTCTCTCGTTCAGCCTCAACCTCTTGTTCTTCTGGAGGCACCCAAGGGATCGTGACCCCACACGGGGTTACTCGAGATCTGGAATGCATAGCCTCAAATGCTGTATCAGTCTCCAGCTTTGATGTGGCGTCCAGGAAAGGGTTTGGCTCAGGTTCCGAGACTGAATCTGGTGTGGGATGCAATGAGTCCGTGGAGGGAGCCTCATCGACCACGGGAACAGCTTGCGCTTCTGCCGACTCCGCCGACGCTGACTTTTGGCAGCAGATCGAGACCACGCTCTTGGCCAGAATCCTGGAGTACTTTGCAGCGCCGTTGAGGCATTCTAGAAAGACCGATTGGTCGAGAGAGGCCGGGTCCGCAAACAGTTGCTCGATTTGCTTGTTGATGAATGCCAAGAACCACGGGTCGTCATCTGGAAGTCTCTCGCATGGCTTTCCAGCCAAGACGATGATGTCTAGCGCGGACAGTTCGTTTGCGTACCGCGGTATGTTTTCTTTGGCGAGCTCGGCTAACCCCGCAAGATCGTAGGTATGGGCGGCGGCATAGACGTACACGCTCGTTTCAAACTGGGTTGATGACCTCTTGCAAAGGGTTTGCCAGGTGCGAGTGTGAAGGTAATGAAGTAGTACATGGCCTGCTTCTGCAGGCACGTCTTTGATGAAGAACTTGTTGAAACCGTTGGAGGTCCCCTTGAGCTTGTCGCTCACGCACAAGATGTCGCGAGGAACCATGAACGGCTTTCCGTCTTGAAAGCAGACGCTGCAGGTTGGGCTTGTATACGGACTTTGATGACTGTTAGCATCAAGTACGACATCGATCATGGAGTGTGAAACTTACGACACCTTAGGCCCATCGTCAAAGGCATCAGGAATGGGCACCTTAGCCTTGACATGATTGGCAAAGACATCGTACATGGCATCGCGAATGGGCACCTCAGGCTCATCGTCAAAGAGATCCTCAACGGCCACTGGCTTTGGTGCCTTACTCATTGCCTTCTTTTTCTTCGCCATGCTTGAGACAAGTAAAATTGCGGTGATAACGAACTCCCAGACAGTCGAGGAGGGGTCTCTTGGTGAGTTATTAAATAGACACCTCTGGATTGCTTCTTCTGTCAATTGTCACATGTTGTAGACGCAATGTTGGCTTGTGATACACTATATCTAGAACCTTACTGTCGCAAAAGGTTCTTTTGGCCTTGGTCAAGATCAAACTTTGACATTCAGCACCGAACTCAGTCAAAAAGGTAGTAAGATTCCCGGGTGCCATGGTACTATGTTTCTTCCATAAACCTCTTGTGATGAGTATTAGGCATGGTACTCCTACTGTACTCTTCTGGTTGGACAGGACGGCAGGGGTGAGTTTAATAGAGGGGGGATATTCACCAGAAGTCCCGTAGTAGGGGAGTGAACATTAGTTACTAGGCAGGGGTAATCAACTTCCACTGAATACCCTCGTATTTAGAGTATTATGTATACCTGTGCAACCTTGAGAGATGGGGTGCTTACCTGAGTCATCTCCTACATCTGTTTCTCGCAAGCTTGCAGCCATTGAAATTCCTACCAAGGTGCTGGATTCTTGGTCCGTCCTGGTATTGGTAGTGGCCGTCTGTTGATGCACATCCTCACTGGCCGCACCTGAAGCATAATGCAGTGGACATCACAAAGGTACCTGCAGGACCAAACCAAACGCTGAGTTAGTCGCTCGGATAAAGACATGGAAACCGATACCCAAACAGAACGAAAAGCAGATTTAGAAAGAATTGCCACTTTGATACTCGTTGGAATAGCGTTTTCGCCTACAAACGTTTTCTTCTTTCTTACTTGATGGATGAATGAATAGGTGAGTATATACACGAATGAAATTCGGCATGTAGCTGCTATATATCTACGGGCTGTATTTTGAACTGTTCGGTGTACATATTGAAAGCCTATCACCAACTGACATCCCGTGAAAGTAATGAGCCCACTCTACTTATCTTCACCATGATGGCAATCCAGGCACCTTGAGTCATCTGTCCGAATCTAAACAACTCAGTAGCATTGCAGATATTCGAGACTTTGTTTAGTTTAGGGTGTAAGTTTCGAGTCTATTCGACCCGTGAATTTCTGAATGAAAGTCCACGTATAAGGCTGTGTGCTGCGATCTTCGATGTGACGCTCGAGGCAAGCCTTGATAGAATATAGGAATAGAGGCACTAATTCTCAATTTCCTACGACCATTAGCTTCATAATTCATGAAGATTCATGAGCCGAGCTCGATAATGAGTTGTTCTGCAAAGCTTTTATTACGAAGAAAAAATAGCTAGAGAGCCAGGCAACCATAGTGGCATACTATATTTTAGACTCAATCATTGTTCATAACCTCTTATAATATCGGCCGCGTGTTCCGCCACAGCATAGACCGTAGCTTGTGTATGTGCCGCCGGTAATATGGGCATGATGCTTGCATCCACTGCCCAAAGTCCCTCGACTCCATACACCTTCAAGTTGCTGTCTACAACACCGCCCCACTCCCGAGGCATCATCGCCGCCGTTCCAGCGGGATGGTCAAGACTTGAAGCTAGCCACGACTCTTTCATGACTGCCTCGATCTGAGCGTCACTACTCACGCCTGGGCCTGGCACCAATTCGACTGCTCCAAGCGGCTGAATACTAGGGCTCGACATGAAAGCACGAGCTTTTGCAACTGCCCGGATCAGAAGGAGTGTATCAACTGGATTGGAGATGGTGTTGAAGTCGATCAGAGGTGCGATAGACGGGTCTGGGTTGGTACTGTTGATGCTGATTGTGCCTCTCGACAAGGGCTTTTGTAGGGCCACCGGAACGGTTTCTGAGCCTCCGAAGGCGAACTCAACAATACCTGCCTTGGGGTTAAGAAAATGCTCCCTTAACACATTTCGTTGCTGGAGGTAACCCTTTACCAATGCCGGGTTCTCGGCGTAGACTTGAGGGAGATGCTGTAACGGCTCTTGCTTGCTCACCGCCTCCGCAATGGATTGATAGTTGGCCGGGTCAAGATCTTGTAAGGACGTGAACACAGCTTTGTTTCCCCAGGCATGGGTGTGTGGCCCGGTTCTGTTGGTCTGGTACTCCGCCCAAGACCTGTTGTAGAAGGTCTCGTTGCTCATCAAATTCGGATTGAGTGCAGTGTCATTTGTGACTAATTAGATGCAAGATTAGCTGCTGACTGGGCCGGAGGTCTCAGTAAACATCGCTTACAGTCGTAAACCATGAAGATGGCTGGATGATCATGAAAGTTCGCACCGACACCAGGTAAATCAACCACCATGTCAATATCGAGGGAGCTCAGCAGTTTCTCTGCACCAATTCCGCTGAGCTGTAGAATTCGCGGAGTGTTGACAGCGCCTGCAGCTAGTACGATGTTTTCAGATCGCACGAATTTGGTCTCCGAACTATTATCGCGACTGCGGATGTCGATTCCGACTGTCTTGTTACCCTCGAACTTGACAGCTGCTCCGTAATGGCGCACGATGAGGTGCAAGTTCTGGCGGCCGCTAACAGGACGGAAGTATGCGGTCTCGGATGTCGAGCGTGTTGCACACTCGCCCCCCGAGTTTTGAGGTAGCCAGGAAATGCCGACGTTGTCTCCGTCAGCGCCGTCCTTCAAAACGGGAACCTTAAGATGTTCGACCCAAGCTTGAGCTTGAATAGCTTGAAAATACTGAGCTAAGCGGTCCGCGGCTCGGCAAATATATGCAACTCACCTGCTTCTGGCCACTGCCATGACGGAAAACCAATCCTCACGGGCCCCTCTCCATATGCTTCTGGAGTCCATTGGTAGTTGTACCTATCGACATACTCCTGAGAAGGGGGTAGGAAAGCCGAAGACTTGCGAACGTATTTCAGAAAAGTGTCCCATCCCCAGCCTGGATTCCCAAGGGCTTCCCATGCGTCGTAATCAGCTACGGAACCGTGGTCCCAGGCCATACCATTCACGGTTGAGCTTCCACCTACAGTCGCGCCAATGCGGAGCCGAGAGGTACGGTTTTTGAGGTGGGCTTGTGGAATAGAGGTAATGTTGTAGAGGTTGGCTGATTGGTCGAGTGTTGTAAAATACGGAACGGTAACGTTCATTGTATTGACAAAGTCCCCGTACTCAATTACTAGCACCGTCTCTGAGAACTTGTCAGTTAATATTCAACAATGTGTCTCGTGTCGAAAAGTCATAAAATAGAGCAAAGTTACTAGTATCTCTTACTGTTTGTATTTTGGCTAAGTCGATTGGCCACAACGAGACCACTGGTGCCACCTCCGACCACAACGTAGTCGTATTCTGCGCCGACAGAGTTGATACTTTTTTTGACCTGATTTTGGCATCTCGACAGAACAAAATCTTGGGCCAGTAAAAGAATGACGAGGTGAAAATAGTGCATGACTAGGGTCTTCATCAAATCCTTTGTAAAGGTACGTCCGAGGGGAGTTGTATTAACAATTAGAGCCACAAGAAAGAACACGATATTAAGTAGTTTGTATTTAACAGGAGATTTACGAGACACACCGTATTTTTCATTCCCCTCTTTTTGTACTGCTCACGAGAAAACTGTGACGACACTGGTGTGCCAATGAGAATTGAAACTATTGACTGTTGTGTAATGCACAGTGCTGGTGTGCTTATTGACCAAGCTAGCTACGAAATGCTGCCGCTAGCTAGTTATTGGCCAGAAACAAGGGAGAAACATGTGCGCTCATTTCGGTAAAGTATGACGGAATGTCGCAGAATTGTGTAACAAATGGAAGTGTGTCGTGAAGCTAGAATAGCTTCTCAGCCGGTCGTCCATAGACTATCAGCAGGACCACCACTACTTTACATTTCAATTCCATGGATGAGAATGATTCCGGCTCAGTGACGGACTTCGAAAAGCGTTCGCTACATTGTTCCAGGTATAGGAAGTAAACCACATTTAGTGGAGGTTTACTAAAGTATTTTACACAGCTGACAGAACAACTGAAATTTAATGATAAATGGTGTATAATTATGTATGACAGTAATTAGCTCGCTAGAGGGCGGGCATGAAGTTGAGGTAACGACGAGAACCCGATCACACTCACACATCTAAGGGCAGATTTTCGAAAAGTCTCAATTCAGGAGTTGGAGCAGCTATCTCAGAATCACCCAATTAATTCTTCAAAAGTTATTGATTGCTTTAGCTTCGATTTCAGTCGATCCAAGTCCACGCCGGCAGAAAGTGTAAGTAGATTCTAGCTGTCAACGAAGACACCACGGCGCTGACTGTCTCCGAAGTTGAGAAGCTTCACACATTGGCCCAAAATGGATCATTGGTGTGATGAACCAGCGATAGGTTAAATGTTTGAATTTATTTTGCACTGAATAAGAGAGTTGTTTGGTAATCAATTTCTCATTTGCACCATCCTTCCCGTCATAGCGCCAATGTCAGATGGGCAGCTCTCTGAGACGGCTCCAGAATTTTCAAGTCTCGCGTCAGGAAATCCGCTTGGGATTCATTACAGATAATGGCTTAGACTAAATTATTCTCAATCAGTATTATTGAAGATTGTTTTGAGCTGAGGAAGGAAACATACCATTATTGACTCGCAGACTAGGCCAGGACAGAACGGCTTACCGTCGATCATGTGGCAATGGCACTCCGCAAATGGGGCGGCAGCCGAGAGGGTTGCAAAGACTGCAGCAATTGCGGGGATAAAAAACTTCATGGCGAAAATAACGGTGCTGATTTTCTATATTGAGCTCTGAGGATCAATGTTGTATCAAGATAAGAAAATGGCAACCCACGAGGCCAGGTTCAGGCGCTTTATGTATACCTTGCCGTGGCCAGCAAGGTTACTGACGAATGGACCTATTTCCGTCACCGCCGTCATGCAATATGACTTAAGGCACAAGGTTTTCGACGACCTTGATGGCAGAGTTCAATGGAGTCATCGTGTGGCCAGCAAGTTAGTCACCCCATCGCAAAGCTATTACGACCTTGATGGTAAATTCAATAACACCGTCATCGCCGCCAAAATTGTTGCCAACATTCCGGCGCTCGAGACTATTTTCATATGCATTCAAGCCATGGTTGAAGTGAAGTCTGATTCAGCGGTTTTTCTGCGTCACGTGATATATAAAGCGTTGTTTACTGTCCTGTTACTAATGATGTCGTTGTGTTACGTGACACTATACGTGATCGGGTATTTAGTGCCTATTTCTTTTTGCCCGGGGTTAGGTAAAACAGCATTATCTCAATTCGCGATATCCACTGTTGCCTCGAAAAGAGAAGAGAGAAGGGAAAAGGTGAGCTATGCAGCAGAGAGAAGTGGGCTCGGCATCCTAGTTGTTCAGGATATGATAGTCCTCCTATTCAAACAGTATCGTTGTTGGTGTCACAAGATCCAATCGGATGGGGCTGAGCAGTAGTGAACTCGAATTATAGCTACAAGAAGAAGAAGAAGAAGAAGAAGAAGAAGAAGAAGAAGAAGAAGAAGAAGAAGAAGAAGAAGAAGAAGAAGAAGAAGAAGAAGAAGAAGAAGAAGAAGAAGAAGAAGAAGAAGAAGAAGTTATTACCGTTTGCCAGCGCTGTGGGTATGGGTTCAGAGTACTATCGTCACGTTTTCAAATCGTCTTTATTAAGTCAATATGTGTACCACCCCTGTTGACTACAAAGATTGGGTAGGGCTGGCATCTACTTGCACACGTGGTGACCAGATCGACCCTAGCGGATCGATCTCTTCACATATCCTTGTTCTTTCAGTTGTCGTGCTTTTCCGCTGACCAATAAGCCACTTACCTGGAGTGCACGGTTAGCTTGGGAAACGCTGATGACAATTACACCTGTCTTATCACTTGGGTCACAAAAAACAGTGCTGTAGTTGCCATACCATAACCAAAACACTACGAATGCCATTAATTCAAAAGTCCTCGTTCGATGGCAAGAAACGGGAAGAAATCCCATCGTACTTGGATTCCATCCCCTCTGCTTTGAGAAATTCGCGAACACATCGTAAATGGGCCTTTTTACCGTATCCTCAGTGACGTGGTGGTAGTGGCAAGGGTGAAAAATGCGCAGTTTTTGGCCGCCTGAGAGTACCATGAAATAACATAGTAGCACACTATGTATTTGATGGTGTCTCACGTAGAAAAAAGTCTTTGCCGCGAACGCGTTGTCTTGTCGCTTGTCCCGGGTTTACATACATCAACAACTTGGCAATGTCAGCCTATATTTAATTAGGGGAACCCCTTAAAACAAAGCCATGTACATTGTCTCGGCGCCGCCGCTATCCGTTGCGATACACCAAATCTGTGATGCAACCTTGCGCCCGTTGGGCCCACACATGCTTGCGAGTCAGACAATACTAGTCAATGCTTATGTGTCGCGCAAAAACGAGTGATCAGACAAGCTAATATTGTCCCCCCCTGTCAACCCAAGAGTACCGTGCGTTCTAGCCTATGCAGAGTCCAGCAGACAGTGGATTCAGGTGATAACACAACTATCTTAGAGGCAAAAGGGATAGTCTTAGCCTATCCTGACCCGGAGCGCAGCGTAGGAAGCAAGGTAAGTTAGTACTATTCTAACCCTCCCCAGCGGAGCCGTTTTAGAACTTTAAAAATCTAAGAAAACTGGATTTAAACTGGATTTAAACCTGCAGCCTTTAGGATATAAGGTTTATTGCTGTTATCGCTGTTATTGTGCACAGTACCCTCAGGTTGACAGGGGGGGGGGGGGGGGGGGGGGGGGGGGGCAGTATTAGCTTGTCTGTAGACTCCGCAAAAACGACGCCGTTAATTGCGGGCAGCAATTAACGCCTTATCACATCGTGACACACACCCCTAGATCGCAGAAAACCCCTTTTTCTGTATCCGTAGTCTGCCTCTAGGCAGGGAAGCCCCACAGCCCCCAAAAGGTACGCATTACCCCAGAGTAGATTTGCTACAACGCTTATTAACCTTCTAATTAGGTACATCTCGCTAAAGTCTAGGTAGTTGCTGTCTTGACTTATCTGGGTAGAGTATTTACAACCTATCCCTAGCCTCACGGGATTTAAACCTGCAGGGTCTATAACGCTCAGACGCCACTCTACAATTTAACTATTGTAGCATAAAGGCTCGCAGAACGAAGTAGGCTCATAACTGTTGCGTAAAAACGACGCCGTTAATTGCAGGCAGCAATCCACGCCTTATATCACATCGTGACACTATGTTATCTACCAGAGAACATCATGAATGAGGCCCAAATAGCCAAAAGAGGTGATAGTTCGAGTAGCACCACATTGCGTATAGAAAAATGCAATTCACCACTCAGGCCAGACCTATGCCTTGTGAGATAAAGGGGAGGAAGCCTCATTAGATTAACGTTTACCAGCTATTGAGCATATACATTACCTTGAAAAGCCAAGAATCATGTAAAATCCCCGGGATGTAGTAAGAATCAGCGTTTAGAGCGAAGAATGGGATGAACTGGCCGCATGGGGCATGGGCTGGCTCTGTTCGCCAAGACTAGAAATCATCTTTTGAAATGTGATTGGTCCTTATTTGTAGCTCGACTGAAGCCCCGCAAGACGAGTCAGACACTGGCAACCCAGCTTTGCACAGCCTCGGAAAGGAATCCATCTGCTCATCCCCTAATTGACTCACTTCCATGCTCTACTACTACAGCAATACATTGAGTAGGCGGCAAAACGGCACCGCTACGCATGTCATCGTGAACTATCCGAGCTAAAATACTCAACACAATTCTGAGGAATGGCCGGAAAAAACATTTTGTCAAGAGGGATATTGCGTTCCATGTACATTGCACCGGCCACGGCAGGCGGCTTGAAGTATCATTTTCCGTTGTTAATGCACGTGGGCCAGTGTTAATCTGCAATGACTTGACTTGCAAAGCTCTCATCGTAGCAAAGCAGTATTAACCTACCCATGCTGCATTTGGACCCCACGCTAACGTTACACTCAATTGATAATTCCGAACCCTATCACCACCCCAGATGCAGCTCCCCGCTTCACTGGATGATTCGGCTACGCCGAATTAATCGATACTGGCCTCCGATTTTCTGAACCCTGCTTGCGCCCACCGGATCTAACGTCGTAAATGTCGGCTTCGACAAGGTTCATGTCCACTCAGTAAGTCAAACCAACGGCATTGGCCGATTAACAAGGGTTCTCTTTAGGGATCTGCTAATTAGAGTACTGCATCCTAATATAAGTTGTACAGTTGACACGATGTCTTGAAAAGTATAAGATCCTAAGTGAAGTAGGAAGAAGAAAGCACAACAGCAAGAAGCCCCCAACGCTCCATTTTCACGAACAGTCCCTCTCTTATTACACTCTTTACTTCACTGCAGTCTTTCTTTCTCAACCTTTACTTTCTCAATATGAGTTTCTTCAAGACAGCTAGGGCTTTGGCCATTGCACTGCCCGCCGTCAATGCAATTGCCCCTCCTGCCATCAGCGGTTACACCCTTACTTGGGGAGAAGACTTCGCTGGCGCCGCCGCAACGTTGCCCAACGCCACGAACTGGATTATCACCACTGGAACATCTTACCCTGGTGGCGCCGCAAAGTTTGGTACTGGCGAGATCGAAACCTACACCGATGCCATCGCAAACCTGCAACTCAGTGGCAAGGACACTTTGCAAATCACTGCTCTCAAGGACGCTGCTGGAGCTTGGACCTCCGCTCGCATCGAAACGCAACGCACAGACTTCGCTGCCGCAGCTGGCGGCAAGATGCGTATTCAGGCCAGCCTCAGCTTGCCTAATGTAGGTACTCAGGGCGTCGGGTACTGGCCTGCATTCTGGGCGCTTGGAAGCACATTCCGTGGGAACTTTAAGTAAGTTATTAGTAAAACCAATAGCAAAATCAGCGTTAAAAAGTAATTCACTAACAATTATAGTAACTGGCCTGCGTGTGGTGAGCTTGATATCATGGAGAACGTCAACGGTATTAACCAGGACTGGGGTACAATGCACTGCGATGTTAACCCTGGCGGTGCTTGCAACGAAAAGAACGGTCTCTCCGGTAACCTAACATGCGGCGGAGGTGCTTGCCAGGGCAACTTCCATACTTACGCCGTCGAGGTTGACCGCTCCGCATCGCCAGAGTCCGTGAAGTGGTACCTTGACGACGTTGTATACTGGACTGTCACTGAGACCCAGTTGCCCGCAGACATTTGGGCACAGACTGTACACGTTCCGTACTACGTTCTGCTCAACCTTGCTATTGGCGGCGAGTTCCCCGACAAAGTCTTCGGTAGCACTACTCCGACTGCCGACACTGTTTCTGGCGGCGTTTTTGAAGCCGAGTACGTTGCCGTCTACCACACTTAGGTGGAGTTGATTTTTAGTCGTTGAGATACCCACCAAGAGCCTTTGACCTTGGGAGAGCTTCTGATGACACATTTGGAAACGGATACGACACCATTTTAGTTGAGCTTGTTTCGAACGGGCCTATATGACTTCGAGGCCGCTGTTCTATTTTTGTATAATCGGAGTTTATGGATTTTATGAATGGATACGATGCATAGACCAATTTGTTTTGACCCTCGCCCGCCGCAAATGATGGATGCCGGAAGACTTTGTCTGTCTCTCCTCTGGAAGTGCCCTTACATTATAGCATTCTAATGTTTCATCACTTTTCATATTCCTTGTAAATTGTATGAGACTGAGCTGGAGGTAGGTATGAGAGGAGGAGTTGAGATAAGAAGGTCGAGAACGTACAGTGCGGGTTTCATATCCGCTCTCGAGTCTTGCAAACTGTTGCTTTTGGCTAGGATTTTAGGCCTTATTTTTTTCCTTCTTATTTTCTTGCTTCATCTATAGCTACCCGTCAAAAATATGCAATCGCACTGAAAACTTCACTAGCACACTTTTGTCTGCCTCGTGCACAAGTTTTAATGAATCAACCCAAGCTCAGGATGCCATGTTCGGCCGCCAGCGAAAACCCGGATAACAACCGAGCTACGACCGCACATTCCAACGGACATTTCAAGCGCCGGCCACCGAATGAAGTCCCCGTTCGGCCACAGCCATCCTTGAGTCCGAGGTCGTATCTTCCCGTAGAGTCTATGACGATGTGATGCTGCTCAGCACTTATCCTTCGCTAGAAACCAGGGAATCACGGTCTATGACGACAAACACCGCGCTAATTCCACACACCGCTCGGGCCCGATTGGGAAAAGAAATACTCTAGGCTCGAACTGACATCTGTACAACTAGTATAGACCCAAAGCAAACGGACTTTTTCTCCAAGCGGACCGACATTTCATTTTTGTCCGGGACCGAACCGGTTCATGATGTTTAACTTTTTGTAACATCATGGATTGCGTGAAGAATTAGAAGTAGTTTAGGCACATAGATATTAAATCAATAAAACTGGCCCCTTGCCCTTGCCGGTTCATTGAAACAGTTACAGACATTATTGCCCACTGCGCAGAAAATAGGACATTCTACGAAGATCACCATGTCATCAACGCCGCCGCCAATCGCAGAACGCACCCTGGCCATCTTTGGCGCAACAGGTCGTACCGGAAGCGAAACTTTGAAAGCAATCCTCGCCAAACCGGATCACCCTTTTATGCTGAAGATCTTTGTCCGCTCCCGCGAGAAGCTTATTTCCATGTTCCCTCGGTTCAAGACTGATCGAGACGTAAGGATCATCGAAGGACAAGTTACCGACATCTCCTCCGTAAAACACTGCCTTTTGGACGCGGGTACCATCATCTGCGCGCTCGGCGACAACGACAACAAGCCCACTGTGCGTGTGCTGCAAGACGCTACAAAGTCGATTGTCACTGCATTAAATCAACTTAAGAGCGATGCAGGTGGGAAGTGGAAACCACCGCGATTTCTCTTGCTCTCGTCGGCCACGTGGAACAAGCGGTTCGATGCACAAACACCCGTAGCCGTGAGCTGGCTTATCAAAAATGCTTTCTATTACCCCTACGCAGACCTTCTCAGGGCGCACGAGACATTGCAATCCGAGCCGGAACTGTTGAAGTTGCTGCTCATACAGCCACCGGCAATTATTGAGGAAGAAGAGAGCGGGTATACCATTAGCGCTGAGTCGGTAGGCCTTGCAGTGTCGTATGCAGACCTCGGCGCAGCGTTTGCAGAGTTGGCGATGAACGAGGCGTATGAAGAGATTGGGGCGGTTGGTGTTACTTCAAATCTGGCCAAGAAGGGCTTTTCGAGATATGGTTTTGAAATCTTATATAGAGTGATTCGAGGGTTGATGGCGAGCTTTATCCCTGGGTTCTGGAGGCTGATGGGCTGAGATGAGGGAAATTGAACAATAACATACTCAGGTGTGTAGTACACCAGTATTGATTCTACTGGACATTATACAGAATAATTAACTATTGACTTGTTCTCCGGAGAGTATTTTTTCAAACACGCTGCACATTTAGCATGCCTTTCCATATAGACTTGATGATGCTTAGCTTAGGCCTAGTGCGTCGCGAAGTCGTCAAAGAGGCAGCATCGTTGTTGTGCAGGACATCTTCTTCCTGTTCTTCCGACAGAGCAATTTTCTCCAATTGCCGGATTTTCCAAACGCGAAGAAACCAGACTGCGATTGATCAGCGCACCGAAACCTTTGAACTGCTGGTTGAACCTCAACTTACTTGATAGGAAGGCCGCAATGTACATAAAGCCCGTGAACACCTGAACGTTCAAGTAGGCGTCGATACCGGAAGTCTTGATCGTCAGAGCAATAGGCTCGGCAAAGGTTGCTGGGATGACGAGAACCATCCAGAATAAGGACATTGCCGACGGGAGGAGCTGGATTCCGACAACTTCGGCAGCAACAGGTGCGACGGTCGTCCAGAGCACGCCAGAAAAGGCGCCGAAAAGTGCGAAGAAGATGATGCCCACGGCGTGCTTCCCGGCGAAGATCCAGATGAAGAATGTTGCGAGGCCAGCGATAAGGGTGCCAAGCCCAGCAACGTTGATGCGGCCGAAGCGATCGCTGACTAGGCCGATGACGGGGCGTCCGATACCCTGAGATACTGCACGACAGGTCAGCGCCTCGCACTCGTCTACAAAAAAAACTGGATAACCTACAATTAAATACCGCCGATACGATCGACCCCTGACTGGCACTGAAGCCAACAGTCTGGGCATAGTCCGCTAGCGAGAAGACAGATATCACATATCCGAACAACCCAAAAAAGCCCCAAGACAAACACAGCCAAAATTCACCCCTTTTGAAGATGTCCTTGTGAAATGGTATGTGCACGCTGCCGAGAGCCTTGTTGCGGTCCTTGACCATCAGACAGCAGGCACCGTTGACGGTGAAGGATAAAATCGCAAGGATGCGAAACGCCCATGGCAGGCTAATGTTACGGATCATGGCGTTGGTGCCAAGTGAATATATGAGGCCACCAAAGCCGGAGCCGGCGGTAGCGATGGAGTTGGCGAATGAACGGCGGACAACAAACCACTGAGGAACGAGACCGACGGTGGAGTTGAAGGTGAACCCCATTCCCACGCCGAAGCCGATGCCTTGAGAGAGGAGGAGATGCCATATTTCAGTCGTGAACGAGGCGCCGATAAGGGCGACGCTGGGAAAGAGAAAATGTAAGAGCCTGGAGAGTATTATGCGGAGTTGGACGGGACGGACTTACGCTTGGACCACGACGCCGATGCCGAGAGAAGCTTGGGTTCCGATGCGGGGGATGCAAAAGGTGACGATCGGGGAAATGAGCAGAGCTGGTCCGAGGACGTGAGCAAGGTGACGCAGGGACACCCGGGGAAATGGGGAGCGAAACTTACCCACAGAAAAGGATAAGCCGCCGACGAAAGCCAGGTCAATCGGGCTGGCGCCAGGAAATGCTCCAGAGTGAAGGTAGTATGCAAGGAAGACGGCGTAGGACTGCGATCACCAGTGAGAAAGCCTGCTCTGCGTACAGTCACGGGTAGCAGCTATCAACTCACTGAATTCAAGCCCCAGGTGTGAGCATTGGTGAGAAAGACACATCCAACGACGACCCTGTTGCCACCAGACGTCAGCATCATGCGGAACCAGCACAGCGGGCCGAGACTCACCATCCATAGCCGCCTTCCTTGAACTCTACAGGGTCGCGCGGCTGCTGGACGGTAGGGTCCTCTGTAGAGTCGTCATTCTTCTTATTATCGGCTGCACCCGAAGCACTGTCAGGCACCCGTACCACGAGACCGTGGTTGTCTTGTTGATCAAGTGAAGCAGAGCGAGAAGGCATACCGGGCGGCGCCAACTCAACCTGTGCGGGTTATTGTCGATAGTAATGAAGTTACGGTAAGAGGCCATGAAACGTGCAACGTGCGAGGCTCGTAAGAGAGGCCGGCATCGGCGGTGGGCAACGACGTCGGTATTTCGGCTGATAGAGTTTGCTGTTGGACGTTGTTTAGTTATTTGTTCCTGGTGACTGAAGCTCTCTAGGTTTGGAGATAAGGCCAAAAACAAAAGCAAATCTAAAAGGTTGATCTAAGCCTTAACGGTTACAAGGATTATAAAGGAGACTTGGAACTGGGTAAGCAAGTAAATGAGGGGTTTCGCCTCCAAGCAAAACCAAAAAATCTCTGAAGAGCAGGCGGCTTCGGTTCCGATCCGACCAGCTAGTTTTTCCTCCTTTGGTTTTGTTGCGTCGGCCTGGATCTGGATCGGGAATAGACCGGGAACGTAAACAGGCAGTAATTAGCCGAGATTGCATGCCTTATCTCGGAAGAGGGTCAAGTGACAGGCTTGTAAACCAATGCAGTCAACGACTATTACGGCTGATAAGGACGGTACTAGTCCTGGTGCCTGAGATGTGTAATGGAATACCGTCATTAGCCGTATCGTTTGACTGATGTTTGCCATGAGGGGGGGTATTGGCTTTCCTGGGCCATGAAAGAAACACGACAGTTAAGAGTTTCAGGCTCTGCTCTCCAGAGCACTACGGTGCAAATTCTGATATTTTTACGCTGGGGCTCTCCTACATTGTTCTCAGACGGCGAACCGCAATTGGTTCTGTTAGGTTTGTTCGAAACGGGTGGGCAGTAGGGCAGTGCGTTGTAATTTCTCTGCTTAATCGCCCTTCAGGCCTTGGGGCAATGACTCGCGCGGATACTTTGCGGTGCTGGTTTTGCGGTGCGGGCTCCGAAATTGGGAAATAGTTAGGCCTACCGTCACTCAATACAGATTGTTTGGTCATTGTTGTACTTGTCAGTCCTTTTGGCAATGCCATCGCAGAATGGAGCAAAATATAAAACCGTTATGCAGCCATTGACACTCATTCGGCTGTCGGTCTCCTTTCAACCTATAATCAAGTGGATGATCCTCGATCTCACTGTTGAGTCATTATCTGGGTTTGATATCCCCAGGTTCGTTTTGTGTGATTGGCAAATATAAACACGCCGCAGCATGTAATGATTGAGAATCACTAGCTCATCTTCCCTTCTATCTTGCTTCACTACCAACGCATTGAAGAAACTGATACAACGATAGGCTAAATGAACCACTGCTTCTCATTGTTTGATTCCCCGAAACAACAGAGCCAGTCTATTTTATCAAGAGGCAAAATGTATTTCGCTGCTACGAAGACTTGAATATTGTGAGAGGTCCTTTAAACTAAGCGAAAGTTCCTCTACCACATGAGAATGGACGTATGGTATCAAGCTGGAAAGTTGAGAAGGCTGTACCTGCCGTATGCCAAGCACTAGAAGACACAGAACCTACCCATGCCATGAGAGAATGCAGACATAATGCCAAAAAAGGTGATGTTTTTTTGTGACTTCTGCTCAACCCTTAGGTTTCCACTTTGCGAGGTTCCAACGGTCGTAACAAATGGCATAACGGGTTGCTGTGATATTACTCAATACCAACGTGTCAACTGTCAATGAAGATAGTTGAAGACAACTGTCATGCAGGATATTGCCGACCGACACCGCTTTCCGGAACGACGTCGCTTATTAATCCGACCCTCGCTCCTGAATATGGATACTCGCGGCGGAATCCACCAAGCGAGGCAATATTTAAGGAACGTGGATTATAGCACTATAGATAGAAGAAACAAGCCACTTTCAACTACATGAATTGCCCCCTAAACGCACTGCTTGATGATAACAACACTATCAGGCCGGACTACACTTGAAAATATCACGTACAGAAACTCGAATGTGACCTGCAGACGATCTGAGCTTGACTTATAGTCAACAGAGACCGCCTTCTATACATCCTAACCCGCACCATCTCTTGTATTAACCATTGTTACTCGCGTTCCGTGGAACGTAACTCCTACAAACCTGGCATTCATATTGCCGAACGATAGGGAAAATGTCAACTTTCCAGGTACGTTTGGCTGCACGGAGAAAATCCCACTGCTAGCACTAACGCTGAGTACGGGTTCCCGGAGAGGCCGGTCTTTGAGCAGCTTTGCCTCATACGAACTCTGCCCGGGGTTCGCGGACAAACATGTGATAGCGTTACGAGCATTGGAGTCAGGAAGTTGGAGGGTCCATGGAGAGATGCCGCATTCGAAGTCGCCCATGAGGGGGGACCGCCGTAGGCAGAACATGGCGTCGGCGTCGGGATGGGTGTCATGGAACAGATTTAGCCGCAACCACACGCTGAGATATATCTGGTTTTCACGGTGCCGCACGCCAAGGTGGCACGTAAGGGGAATTCCGTGGCCATGGTGCTTATTGCGCAGAAAGCGAAAGCGGAGGAAACAGAGGATGGAGACAGGCAAGGGAAATGGGCGCGGTAGCAGCTTGAACCGGTTAATAGCTAGTATCTTGAGCCGGCTGGGGTAGGTGGCTTACTTGTCGGCGTTACAGCGGGCTAGTGTTGTAGCTACATGTGTACCGAGAGCAAGGGCGCAGGCGATGAGTATAACAATTTAGGTATTGGCAAGCATCTTGTCTGTGGACTGAGTTGCAGTAGAAGTCTGTCGAATTGTGGTGCATAGTATCCAAAGGCCTGGATAGATCGAGGTCTTGTTTTTTTTTTTTATACTCGCCTTTAACGCTAGATGACATATTGATCGGTGGAGCATACGATGAAGCAAGACTGAGAAGCTTAAGACTATTGAGCCACAACTATGTGAGATTTTGAAGAATTTCTCTGAGCACGAGTTCAGCTCTGCGCAAGGGATGATCTCCTTTCGGGTGGCTGCATATCAGCCATTCTTTTCAGCGAATAAGCATTTCTGAAATCTGTACTAGCTTTATATAGTAACGAAATTTGTCAGTGGAATGAGACCATACGATCTGTTTCTATGTGGGAGCTAAAAGCAAGGGTACATTGATCCTGGCACTCCATATTACCAAGTGAGATACTAGAGCATACCACTTCAGATAGTATTATTTCTACAGAACTGTCAGCAATAATACTTTTAAATCATCAGGATATGTAGTATCTCCAGCTAACGATTTACGTATTGCTAAGATTAGGCATGTGTAAGTAACGAGCATCCGTATAGGGGAATGATTTTTAGTCGACGTGCTTAATGCATACTATCTAATACAAAGTATACACCCGCCTAAATTGATACTGATTATTCTTCTGCCGTTGGAGGGATACGTCCTCTGGAAACGAAGCGAAATGTACATGGGACGTAGAGGCTCACAGTTCACTCTAGGCGATGGATGCTTAGGCCGACTTCAAGCCTTTTACTTTGAGCCTCAAAGCTCGCGCTAGATCCCTGGGATTTCCCATGCATCGATAAAATGTTTTTAATGTGAAATGAATTGATAAAATTTCTCTCAATACCTCCAGAGACCTTTTGTAATGACCAACTGTGCTACGGCGTCTGTATTTGGGATGGCCGGTCCCCATGTTGCCAGTCAGAGAGGAAAGCTTCGGCGTTGGGGATGATCCCGGTTGTTGGTATTCAAAAACAGAATTCTGTTGAAGATTTTGGCGGCGGTATGCTGACTTGTTACTGCCTGTTTCTTCCGTCAAGTCATCCGGCTGATGCAACGAATCTTCATTAATTACGGGCAGCCATTGGCCAAGTACTCGCCACACGAAGCCGCTCCCGACATTGTGTTAATGCATTAATACAAATTACAATTGTCATCTCCCGAGTCTCAGGGCATTGAAGGACCGATACATTCGCTCCTCCTACAAAGTCGTAAACTCCGAAAGACTGTTTCTTGTCAGGGAATCATCAATCCCCATGAGATGAGTGGAGGAGAAGTCGCAATCTTCCCACGCGTGCCTGGTGTAATCCATAGAATTGTAAACTGAATCTAATCCGGGATGTTCGGGACACGAATCCTGGGCTAGAGGACACCCTACCGTAGCAACCTTTGTCGGGGGCGTGTCGTCGATCAGATCCCCCTCGCCGTCGCAATCAAACCCCTCAAACACGTGAAAGAGGCCAAATCAGTGCCCAACCTCGTGTGTCGCCGTCTTGCCCAGGTTGTCCCCCACACCCCAGGGGACGCCGGGCCCGTCGGGCATGGTGTCGACGCTGACGTGACAGCCGTCATACGTGTACCGCGAGGTGCCGTTGATACCCGTGTTCCAGGGATCCTCAACTGGAAAACTGCACAGGCCGGTTACGGAGTTGGGCTTCATGAGCCCTGTCTCAAAGATGTTGAGATCGTCGTAGGCGCCCTGGTGGAGGGCCTCGGCCTTCTCCTTGATGCGGGCCTGGACGGTCCAGGCATCGTTGACGGTGTGGGTGACGTCCCTGACGACGAATTGGATGTTGTGGGGTGCAAAAGTCTCGTTTAGGACTCTTATCTGCTCCTAAATGTCAGCGCACGGCGCACATGAAGCTGCTGGCGCTCCCTTCTTTCGACAACGGCGGGTTCGGGGCTGGTGCATCGTGGTGCTATTACCTGGTCGTCAATTATCTTGTCCGTGACAAACCTCCTATGAGCCGCGTCCTCGACGACATGCAGATATGTCATAATGAGTAGACCCTCTGCACGCTTGGCAAGAAACTGTGTCGACAAGCCCTCGGCGCGTTGAGCGGTGCGCAAGCTCACCGCGGTCTGATAAGCTTCTGCGCCCGGTTCCTCGCTGCCGTACTTCTCCTGCGTCATCGCCAACCCGGCGGCGGCGTTCGCAAGCAACGAGCTGAATCTCATGGTGTCAAAAATTCGATTCCAAGCACAGGACGATCGGAACAGATTGGCGTCGTGGGAATCACGCGGGACGTTGGCGTGTATGCCTGCGCGAAGGCGCGATACCATCTTCTCTGCACTGCTGAAGGAGGAAGGTGCTCGTTATGATGAAACTTGAGACGATGGTCCATTCAGCCAAGAACTCCCCCGGCCGAGTCTTTTCCACACTAGCAAGGGTGCCTGGCCCTGCCAAGCGGTTAGAATACGGGGCAATACAAAGTACAGCGTCACGGAGAGGTGGCCATTCAGTGTCAAGTTGTTTTTGCTGTGATCTTCCCATCCCGGAGGCAGTCCCCGTGGGCGATCGGGGGCGGTGCGGAGGTTTGCAGGTTGGGATATGCGACGGCCGGGGTTTGACCGGGCCCGGGTGGCATATGTCGGGCGGGGTTTGATCTAGGCTTGTCAAGGCTGGTACTTCCTTCAACTCAAGTGCGAGAGCCCGAAATGGAAATGGAACCTAAGCGCCGGAATGACGAAATAGGTTCCAGCGCGGTTGGTGTGTGAATCTGACTCGTTCTTGGAATGCGTTTCTGCTCGCAAGCCAAATATCCTGGTTTGATTGCAGAGGGAAGCCTGCAATCGCTCTAGCAATCTCATTTCGTGGCCACGTGATCGGGTCTATGGAAGCATGATTTCATTACCATTCTGAACTACGGTAACATGGTCTTTTTTTTTCTTTCTTTTTTCAACGGAAGGATTTCATCGGGCCATGGCTCGGACACCTGCACCGACATTGGACCGAAATTTCGGTCCAAGACGTATTGCTCAATTCCAAAACATGTCAATAGCTGACTTGGGATGCAGAATTTCTGCTCGGGAGTGTCTGAACATCTACGGGTGATCAGCAGCTAGGCAGGGGATCAAACAGTGGAGTCATGATACCGTGCCAATCACAATCACAAAAACGACCCAGCGCCCTCGCGTGGAAAACAAAATCGGTAATCGCGATCGCGATCTAGTGTGTTCGGGTCGCAAGGCCTGTCGACATAGTAATTATAACGTAGCACCTCGCCGGCGGCTTGTAGATTGATCCATCTTCTAATTATGCTCTAGTCATATCTACGGTTGCGTCGATAGCGGCTACCCAGGAGCCTACCGGGCCGAGAGAAACAATAATCCACCGACAGAGTTCGAGCCGCTCCTAGACTAGTCCAAAGGCAATAGAAGGGAGGTGAAATGGCTGCATCCTAGCATCATCGGTGGGTTGTTTGCGTCGTCGTGTTGATTACTGTTTCCAGTGGCAAACAGGCGAGAGTTCCTTTCAAGACCCCCTCCCCCCTCGGATCAACGCCATCCCGCATGCAGCTAAAACCGACAGACGAATATCCGGGTGGATTGCGAAAACAGCTGATTTCAGGTCCTTCAACCACAAGGAGAAGGGGGGAGCGTAGAGAGTGCTCTCGGTATACGAAGTTGGGTAAGCTTGGCATAGTTCCACGCGCCTCATGCATTGCGGCATCTCACAGCCGCTGCTGCCGTCGCGTGTCGGTGATACTAAGAGATGCTACTAGACGCAGGCTTGGCATCGTTCTGTGCTGGTGAAGGTTGCACAAACAGGAAGTCCTCCCAGGCCGCAAGAGTAGCCTGGATTGCTTGTGCCGTGTGGATGGCAGGGTATTGACCATGACGCGGACACGGACGTGCGCCGGAGATGCCGGGGGTGCCGGGGGATTGACTTGCTGAGAAAAGCAGTGATAGTGTCGCGCCTCCTGGCTCGGGTTATGGCCGTGATGCTGGGCGTGCGGAATGGAAGTGGAAAGCCTCTAGGTAGGTGGCTTGCGACTTGCGTTCCGCGGCTTAGGTGGTTCTACTAGTAAAGTACATCCGTACACTAGAGCGAATGTGGATGTGACTATGAATACGGGAAGGGAGGAAAGAACAAACTGAACAGACCGTTCGCAGACTTTTTGATTCAGTTTAGTCGGGTGAAATCGATAATTCAGTTCCCATTCGAACAATATCCGTATGTCCCAGCTGTGTCTGATCTGGTCCGGGAAGAAGCAAACGCTCTTCTGGAGTTGACGTTTGAACCAGTGAGCAGCCCCGGACTCGCGTTAAGGGAGGTTTGGATGATTGATTGATTGGATGCAATTGTGAGAAAAGAAAGAGGATGATGGGATGAGTGAGTGTGTGAATGACAATGTATCAGTGCTGGTTTCCCTACCGGCCACAAAGGCAAATCCGTAGTAGGAACGACTTAGGTAGGCACACGTGCAACTAGGTAGCGAGTAGCCTCTGCGTCAGCGCGGGTACCTCCGGCACCTCAGGCACCCAGGCACCCAGGCACCCAGGCACCCCAGGCACCCAAGGCACCCCAGGCATCCACCTCTCCGTCCCACCACGTCCGTCTGTCTGTCTGTCTGTCTGACCACCATCCATCCCAATTCCATTTACCTTCCCACGTGGTGGCCTTGCATCAGCTCTCCACATCGCTGCGCTTGACGCCGTAATGATCCTGTCATTCTCGACCTGGGTATACGAATAGGCAAGGCGCGATGACTCCTTGCCCAGCGCTTGTTGCCCGTCGGAGAGATATTACCCACCACGATAGGGCCGCCCTTTGGAGGAGAAACACGGCCCGAGGACGGCTTCCCGGATATGTCTGAACCAGAGACGGGCACCACGATGGAACGCCCGATCTTGCTACATCTTTGTTGGGCCTTTGTCAGCAAACAGCAATCTTGGGCTGGCTCTAAAACTCTTCCATCCGAACCCGGCACAGCTTGGTGAAACGCATACGAATAGTGGTCTTAAGGTGAATGGTAGTCGAGATTGGGTCCGGTCATCTCCTTTGTTTGCTTTCTGGGAAGGGAGCGGCGACACAAACAAAACTTGTCATTCCAAGACACGGACAAGAGCAGGTCAAGCTGTCCAAAACGCTGCCGCTTGCCTTTCTCGCCACATCCGCATTCGAAGCTTGCTCTAGAGAGGGAGACCAGCAGCAAAATCTTGCCTAAGTGCAGATTCTTCAGCCCAACTCGGAATAGTGACGTGCGCTAATTTGCTGTGCTAGACGAAAAAGTCACCTTTCCATTGAGACGCTTGGACTTGTCTCTCTGGATCCGGTTGGTATTGCGCCGCCCCGTGCACTCTTTCCACGCGGAGCATCCTGAGCCCGGAATTGTCGAGTACAAACCTCCTCTTGAGAGGACTTGTTCGTCTACAAACAGCCATAGCGTTGTGTTCCGCCTGTGTTGTTATTGGCCAGCCATCGTGAGACATGGCCGCCGAAAGAAACGGTGCACTTTGCAACGGCCTAGCCAGATGCCACTGACCAAATAATTCCAATTGATTCGTTCCCGCCCACTGGTTCATCTACACGCCCGTGCGAGAACCGTATGCAGCCGACTAGGACCAGTGGCGTGCACTCGGCCTCGTTGAGGAGGGAGTCTTACACAAGCCCACTCCGTCCACATCCGCAGACCCCCCCTGTTCTGTCTGATCAGCGGTATGCGTGTGCCCATGGCACATGCAAACAAAGACACTAAGACTACAGGGACCTCATATATGACTCTCGCGGACACCCCATGACATCCTGTCTTGATCCCAGCCCGTGCATTCACTCTGCTTAGTACTTTGTCGAACGTGAGAAAACCATACCCAAACACGACATCCTCTTCGATATGGATGCAAGCAGAGAAAGGAACACGAGGAGAGAGGAGGATGCCGAACCCCAGGTGACGAAGCCATCCAGGTTCAACTTCCCCGACTGGTTGGTCTGGTACAAAAAGCCCGAGTACCGAGATTTCAGAGAGTATGCCAACGCCATTCGGAACGGAAGGAGGCCCATGAGCAGAGACGGACGAGACAAAACTCAAATTCCGGCACGGTTGCGCTTGGAGAAAGTTCTGGCCAACCAGACGTGTGAGCATACCTTACTGGCGACATCGATATCATCTTGATGAGTCAAGTGACTATTGACACTGCCAACCACAGGCTCTCCTATGTCACTGTACGACTTTTACATGTACCTCAAGTACATCGAGTTTTCCCCCGAGAACCTTGAGTTCTTCGTCTGGTATGCTTTTTACATCACGGCATCAGGTCCAAATCTGACCACATACCCAGGTTCCGGAATTATGAATCGTCATACGCCAAGACCGGAAGTCTGAACAACTACCCCATTGCCGAGAAGGATGATAGCCAGTCGTCTTCATCGAGGAACAGTGTGAATGATGCCGCTGCCGATGTAACTGGCATGAAGCTACCATCTATTCAGATGTCCGAGTTTGACTGTGATCCTGAGGCTGGTAAGAAACCTCTCTGCCTGTGCCTTGCACATTGCATCATTGACGACTAGACCGGGACTAATATTCTTCAAGCCAACGAGACAATGACGAACATTGTGAACCTAATCGCCCCCGAAACTCTTTGCAGTAGAACTGGCCCGACTGGCCGCGATCGTATCAAGTCATGGGCCAACGGCTGTGCCAGGCCCGTCAGCAATGTCGCCAGCGTCATCCCAGCCCGCATCGCACCGAACTCGGCGTACCGCGCCGAGCTCAATGCCATCGTCAAGAACTTTCTGCTGCCCAATTCCGAGAAGGAACTTAACATCCCGCCCGCCCTGCGCGACCAAGCCCTCCTCGACCTCCAGCACTCGTCTGACCCTGCGCATCTGAAACCCATCGCCGACCACGTCTACGGCCTGCTTAAGAACTGCTCCCATCGCAACTTTGTCCGGCTCGGCGTCTCCAATGGCACTTTCGAGACACTCTGCATGGCCACTAGTTTCGGCATCGTCCTCACCATCGCTGGCTTCCTTTGCGTGCTCCTCCGCGCCTTTGTTCCCTTCACCGGCGCCCATAGCCGCTGGAACGCATTTGCCCCCTGGCCCATGTGGTTCGTCGGCATGTCCCTTGTTCTCTCTGGCGTCCGTGGCAGCTGCTTCTTCCTTCTTCTCTTCACGCGTCGCCAGCCTCTTCCCTGGGAGCGTTTCGACGACAGCGCCTCTCTCTTGTCGCAGCGGACTGGCCTCTTGAAGTTCATCTCCCGCATGATGATCTTTGACCGCAAGATCCGCGTCAAGGACACCCACCTGCGCAAGCTGCAGCACAAGATCGTGTTCCAGGCTATGGCAGGGGGTGCCATATTCGCCACCTTGGCTGTATTGCTATTCGTGCTGCTGCCGGTTTGGAGGGAGACTGCGAAGCTCGGCAGGTGATGGAAGGTCTATGTCCATGATCCTTGGGCGTATATGACGACGTGAATTTTAAGGATAACGCTGGAGGTGGGGTTTCTTTCGATGATGTAGACTTCTAACCTAGCGTTTGATATCCATTGGCGGCCTAAAATGCATCCTTACGCACACCTCTCCTACCTACTAACCCATCCTTTCGACATGTGGAACTATTTGTAGTTAGAAGAACTTTTTTCAAGTATATGTGATCAACGTGTTTCAACTTCAACATCAGCGCGAAACCCCATTTGAGACATTATCTATTGTGTCGTTGTTAGCTTCTTACTATTGAGGCGCCACCAAGTAAAGGCTCGGGGATTCATCCACGATGATGAAACCATATCAGGCAGAACACTCGTCCACTGTTATGGTACCTGATCAACGGGAAAGCTTGAGGATAGCAGAGCCCTTACCGCAAGAGCTATCTCGCACGCACACCTCTGTCGCCTGGACCCGACACAAAGAAACAAGGGGATGGCTCGTCTTGGCATGTGCAGAACAGAGCGGCAAAATTGCCAGATAGGGACATACCGAAGCCAAAGAAAAATGGACAACCAGGAGGATTGTTTCCGATTCAGCCCGGGGCTCTGGAGTATGGAAGACCCAAAAGTACGCGCTGCTGACCGCACTCATGCCATAGCAGTGCTCCTTGTCGAGGCTTCAGAGCCTCCATTTCAGCTGTACCTCGATCCGCCCCAGAAGCCCATACAGGCTTTCCATGGGAAATACCTTCTTTGCCTCCTTCTTTTGGAGACAACTGTAGGACATGAGATTGTCCTGCTAGGTGATACGGTGATACTCCTGGCGGCTTATAGTGCGTCCCTGACCTCCCGCACGCTTTTCGCGAACTGCACTCCCACGTGTGAGGAAGTCCTCGACTTTTAAGGTGCCAAAGTGGTATGAAGCATCCCCGCCTCGTTCATCCCGGCTTGGTCCTTTGAACTTTCTCCGGATCTGCTGTATTCAGTTTACCGCGATGCATAATCTCCGCTCAGGCATGCTTATCATAATAGAAAGAGGGAGGAAATGTGCTCATCGATTGCTTTCCTGAGCAGCTCAGAAACCCAAGAAGCCATTCTGTAGATCTTTTCGCACATAAACCCTTGTCCTATAAACCGGGGAGCGGCAATGTCAAGTAAATGTTACCATTTCGGACAATTGAGTTCGCATGTTGATCAGTCTGCCCCTTGAAAGACACCGAGAAACGACCACCGGGCCAAATCTCGATTGTACCACGAATTTCATCCAAAGATATCAGGGTACAAAAACTTCATCTTATGTAGACACTGCCGTTTGTTCTGCCAGACCTAGGAACTCTCCTTATTTTGGATCCATCGGTTGACAACCTCGGCAATCTCTAAGCTGTTCTTCTCCAAGTGCATGAAGTGACCGTTGCCATGGATTCCTCTCTCACCCAACTTGATCCATTCCGGTTCCCCGCCAATCTGCTTCAGATAGTCCACCGTGCAGTGATCGTATGTGGCGTGGATGCTTGCCTCCGCCGTGACCATCAGATACGGCACGCTGGCGATGTTGGGCAACTTCCGTGCCGGCTCCTTTTGACGATAACAGCTGCGCAATGCAGATGTGTCGTTGCCGACTAGTTCAATCTCGAGCTCTTCCGCACTGGCGACACGCGGGTCGTAGTCGATCGGCGTATTGGTCAGCCCCCACGGGTTCGTCGCCGCGCGGTACTCGAACGACCAGAACGGGACCGTCGTGGCCTCGAGGTTGATATTGCCAGCGATGTACTGCGGGCAATCGTTGGATAACAGAATCGGTGCGCGGGCTCCGATGGAGTGGGAGACGAGGTAGGTCTTCTCGCCGAGGAGGGAGAGGAGTTCGCAGCCCGAGGCTCGCAGGGCGAGTTCCTGCGGGACCCAACTAGTAGAGAGCGGGATAATGGCCTTCTGGAACTGCTCGAACGCGGGGTCGCCCTTCTTCCCAGTGCCGGGCCACTGTGTGTGGAGTACAGCCTGAGGATAGGCGTTGTACGCCTTGACGTTGGTGAAGCCCCTCTCCACGCCCTCGGCCGCCGTGCCGGCGAGCATGGTGAAGGCCGCGATGTTGTTCTCCGTCGACCTTCCTATTCCGGTGATGTCAACTAGGTACACCGTGTGCCCCTTCTGAAGAAAGTACGTCGCCCACCCGGGGCGACTGTCGGGAGTGTTGAGCCACGTAACGCCCGTGGTGCCACCGCCGTGGAAGAAGACAATGGGCTTCGTAGCGGCGACGCCTCGACGGTGCCGGCTACGGTCGGCGTCAACGGGAGCGAGCTTCTCAACATAGAGCTGGTCGACCGTGACGTTGCCCGAGGCGCCTTCGATGTACCGCCCGCCGACGTAAAAGAAGTCCCGTGTGTGCGCCGCTTCCTTTGAGGCGCACTTGGTGCTGATGGCGTCGACACCAATGCAGTCGCCGGAGGCAAGGGATCCGAAGGCGGCTGCGGCGCCCAAGACGATGGGGGCGAGCGAGAGACGCACCATTGTCGGAGGGACGCGGATGGATATGTGGAAAGATTAGACCGGAGGCCACCACGATGCAGATCGAGGGAGGATGATCGATATGTGTTCGGTCGGGGCTGGGTATATAGCCGAGTAACCGGAGCCATTGCAGGTGGCCGCGCCCCAGAGTCGAGACCCTCGGATTTAGTCGAAATTGCTAGTATTCCATCGATGTTATTTTCTTGGGGCCTTTTGTTGGATCGGATTTACAGGGGGCGGAGATGCGGTGGCACCTTCGGACGGAACCCTGGCGATGTCGATCCATCTTGGTCTAGCGCCCTCCGTTTCGCTGATGCGTAGCGAGGTCGATGACGGAGAGCTTCGGTCGACGTTGAAGCCGCTGCGGTGAACCCGACAGAATCGAGGCCATGACCGGGCTTCTTGCTCGAGCCTCTATATCACATTTCATTCCAGCGAACAAACAACTACTTCCACGACCATTACCCGCTATTACAGCCAATATACGGCCGACTGCTGCGGTCAACTGCAGCAGCTGACAATGATCCATTGCTTGCATTATGAAAGTATTCTCCTTTTATCCTGACATGGAGACTGTAAGATGACGGCAGCGATACTGTGGGCTGCAATACGTCACCGCTTGGCCTCCCCTTCCTAGGCAGCAAAACAAGTAGGAGGCTTGTCAAACTATTCTACGTGGATGCCAACTTCGTCCAGATCCTCCTTCGGTATTCTCTTCAACTCTCTTTTCGTGGAAGCGATTATCCGTGGTGCACTTGGCGGCGTCGCTCTTGTGAACTTGAACATTTCAGCCGCTGCCTAGATACCGGTCCGGTACTGGCCCAACATAAACCCGCCGTATGTTGAATTCGTCATGCGTAGTGCAAGAGCGCCGATGGAACCACAGTCACCTATGCGCAGCCCTAAGAATCACGGGACCACGAACGGTTAATACCAACACACATTGTTGCACAGATCAGCGTTACTCTCACAGCTGTTCACTAAATCCATTTTCAGCTGGTGCCTGCTTGCCATGGGCTTTCCGCAAATATGGAAAAGTTACATCAATCACAAACCCCATCACCGTCTGAGCGCCATGATCCCGGCGCAATGTACAACGGGATCTCCAACCCTCCCCCACTATCAATGCTAAGTATTGGTAATAATGCGGCAGGACTCTCGGTGGGGACTTATTAGCGGACTTAATACATTGAAGGAGGTAACTACAAGATGTGTTGGAAGGACTGTAGGTGGGTGGATGCATCCAAAACTAGGGGTTCTAAATGCATGTATTCTCTAAGGCTAGGCTGGCTAGAAGTGGTCATTCTTATACTTCTGGGCTGCTGACTCATGCGTACGAATCAGTAGAATTGATGTTCCAACACAACCTGAATCTGATATTGAGGCTCCGCAAAACTATAATCAGAAGAACGGTTTTCTACGTCGGCTTTGATTGGTCTTGATGCCCAACAATTGGTTGCAGGCGTACGTACGCCAAGGCCCGCCCATAAGGCATTTCCAAAAGTATAAGGCAGGATGCGGCTTGGAGCTTTGCCTTTGGATGGGAATGCTTTGTGTTACTAAATCCCTACCTCTTTAAGCCATGGCACCATGACGATTTGTCTGCTTTGAATCGCCATGCTAGGTCTCGGCTAGCCAAGGGTCGGGAAGGTAATAGGCTGTAGTGGGCGCTTATATGACCCCGATGTGAGCATTGTTTCTAGCGATACGCGTAGTAGTGTTTTTGCTTCTTTTGTGGCCCACTCGTGCTTTGACTTGGTTCTTCTGTCTTGGACAAACAAGAGTGCAAGCAAGGTCCGCCGTCTGGATTCCGGGATGACAAGTGATTGGAACTGGTTGATTAGTGCTGAAAAACCAGCTATAATTGAAGCCGGACAACTATGTTGCAATTACAATGTCTCGAAATTGTATACCCTCAGCTCCAAAACGTCGGCTTCCTTTTATGCCTGTGTGGGAGTGCACTTTCCGCAAGGACAGGTAGAAGGACAGCTAGAATCAAACACGAGTTTAGACCATGGCCACATGTGGCTCTTGAGAATCAAGCTAGTGTGGCGAGGACGAGTTAACTGCTCGGTGTGTTCTCCCTAAGAACAACCTAAATGGACGCTAAACTCTCGTTCGTTCACTTTTGGAGCTGGTCGTTTCGACTGCACCCGATAGGCTATGAACGGCTATCCTGGTTTGATCCGTATGGAGGGGGGCCCTGATAGAAGGCTTGATCGGAAGCGCGGCAATCGCATCTATCGACGGCGTGATCCCGTTGTAGGAGGAGCCGTGTGATCCGTTGGAGATTTGCCAATTTGCTTAGGTTTTCCCAAATGACAGGCCCTCGCTATGAACTGCAGAATGATCAACAAGCGGCCCGAATCAGCATTTAATTCAACCCGCATCTTGTCAAGTACCACTTCAATTGACTTCGTATGTCAGAATCATTGCAGGAAATTTAACAGACGAGTCTTATTTCGTTGAAAGGGCCACAGTTGGGTCACTCATGGTCTTGTTTTCTCGCCTGTCGCCGCCTTGATGGAAGAGGGGCGTGTGAGACAAGAAGCTGCTGATTGCACGGGCATCACTCCTGGATACTAGTCTTAAGCTTCGACAAGGTTTCTTTGCCCAGACAAAAGTGAACTTTCTTGGTAGCCTCACTCCAAGCATGCGTACAGACTCGGATGTCCGTCCGTCCAAGTAGAGTTGTGAATCTGCGTCATCCGATCAAATCTGAACTAGGATGCAGGACGCATGAGCTCGCAGCATCAGCTTGACAACATAAAGAGTTTGGGTGCAGCACCTCATCTTCAGAGTCCTGTTGGGCTGCCTTCTTCTCTCACCGCATGACCTTATCAGCCGGGTCGTCAATATCTCGTCGGCCATCATTACAATGCTTGGCGACTCTGAAGCCACAGCTGCTGTCGCGGCCGGTCGGGTACCACCGGATATCAGCCTTGCATACTTGGAGGAGGACAGGGACACGCCGTCGATGCATGCGGTCATCATCATGTTCGCACTCACACTGGTGATCGTGAACGGCCGAGCATTCTCGCGGTTATACCTTCGCAAAGTCTTTGGGATTGACGACATCCTCGCTATGATATCGATGGTAAGAATTAATGATTTCTAGAACGATGAAAGAGCCAAGCTCACTAGACCGCTACAGGCAATGCTCATAGCCTTCGTTCCCCTGTGCATTATACTGATAAACATCGGTTCAGGCCGGCATTTTGAATTCATTCAATTTGTCATGACGCAAAGTATCTTGGACGAGACCGAGATTCTCGATTTTACTGCCCACCTTATCTACACGAGTGCGCTCTTGTTTTGCCGGTTTTCTGGGTTGGCTTTCTACCACCGCGTGTGTGCTGTTCACAGTCGATTTTTACTGGCGATCAAGGGAGCTGCTCTCTTTCTGCTCGCGTCATATATGACGCAAATGCTCCTGATTGTTTTCCACTGCCTTCCGGTAACAGCGCTCTGGCCATACGCGTGGCAGACCCAGTTCACCAACTACAAGTGCCTACCATGGGGTTTCGTTTACGGAATCAACTCCGCCGTTTCACTTCTTTCCGACTTTGTGCTGTTTGGGATACCAATCGCAATGTTACGAATGTTGGATATGACTCGAAAACGAAAGATTCAGATGGCTTGCATTTTGTTGCCTGGTATATTGTGAGCCGGTCCATACGTCCCTATCTCGAAACGTTGATTTGCTAACCTCCGCAGGGTTGTCGCCATTTCGGTTGCTCGTCTCATCCTCGTCATCAACGGACAGTGGCAACCGGACCAGTCATGGATTTACAGCCCTCTACTTGCAATTGAGGTCTCAGAAATTGGCGCGACTCTCATTGCCCTCTCTATCCCAGGAATTCGGCCCTTGGCGACAGAGATATACAGAAAGGTGCTCTCGGTGCTCTACAGATGGTTCCCCGGACTTTACAAGCGACGACGGCAGACGCAGACCGGTGTTGACCCGGATTTGTGGTGCAAGACACCGCCATGGCAGTCGCTCTCGACGCAAAAGAGGTCAAGATTCATGACAAGTGACATCAAAAGGGGGGATAGTCAGGAGTTGAAGGACCTCCGCAGCCCTGAAAAAGCACTCGCAAGCCCCTTGGACCAAAGTAGGGGAAAAGTACGACCGCACAGTACAAATCTCTGGATGTTTGAAAGCCCGCCCTCGAGTCCCGCGTGGAAGAGGCCGAGGCCAGAAAGTACAAATCTCTGGATGTTCGAGAAATAACACTGACCATCCTTGAGACTACCCATTTCTAAAGCGCATTCTTTTCTTTGGTCTCGGGCCTCGAGGGAATGTTTGGAAGAAGGCCTTTCTCCCTTCCCCCTATTTTGGAAAAAAGAAAAGAAAAAGAAAAAGAAAAGAATCCAAGAAAACGCGGTTGCGACTGGGAAAGGACATCCGACGTCACAATGCAAATACACCAAGAATCATGTGTACGATGAATCATACAAAATAACCCCAATTTTTCATCCATATTGAAAAGTCTATGCCAAGGCTAGCTAAGCAGGATATCCCGCGGATTGACGTAGGGTTAAAAGCGCGAAAACCCGATGGGAAGGATCCATCACCAAGTGAATTATTCATAGCTGAATGATACCAGAAAACCCTGCAGTTATTTCGCTTTCCGATAGTGCTAAACACTTTCGATATCTCAAGACAAAAGCCGCCAGTGTCAATCTAGCAACATTGAAAGGCAGGTCAGATGAGTAGAGTTCGCATCGCCTGCGCTACTGCACGCGAATGCACTGGTGGAAGCTTTCAGGTTCCGACAGGATATATGTCGCGTTAGTGTTGCAAAACCAACCTAGTCGGCAAGAGGCGTGCCGCAGGGCTGGAGGGGTTCCGGGGAACCGCCATGGAACCACAACGGGGCCGTTTTGAAAGCTTATTTCGACGAGCGGCCTGGACGCCACTGCAAGGATTCTGGACGTCTGAGGGGACGCGATCATGGTAGACCCCCGCCTGGCCAAACGATCGTCGCTTGGAGATCTCCTGTTCGGCTGCGCATCCGCCCGTCCACCCATCTGATCCCCTCTCAACGGCGCATGCTGAGATGGGCGTGCAGTTCTCGGCCCGCTGGTGATTTTGCCAGTAGCATATCATCGTGACAACATCTTGAATGCGTTGCACGTGCGCGTGTCTCGAAGCTCCATGGCAAGCGCGGACGTTGGAGGACGAGCGCAAAGCTCAGGCGGTGGTCAGCGATCCGAGATTATTACAGAAGCCCTTCTGGACCAGCCGTGAGATATATCCTTTTTACATTGTAGATTGGCGCCCGCATTTGTCTTCGTGAAAAACGTACTTTTGGGCTGGGACTTTGGTGCTTGAACTGGAGGACTTGCCAGAGCAAAAGCTCAGGGAGTACGCACTCTCAAAAACCTTCCGAGTAGCTTGTCTTGGATGTAAACCCAGTTCGAGAAAAGGGTTTGCCCCCTAGGTGTGAGATTGGACCACCGCCTCTGTGAGATATGATTGGTTCCTTGAGAGATTCAACATTTCGAATCGAGGCTAAAAGAAAAGGACTTCGGGTCTTAACTTTGTCCCACGTTTAAGCGTATTTTGTACTTGATGTTTTGTGCATTTTCTCGAAGAACAATAGGTCAAAAGTTCAAGCGATTGTTTGTCCCGTTTCATGTTTCAACACCGTCTCCTGACACAAACGGGATGACCCATGCACGGACTTTGAACGAATGAAAATGCATACTTCAGACCGCTCGGAACCCATCCATTCGGCAACAGTGAATCACAAGAATTGTATTCTGGATGTAAATTATAGCTAGTCTATATCCCCCCGTGTGGTCAATACCGGCTCGTCCTTCATACCAGATTGCATTTTTCCCTTTTGCCTGCGCAATATCAAGATGTCGTGATATAAGCCGTAATTGCGCAGTGGCAATTACGGATCCGCTTTTGTCATCACAGTTATGAGCCCGCTCTACCCTGGACCTCTGTGTGCCTTAATGGCATGCGCATGTGCTATATCAGAGACCCCCACAATTCCGAGGGGCCCAGGTTCGAGCACTGTTCGGGGCAGTTGAAAAACACCACCTATACTTTGGCGAGATGTACCCAATTAGAAGGTAATCAGCAAGAGTGTTCTATATTACCAGCCTTCCGACAAATAGCGTCGTAAACCTAGGGGGGTGTGTCGTGATATAAGCCGTAATTGCGCAGTGGCAATTACGGATCCGCTTTTGTCATCACACAAGAACATCCGTCTCACCAAAACATGTCCAATCGCGGGGTTTTATATGTTGAGAAGAGGCTTAAACCTTCATTGACATTAAATCAGCGCAGACCCATCTAGCAGGCGAAATTAACCATCCGCATTACTCCGAGAGATGTCGTTTGATCAAGTTACCTAAATCGCTAGCCCCTCGTTTTGGGCTGACAGAAATGTGGAGAAAAACCCCGGCTTTTTCTCTGCTGTATGGAATGTCTAAAGGTGAGTTTGTTTCGCTTTTCTTCGTTCCCTGGCATACGTGGAAGTTTCTACGCCGTACACCATGCAGGAATGGAGCGTGTTGGGCCTACGGGTTGGGGTGGAAATCATTGGTCTAGAGCACGTGGTTTCAAATTTTATGGATTTATGTCATTGTGGATCGTTGAGGGGTCCGTGAATCCAAGACAGATGGGTTATGAAAGCCAGGGTACTGTTGTGACAACGCCATTCTTTTGTCTTCCTCTCTTCTTCCATGTCAGGGGATTATCGGACGTGGGGATTCACGGATCACTCTTGATATGCAAAGTGGATTTCCTCAGGCGTTGTATAGCTTATTGATATGGACAACTTCTCTCGGGAATAATAAAGGAAGTTAATGGTGTGTAAAGGTACGGTCTAATTTTATTAGCATTGTTTTGAAGACCTGTTTATAGGTTCTCTTTGAGGAAAAGAGAGCCCCAGGAAAAAATGTCATCCAATCAAGGAGTATATATTTTACGAGCATGTCATGAAGCGCAACTCATTTAGGCCGTGATGGAATACACATGCCTGTTGGGAGACCTGATGGTCACATTATAAACCACGTAATGTGACTTTTACATGCGCAAGGGTTTTTAAGAGAGCCCATTTGGAGTTTGAAAGACGTCCAGGTGCCCAGTGGCTTCGCTTTTAGAATCCAGAAGACAGCGACTAGTACCTTTCATAGCGTCTAGTAGACCGCAATGCTGAAACCCATGATCTGTCGGGCGTCTTCAAACGGCTCAACCAGCAGTGCTTATTTGTTGCAGGTGCAAGTACTGAACTGCAGCAAAGATACTCGTGAGGACTTTGAGGAAACTGAGGACATATTCGTAGAATATTGTGAAATAGTATTCAGCTATTGTTAGGTCGAGTGTAGTTAAGAATCTACTAAGTGGTATTATGGACATGATGCCATACTTCGGATCATGTGAATCGAGCTGTGAAAATGAAAAAGAAGCATAGTATTCGGAACCAAAGCAATAGAATCATAGTATTTTTCAAAGAATATAATTCAACGTTTATATTAAGCCTTTAACTGAAGACTTGATGAGCGACATAGGAGCGTTTCTATCTTACACGGAGTAATCAGTAGCTCTTATCTTGAGGCGGACGCTATAGAGAAAGACCCGTGACCATCCCTTAGACACATACTTGGTGCTAGATTGAAGGGAGTGGAGCATCGAACTTTTCTTGACATACAATCGTCCGGAAGGATCCATTCACGCGTAGAGGACGCTGTCGTAAGACTAGTAGTTCATGCTTGCTAGTATACTCATCTAGTAGATTCATGGAAACTTCAGACAAGAGTTGACAATGTTTCGCGTATGGCCGAGTCGTCGTCCCCGGTATCACAAATCATTATGTACACCAAGGGCCCATCCGCACTTGCTGTCGTTCCAACATCTGATTCGCGCTCATTGCGTTTATTTCCGAGGCGCATTTTCCATTTTGCATTTTCCGTTTCGCGCTTTTTTCATGTCTGCTTGAGAACGTCGAGAACGAGAACGTCGAGAACGAGGCAGATGATGCCGAGGAGGCCAAGGTCGTCCTTGGGGCGTCGAACGAGAAGCCCGCTCGAGCCGCCAACAAAAAGCCAAAGAAGATCAAGACTTCTTCGCCCGAGGGACAATGGTACGGTTTTCCCACTTCGGACTTCACAGTCAGTCGCGACTGGTTGAGCGGTGCCCAGAACGCGTCCAAGGGCGCAAAATACAACTTCCGCCACCTCGACATCACCGTCGACAAGCCTTGGATTGCCGAATGTCGTTACTATTATTTAGGCTAGTAAGGGTAAGAGTTAGAATAGTTAGTTTTATACATTTTAAACTAGCTATAATTATCTAATATATGAATGAGTACTTATATTTAAAATGAATGGCTATAAACTAGATTATATACTGCACCTTCCATGTTTATACACTCCACTTATTTGAAGACGGAAGGAAGGAGCTATCCCAAGGTGTTCCCCCTGCCAACTGCGCTCGACTCTTCTCCCTGGTTCCATCTGGACTTTCTCAGAACCAACATGAGGCCTCGAGCTTTGACTTCAGCAATCTCCTTGTCTCACCACTTCCAATTTCTCCCATATTTCGTCCTTTGAGCCCGGCCTCCCAGTCTCGTATTTCCAACCGGCACACACAGACCCGGCCTTCTGCGAGTCGGTTTCAACCACCCGTTTGCAAAATCTTGCCCTGCTGCTGCTCTCTGCTTTTTCTACTCCAACCCTTCGTAGGTGCACACACTAGCTCTTGGCCTCGTGCTTTACGTCGTGATTCAACAAACCAGTGTTTCTTTTGCTGATCATCGCCATCTGCTAACCTATGTTTCATCTCAGATAAGTTGGATCGCTCATCTATTAGCCCCATACCATAAACAAATAATGGCTTCCTTACCTCCCGCCCCCTCATTGGAAAGGACAGGTCGGGCAGCGGCCCGTCCTGGTTTGAAAGAGGCACAGCGGATTTCCTACCTCATGCAGTTCCATGTCATCGAACTGGAAAAGTTTCTTGCCGATCAAACAATCGCCAGGAAGTCAATCGAGAACAACATTAACTTCCTCGAGTCCATGGTTATTCGACTACAGAGCCTTACTGCGAAGTCCAAAATTACCAAGGCCGACGTCGAAGGACTCATAAAAGCCCACCGAATAAAAGTCTCAATGGGAAAGAAGGACCTGGAGGCAGTTTTGGTCAAACAGCGTAGCGCCACGGCGCAGATCTCCGATCACACGAACAATAACTCAAACATCCGCACCAATATCAGTGCCAGCGCCGCTTTCCGCAGTATCGTCGATGATCTGGATGTTATCGTACATGCTTTGCAAGAGTCCCTGGCGCCTCCAACTCTTCATGCCCACGATAACGCCCGACTTCGCTCATCACTCGCTTCGAAGGAGGCAGAGATTTTACTGCTGCAGCAGGAGATAGCAGAATTGAAGGTGTGCTCCTACAGTTCCAGCCATCTGCTTGTGACTTTGAGCTGACCTGAGCAGGGAAGGAAGGAGCAGACCGAAGGCAGCCTGATCAACCTTCTTGACTAGTCAGTCGTCGGAGGCATTTAGGCTTCAATGCGGCTCATGTTGGAAAACGTGGTCCATGTATCTTACTCGAGCACAAAAATGTTCAGGTCAAGTACCTTTCTTCTGGTTGTTAAGGTCAGGAAACAAGGAGACGGACTAATAGGCCAGGATTAGCATCGTTGCTGATACCATTACTCTTTTATTACATGCTTGTTCCCCCCAAATTAGAGATGCTCCTATTTAATGGTCCAGTTTGTGTCTGAAGCTAAGGGGCCTATCTTAAGATACTCTTCCTCTATTTGCACCGATAGTCGTGAATTGCTCAAAAGCTCCCGGTGGGAAAACACAGCGCAAAGTTTCTATCTCATTCCATCAGCTACCTGAATGCTATCTGTAATAATGTGCTGAATTGATAGTCTCTTCCACAGGGTGTGTAGCCGCAATGTTATCAACCCAGTCCCGGCCTTCCGATTATAGGTGGATTGACGCTGGAGCCGGGCCCCGATTAATCACAATCCCGCGAAAAACTTCTTTATCGAGCTCCAGTCGTTAAAAAGGCTACGATCGAGCCAAGTGCGGCTCCTCGCTTTGCGCAGTTGTTACCTTCCTCTCCTCTCACATACAGGGTCCTGTCGCCCGCAGACTGGGGTTCGCACCGGGCTAGAGGTAAGCACTTTTGTGCCAAGAGCTAGCCCAGAAAGAGTAAGTCTCTGGTGCTCTTGCTCTTCGTCGGCATACTGAAGATTGTGTAGTGACACAGTATACTGCCGCCATGTGAGATGGAACATGAAAGAAACTGATGACAAGATAATCAGAAGATATCACACAGCAAAGACAACTATTGGTAAAAAATGCTCTAGCTGCCAATCGTTTCCTATCCTTTTTCGTCATCATTGCCACAATTACTTTAGATCGCTATCATGACGCCAGCGGCGACTCCCGCCGCAACACCGGCAATTGCCATACCGGTGCACTTCGGTGCGCCGCCCTTGGAGGTCTGGGTTGCCGCGATGTCCTGCCACGCATTCTGCCAGTCCGAGACGTAGGACGAAGCCCACTTGTCATCCTTGTCCGGCACGTTGTCTTTCCACCAGTCCAGCTCCTGCAGGTCGGGAAGGCTATAGCCCTCGACGGCCATGGAGGCGACGACGTCGGGGGCGTTGGTGGCCTTGGCGGCAGCCGACCACATGTGGGAGTAGACGGTCGTCCATTCCTTGTCGTTGAAGTACTTTTGGTCGACGCTGTAGAGTGCGGTGGCGAGGGAGGTGGCAAGGGAGCCGGTGACGGTGCTCGGGATACTGAGGATATGGGCGGATAGGTACTCGTCGGCCGCGGTGGAGGTGGGGAGGGTCGTGCCAAAGTAGTATTGAGCGAGTGCCGTGGGCACAAGCGCCGTAGCGAGGGAGACGATCTTGAGAATATGCATCGCTCAGTTGGTACGAGAACCAATCAATGGAATAGGTAACAGAACAGGGTTCTTCGGGAGATGGGGATAAAGACAAGCCCGAGAAAGAGCGAAGACAAGTCACAAAGCTGTCGAACAAGCTGGGACAAACGGTTGTTTAAATAACCGCTCGAGAGAATAGAGTCACAAAAGCCCAAGAGATGCAGGCACCCGTCAAAACGAACCCTCCTGAATTGCTATATTAAATCGATTGGCAAACCGCTGTTTGCTGTGCCGCGATGCCTTGCGGCACAGCAGGATTTGGCAAGAGTCACACATCCACCCCAAAGGGGACACTTCTACATACTGACGGATGGTCGGTCGGCGACCGCAATGAAGGCCAACCTGCTTGTAGTCAGTGTAACCGGGCGCATCTTGCTTCGACTACCTGCAGCATATGCATGTGCCACGCCCAATGGCCATCGGACGCCGAAGTGGGACAACGCTTCGGATAATACCCGGTCGGTGAGGGGCCGAGTGGGACCATTGTTGGCTTTTCGAGCCTGAAAGGCGGTCAAAACGAAAGTCAGAATGGAAACCATATGGAAAACGTTCCATCATTCGAAGATGTCCGCTGGGCTTGTTTGGAAGTACCCCAACTTGCCCAGTTCATAACGGGTGTCATTTGGAAAGACGGCTCCGTTCGTTCATTTAGCCTATCTATGCTTGCCATAATAATGAGTGGGTCTGTCACGTACCTGCTTTAGCGTCGCACCCGTGTGCCAGAATAGGAAAGGCGTGGTTCGTATGGCTTATCTGCCTAATCTGGATATTTCTTGCGTCTTATGTGGATCTCGTCAATGCTGCCTGCCGTCAACGACCGGCCATGGAATTCTTGCCTGCCTGCTGCAAGACCTGACCAGCCGTTGGCTTTTCTCTCGTTTTCAAATTGCTGGGATACATACGTGGTAGCGCTCTTAATCCCGTTTTGTGCCCTGAAATCAGAAAATACATGGAATCTCAATCCTCCAGGCCGAAAAAGACCGACATTGTTCGAAAGCGGACAGGATGTCAGAACTGCAAGAGCAAACGTAGAAAGGTTGTCAACTTGTCGCCTTCGGGGCATCCTGTTTGAATCGTAATTCTACCAAGTATACAGACACTAATATTGTAATAGTGCGACGAAACACGCCCCGATTGTGTCGCCTGCGTCCGGCGAGGTATCCAGTGCAGCGGCTATCAGCGCCCAGTCACCTTCAAAGACGTCACTTCTTTGGCAGCGGAATCTTCGAAGCGATTTGAGGAGGCGAGATGGGCTGCTCTACGTCTCGAGGATGACCGAAGAAAACGACGCTGCAGCCGGAAACTGCAGGAAACCTCCTCCACCTCCCAGGATGTGTCCGTCCATGTGACGAACCTACCGCAAGATTCCAATGCCTTAACGGGGCAGGAACTCGCTTCTTTCCCCCCTTGGAACTCCACCAAGACAAGCATCGGTATCAACGGCTCATCCATCTTGCCGTGGGCGCTGGTCGATACGTCCAACGGGCCTGCCGCCGATGACCTTTTTCAAATGGCCTCGGCAGAGATTGCTCCTGAAAGGGACCACCATCCGACACCCTCCAGCTCATCGAGCGGTCTGGTTACTGTATCGAGGGGATGGGAAGTTGACCCGCCGCTGATTGCAGACGCACCGAGTCCTACTTTATCGCTTACACTCTGGGACGAGCTCATCAATTCTAAAGATTCGTCATCCGGATCAATAACGTCCACTTCGTCTCCTTTGGGTTCCCCAGCTGCCGATTGCCAACTTTCTTTACCGCATGAGGAGGTGCTGGTCCAGCATTTCGACCGGAATGTTATCCCTGCTATCCCCGTGGCCCTCGCCTTCCCGAGCCTGTTTAGCCAAAGCAGCTGTTTCCGATCCGCCGTCTTGGCACTTGCCGCAAGCAACTTGAGACTGACACGACCTCTTCCACTGAACGCTAAGAGTCTCCGCGAGATTTGCGATGAAAATAGCATAGGGGACTACTACGACGCGGCAGTAAAAGGCCTCCAGGCTCACTTACCTTATGCTGGGACCCACCATGGGGAGGAGTTGGCGGGTGCGGCCTTGCTTCTAGCGTATCACGAACTCGAGGCTGGGACGGCTCTGGGCATTATGAGCCACGCGACCGGCCTTGATACCATTGCTTACAAGTTGGACTTTGCGGGCTCCGCAGTGCATGGTCTCTTTAAGGCCTGGCGCATGCTTCGGTACGATCTCCGCCTCATGAAGTTACCAATTAGGAGAACTTGCAACTCCGTCGATGACTTTGATGCATCAAGTCTACTCGATTCCCAGCTTGCCATCCGAGATATTTTGTCGAGGGTCTGGGGCCTCCACGCCTGTATTGCCATGGAGGCATCATTCACCCATGACCCTACAGTTCAAGGCGCCAGTGCATCCGAAAAAGTGGCATCTTGGCTGATGTCGGTACTCGGCCGCAAATGCGACAACCGCAACTTCCGTTTACGTGATTTCTACAAGGACACTCTTACCTCGGAAACCATTATTCAGCAGTGCCATGTCTTCAGCCACCGGCTGGATAAGTGGCATGAGGCTCTCTGTGACCGCGACTTGCCGGTGGTCAACCTGGGTAACGATTCGGGCATAATCAGCGGCCCCACATTTGAGACTTTTGTCAAGTACAAGTTCGCCGACGAGCGTAAAGCCCTGGACTACGTCATTTACCTCGTTTGTCGGATGGGCTGCAGCTATCTTCGCTCTTTATTCGACCCATCTGTGACCTCGTCGTCAACCGATGCTCTAGGCAAGGTGATACTGGGCATCGCTTGCGGTATGCAAGCTCACCTGAGACAGCAGTTCACAGTTGTTCGGATGGACATGCTGCTCGGAATGGCTGCGTGCATGTCTGAGGGGACCAACTTCGTAACAACAATCCTTGATTTCCTAATACCCAGGATAATGGAACCCGGCCTCACTGGGCCCGATATCGTGGCCTGGGTCTGGCTAAAGTCGTCCCTAGAACTCGGGCTGAGGGAGAGAAGGAAAGGACGGGTCATCAGAATGGTCATTGACGGCATCGATGAGGACTCGGAGATATGGCAGATGGTGAGCAGACACCCGATTGCCATTTTCGGGGATTACAGTGGGAAGGGGCATTTCCGCGATTGCTATTTTGTCGAATACCTGGTATAAGGTTGCTTGTAGACACTGTATTACACAACCTGTTTTTACATTATTTACCCTTACTCGAGGGCTGTTGCCTTCGTGTCGTAGCTGCTGTCCAGGCAAGTGAACAACAACCACTTTCCATGCGACTCATAGTCCGGATCAATGCCTGCCGCCCGGGCGCCTTCATCATTCTGGCATCGAGCATTATTGTTCTCAGCACCGCTCCGGCGAGCCTTCTTGAGTGATATGGCTCGGCCAAAGTTTGAATCGGTAGGTGCGGATCGTCTCGGAATCAGGCCAATAAGGTGCTCTCTCAGCCCTATCAGCTCTGGACAACAAACAGCTTCCTTTCTCTCCAACCTCCGCGAAACACACACATTTGACATTGTGTTTTAGTTCAACGAGCCCAGTCTCTTTACCAAGCAACCTTCATTGTCACAACATGTCGACTCTGTACTATTTGGACCCCGCAGTCTTCGAGCAGGAGAGGGCTCGCGTAGGTGGAAACTGGGATGGTTACTTTGCCAAGCATCCCGACCTGCGTGGCATTCCCGGCCTCGAATTCCCAGGAACCCCTGACCAGCCGGTCTCGCCTGCAGGCTGGGACTCCTTCGGACTGTTCTTCGACGGCGTCGCGGTCCCTTCCGACGAGAACAAGCTCAAGATAGCGCAAGTTGCACGGAACTGGTTTCAGCTTCTGTTCATTTGGCTGCACAGGTTCTCGCGGTCATGTCCTATCGACCAGAACTTTCTCATGGCGTTCGGGAACGACTTCGCTGCGCGCTTCGACAAAGACCCGCAGGTCTGCTGCTCCGTGGACCTGTTTATTGTCATTTTCAGCTTCATGGAAGCCAGGAAGCAGGCGATTGGCCGTCTCTTTGATCCTACAGGCTTCGAAAGGCTTCACCACTTTGTAGATGAATGCATCAGGGAAACGAGCTACCGCGCCTGGGTCCTGCCTAATCACGTACACCATATCGTCTCCTTGATACGAAACCAGCCCAACAGTAATTGCATCTGGTCTTTGGCACTGCACTATGGGACGAAGCTAATGAGAAGTCACAGATTTGTAGTCGCATCTCTTCTTAGAGGCCCATGGCATACTCCTCAGTCGTGGAGGAGCTGTTTGGTAAGGGATGCATGCATCCTTGGCAGAGACTGAGGCAAGATTACAGCATCGCTAGGCTAGTGTTCGGCTCACGAGAAGCCAGATACCATCGGAGTGTTTGAGACTAGTAACATGGTTAGCCGCAAGGTTGTGGACTCGATTCCAACGATTCTACTTCTTGCGTTTCGCTGTGTGAATGACGAATCTGTGATTGTGATTCCAAACTGCTCATAGGGCGCGAAACCGCATCATCTTCTTGCTGATAAGTTTGCTAAGGTGCTAGTTGAAAAGCCCCCTCCTGCAAAGCCTCCCTCTAAGGCTGATTTAGACAGACAAGAAATACAATCTATTGGCGCGTAGTCACCTCTCCAGGACATGACATCGGTTTCATCGGATGCAGCAAACAGTTCGTCTCCAAGCTCCTGTCAAATCCAAGATCTACCGCGGACTTCCGGAACGGCAACACGCTGAGCATCCAATCATCTACAGGCTGAGGCGGACACAAGTCACGACCACGTTGGCGTGAATGCCGACGACGACATTGAATTTGGTAGAAATCATGTCTCAGCGAAGCTGGAGCCTCATTTAGTGTGCGATGGATGGCCCTTCACAGACTACTAGTAAAGGTTACAAGGGAAGGCTTTACTTTACTCCTAGTGTAGTACTTAGCAAAGGGCTAGTAGCTAGTAATAAAAAACCTAGCAAGGTTACTTAGATTATAATATACCCCTACCTATGTAAAGGTGGAGATTATTA